ATCGACCCTCTAGTTAAATAAAGAGAAGGTAGAATTCATCTATTTTTTCATTTCGCGATTTTTCGACTCTCTCGACTCGTAAGTTTTTTTTCCAGAAAATTTAAAGAGGAGAGACTCTTAAAATTTTAATAAAATATGAATAAAAAAAAAACATGTATACGTATATTTGTTAAATGCATTTTTTGCACAAACTGTCGCATTACATCTAATCCGTCTATCTAAATAAGATTAAAGGGAAGGTAGAATCTGTATACCTATTTTTTAACTCGACCCTCTCGACTTTTTTTTTCGAAAATTAAAGAGGAGAGACTCTTGGAATTTTAATTAAAAATACGATTGAAAAAAAATATATCGAAGCATTCAGATAATATATTACGTTCCTCGTTGTTCGACGTTTCGCTTTACCTGGACCTAACTTAACCCAAATAGTTCGAACGTCTAATCGATAGCGGGCCGAACTTTGACCCTGGAAAACATCTGTCCGTGTACAGACAAATTTATTCCTCTCTCTCTCTCTCTATATCTCTATTTTTATCTCTCTCTCTCTCTCCCCGTTTGCCTTGTGCTCCGCGATCGAGACTAGTTTTTCGGCGGCGATTCTCCGCGCGATACGTGCTCTTACATCGCGCAAGCGGCGGCGGTTCGCAGCACCATCCCGCGCGATCAATATCAGCGCAAACGGCGGCAGCCACGACTACGATCAACGAGGGTGACTACTACAACGACGATGGGGACGAGGGAGCGAGATAAAAAGAGAGAGAGAGCGTCACGACCACCGACACGCGACATATACGTGCACGCGGACACATGCACGAGACGGGTGCATGCATACTGACGATGACATGTACGCGTGTGGGTGTGTGGGTGCATACATGTGTACGCGATGTAGGTGTGACGTTGCGCCCGGTGGGAGACGCCAAAGTGGGGACGCGCGTTGCCAGGCGACGGAAGCTGCTGCCGCGCTCGAGTTCATCGTCCTCCGCTCGCTTGTTCTCTCCCTCTTGCGCGCCGAGCCGGCTCTGGCTCGAGCCACCCTTCGTCCGTTTCTTTTGGCTTCTCCGCGTCACGTCGAGTCGCGGATCCGCCCTGCCCCGCGAGTACTCGTTGAGAGTCTGTCTAAATAAGATTTAAGGGAAGCTGGATTCTGTATCCCATTTTTTCATTCGCGATTTATTCGACTCTCTTTAGTTTTTTTTATTTTTTTTTTATTTTTTTCAGAAAATTTAAAGATGAGAGATTCTTAGAATTAAAAAAATGTGATTATATATATAAAAATATTGAAAATATATATTGAATATATTTTGAAGATATAATACTCTTTTTTTGGTATATTAGTACTCTTGTATTCTCTCCTTCGTTTATTAATTTTTTACACGGAGAGAATTTTCTGTTAGAATTTATCATGGAAATTATGATAATCGTGGAACAGTATGGTATTGGAAAAATTTTATAAGAGTCTCTGATTAATATACCACACTAAAAAAATATTAATATGTACATAGTAAAATTAATGGAACATATTTTATATCTGGTAGATATTGAACAGAGAAACTCTTAATTTTTTATCGAAAGGAATTGGAGTATTTCGATATAACAGGTTCAGTTAAATAATATTTGCAGGAATATTCTTTCCGATATATTCGAGGGTAACGTAACTTTTTCTCCGTGGAATATTATTTTTTTATTCGAATAATAAGACGATAAATTGTATTTTAAAATGTTTTTTTCGCTCCGATAAAGAGCTCAATATCTTCTTTTTGTCTTGGATTATTTCGCTCGACATTTAATATCTATCGGAGTGAAAAATGTGTAGAGGGTTTCGACAGACAATTTGTCTGAATAGTTTGAATTTGTTTGAATACTTTGATTATATAATGGAGATATAGTATCGATGGGATAATCCACGTAAAATATTACAAATATTTCGAAACTATGAGAACGACAAGGTTGTATTTTATTATCATATATATTACTGAGAATTTGAAACAATTTCGATCAAATAGAATAAAACAACATCTCGTACGTCTAAAATGTGTCACAAATCTTACTAAAAACTATGAAAAGAATTTCTATAAATAATAAATAATAGAATAGGTTCGATTTTATTTATAGATAGAGTTCTATTATTTGGAGCTCTTTTTTCTACCAATCTGGGAGCCTCCCGAAAAATATACAAAAATATGAATACACGTTACATAAACATGATGTAATACAATAGAAATCTCGCTGTATTATGTCGAAGATGCGATGTGCAGATATTCTATGTAGCATTATCATAGTTATCGTATCGGAGCCGAATATATGTAAAGGATTTCGATGAATAATAAGCATGATGTAATAGGGAGGTCAATGTGTTGCATCGAGGGCAGAGGCCGCAGGGCGTTCGAGGCAAACAACCCCGTCCTGCGCAACTCTACATCCCCGTTATCGACGTTATTCACGTTGAAATCAAAAATGCAAATAGCTCGACTGAATAATAAGGATAATAAGCATATTCCGTGAAAATTTCAAATATCACACACGCACTGATATCGCTACTGAATTTCATAAATAATTTAAAAAAAGAGAGTGAAAGAATTTCGTTTACGCCCTCCGTGAAAACAGCGAACCCCCGACGAGAGAGTGGAATATTTCGAGAGAGGATTATAAAATAAAAATATACGAAAGAGTAAAACGGGCACAAAAGGGAGGAGAATGACTCATTTGGGCAAATACACGTGTGTCAGCATTCTGACTGACCCCTATACAGCCCCGACACGCGCGTATTATATGCACACGCTTCTCTGCTATAACCCTCATCGATCTTGTCGTCGCATCCGACTTCGAAGGGGTTAAAACTGGAGCAATGGATCTCTCGCCACTGTGTTATATGGTTGTTGCTTTCCTCGTCGTGTCGTCGGATCCCATGGATTTTTTCTAGTATTACTCTCATGGACGTTAGCAGAATTTTCACCAAGGGGAGCGTGATTAATATTTTTTTTCTCATTTCTCGTTTTTTATTTTTTTTATTTTGTTATTTAAAATTTTTTTTTATTAATAATGCAAATCATTTTTTTTCCAAAAGGAGAGCTTTCACATTTTGTAGTCCTTGGCTTGTTTTGATGTTTACGAGTCATGGGCATTCGTAGGATTTTTTTCAGGAGTGGGAAGGCACAATTAAAAATTTCTTTAATTTAATTTTTTTTATATTACACATACAGATAAATTTCAGTGTTTATTCAAAAGGAGAGCAAACGCTTAATTTTTTTTAGCGATTCCAATGCTCTCATTGTCCCCTGAATCTCCATGATTACTCTCATTCTTAGCTCGGCTAGATTTCACGCATTATGGTCCTCGTCTTGTTTTGACGTTTACGTGTCGGCTCCGTAATTGGCTTCTTCGCGGTGCATCCTTTCTTTTCTGTTTGTTTCGAGTTCGCTCTTCCGAGTTTTGCTCGTTTCACCTCGTTCTCTCGTTTATTTCTCACATCGTGCACACGCACGCAAACACGCTTTAATCCCGTTTCTCGCTTAAGCTCTTACTCAAAACTTACCGTGCGATTTACTCCTCTTTCTCTCTCTCTCTCTCTTTTTTTTTTATTTCCATCTCGATTTGCCGAGCGAGTCTCGTGCGGGATGACATTATTACATTAGTAAAGTCCATATATACTCTTCCGCTCGTTTGACTTTGACTGCGAATGTTCCTCCATATTTTACGAGCACGAAATACTTGATCCACATAGTAAATTATGCAAGAGAGAAGAGAGGCACACAACATATTACTACTTAAGTGTTACGGAGAAATCCTATTTAAAATATTCTCATATCTCTGCGTATTTATTTATATTTATACTATAATTCTAATCATGAGAACAATATTCTTTTTCGTTGATCATATGATTATACTGAATTAGAAGATATTTATAAATATCTTTTTTTTTGTGTATCTAGTATTTTTACATTCTAGAAATATTGTATGGTATATTTGGATTTAAATTGATTTAAATTCACGAATATATTACTCTTTAATATAATTATAACAAATTAACGAATATAGAATTTGTTTTACATCACCGAGAAATTATAAGATAATTATATTACGAAACAGTTGATTGCTACAAGAGAGAACATCAAATTAAATTTTACGCTTTAATAAGCACTCGACTTGTTTTTCAGTTCATTTTCAGAGTTTTTCTTTAAACATTTACTTTACTATTCAAATTATTCAATATATTAATATCTGTATATTATTAATATATATTATTCACCGTTTATATCGTATTTATATTTTATACCAAATAACAAAAATCTTATGACGTTATCTTTTGAGATAAAAAAAATAGTCTGTACATTTATTGTAAGAACATTCGTGAAAAAATCCGAGACACCCCCGTGATATCGTCGCGTGAAACAACTTGACAGATTAGACGTAATAAGCTGATTCACCTGTGAAAACCACGATATCCCACTTATGCGTTTAACGCGGTAGGTCTATAAATAGAGCATGTACTTTGCGAGAGTATAGGTGCCTATGCCTGTCCGTCTTAGTTATTTATTACGCACGAAGAATCGTGTAGAGAAGTTGGCACTTTTATAATTTGAGTCGATATAAAAGCAAAATATTGATTTAAAAAATCCAGCTGGCAATTTTCAAATTATTCGTGTAGAAAATCAAATTTTTCTACGCTACGGTTTAAAAAAATCAATTCGAGGAAAAGGATCCTCGCCGCTGGCGCATATTAAATTGTGACGTCAGAGACGCGAAAGCCCAAACGCTGAAAAATTTTTACAATTAGATGCCAATTTTAAATCTATTTCAGATGGCTTTAGCACATTTTTGAAATACCTCGAAAACTATGTTTTAATTAATATCATTAATTATAATTATAATATATATATTATAGTATATATTATAATATATTTTTTATATATATTATATATATAATAATATATATATATTTTTTTAATATAATTATTTACGCTACTTGAATAAATTGAGATTGACGATTTTTTTGGTTTCAGAATGTTGATCACAAGATGAAATTCCGCTCCAAGAAGGGCCAGCTGCCGTTCGTTGAACTGAACGGCGAGGAGATCGCCGATAGCACCATCATCCTGCGGGAACTGAGCCAGAAATTCGGGAAGGATCTCGACGCCGGTCTCACGTCCGAGCAGCGAAGCGTCTCTCACGCCATGATATCCATGATCGAGAATCATCTCGTTTGGGTCGTCGCGTGCTGGCGCACGAAGAATTTGGATCAAGTGCTGAAGGGCTACAAGGTCAATCTGCAGCTCGCCCTGGGATCACGTATACCGAATGCGATTCTCAACTTCTTCTTCAAGCTCACGTTCGGACGCAAGGTAAGTTTCGTCTATCGTTCGCCGGCGTGATATCGGTGTGACCTAGCATACAACTTGGACGTTTTATTGTTAGACTCACTGAATGATCATTCTCACATTTTATCACGGTCCCCGACCGTTCAATTGCAATAAATTCACGTTTCATTCGCATCTCTTTACGTTTCTTCTCCTTGGTTTTCACGTTACTTGTTTACATATTTTCATAATTATATTCCACATTGTATTTTCATAATTATATATACATATATAACAATGATGTATGCTGTATGCGAAGAAAAAAGGAATTTTCCCTTTGTTTGTTCGCATTTTTTTCAAAACGCACGATATTCCACATTTTTACGATTAGCCATGCATGTGCATTCACAATTGCATTCGTGTAAATACTAATTGTAGTTTTGCCATTGCACATATTTCTCTCGATAAAAGCGTTAGGCTTTAAGTAACCAAAGCCAACATCATCATCGACATTAATCATTTTAATTCTTGAGTCCTGGTCGAGGTGATTCTTGTCTAGATAATAATATGGAATATAAGGATGACCATATGAAACTCAAATTTATTATACAAAGTGAGTTATCAATTTCGAATCAAATATCTTACTAACAAAGTATAGATGCGAAAAAAAATAACAACGTTTATGTTGGATTTTACTTCGACCAAGTTTCGCTGCTTACACGTTATCACAGTTGTAACTTCATGCTATTCCCAATCATTCATAGTATATTCGCTTGGAGTGCAAATTGCGCTTGTATAGCCATAGATGTCTATGAATGTGGTAGCTGAGGTATATCATAGAAGTGGGAAACGTAAGCGTAGAACAAAGCATGGTGACCATTTGTAGTGAGATGGTAGTTGGATTGGTTGCAGGGTGCGAGGAAAGTGAAGGCTCAAGGAATGGGGGTGCACAGTGCGGAGGAGGTGTCCCAGTTTGGCTGCACCGACCTGAAGGTGCTCTCGGACACGCTGGCCGACAAGCCGTTCTTCTTCGGGGACGAGCCGACTACCGTAAGTGTTAATCCGTTAATCCGCTGACGCATCTGCCTGTCGCAAGCGAGAGGCACCTCGCGTTTTGCAACGATAAATACGGTGTTATTTTGCCTCTCCTGTAAACGAGATGCCCTCGATTACTTGTAATACTACACCGGAGATGAATATCGGTGAGCACTTGTGCTGCTCGTATGTGCGATAAAGCGGGATCATTAAAGTGGAAAAACTTCAAAATGAAATATCAGACTGAGCAAATATCCATTAAGGCTGTAAAGAATATTATAAATCAGTAATTTTAGTGAGTCATATACATATATATATATATATATATATATATATACTTTATGAAAAATTATTTTGAACAACAACCTACAAGTATGAATTATGTTTATGTTAAGATATGAGATTGATACGATTATCAATTTGTATAATCAGGTCCCGCCTCGACGGGTTTTACGACGTATGTCTTTGTTGTGCAGATGGACGTGGTGGCGTTCGCGCATCTCGCTCAAATCTTATACATCGACAAAGACACGCCCTACAGCCTGCGAGATTACATGGTAGAGAACTGTCCCAACTTGGTCGGCCATTGCTCGCGCGTCAAGGAACGATGCTTCCCGGATTGGGATGAAATCTGCTCCAGTCTGGACATGAACACTCATCTGCCGAAGCCTGAAAAGCAGGAGGAGAAGGAGGGTAAAGAAGAGGCGAAGGAGTCCAAAGAGTCTAAGGAGGAGAAAGAGGGCGACAAAGAGAAGGCGGATAAGGAGGAAAAGGAAGTTGAGAAGGATAAGGAGGTTGACGAGAACAAAGAAAAAGAGAAAGACGGCAAATAAGCGGTCTCGTTGTAGAGGGAAGTAATAAGTGATTTAAAGGCGAAGAGTCGCAAAGGTGCGTGCTGATGAATGAAAAGAAAGCAAGAGAGGGAGAGAGTGAGAGAGAAAGTATATGTGTGTGTGAGAGAGAGAGAAAGAGAGAGGGGGAAGAGAAAGAGAGAAGGAAAGAGAGAGGGGGAATGGTTGATGATGAGCAAGAATGTGCGTATGCGTATGCGTGGATGTTGCGAGAATGTGCGACGATGTCAGAGACGAGAATGGTATAGAAAATACGAGAAGAGTAGGGAGATACCGGAAGTGAGAGATGGTATGTGTGTGTGTATGTGCGCGCGTATGAAAGAGAGAGAAAGAAAGCGAGATAGAGAATGAACGAAAGAGTAAAAGAGAGTGCGTATGTGTGCGTGTATGCGAGAAAGAGAAGAAGAAAGCGAGAAAGAGAGAGAGAGAGAGAGATAAAGTTCTGGATTAGAGCTCTCTACTTATACGTATAGATATTAATAGACTCATAATGTTAATACTTCGTTTATATACGTTCAATACGCGTCACGCGTTATTTCACATTGACACACTCGAAACACACACGAAGATGGAGCGACTATTCTCTTTAACCCACGCCCTTTCTCTGCTCTGCTAAGGACAAACGAAAAACGGGGCTATCTCATAAGTCATTAGAAACGTAGGATTGCAATATACGAACTGCAATAGTCTGACGCAGCTGGGATCTCTTTGTCGACAGTGGCCAAATGCAATATAGCGTACGCTATAAGATACAAGTAGTTGTGGAAGAAGAAGAAGAAGAAGAAGAAGAAGAAGAAGCGAGGGTAGGATTATACCGATTCTCGTTCCTCGGACGAAGAACGTCCTACTTCGCTTCTTTCGATGATCCTTGCTGTGCATAGTTACCTTGCGTTCTGTGCGCAACGTAACGCAATGTTTTTTTCTTCTTTGATTTAGTCCATATTTTTTTATGTTTATACGTATATATCTATCGCGCATTTTTACTTTCGCTCATCGCGTTACATGAAGTTTTTAAAAAGATTTTGTAGAGTATAACGAGATTTTTTATTAATGACGTATCACAGAGAAATTGTCTGTTGAAATAATATCTGAGGAGATATCGTTGCGATCCGATACTTTTATTATTAATTAACGATAATATATTAATGATAATGCACTAATAATAAAATAACGATAATATTAATAAGATTGACAACAATAATAATATTAATAATTGATAGTAAGCAAACGAAATACGATGTCTATACGCGAAAAAGAAAAAAAATTAGTATCAGGTCATCGATTGTGACTTGAATTGCTTCTCTCGCGTTCTTCTAAACAATCGAATCGGAAATCGAGTCACGCCAATTGACCAGCTAGCAACGGATGTCCTCAGACAGCCTAATGTAGAATGCAAATGGAGTTGACGAGTCGTCGTACGTGGAAAAGTAGCTCTCGATAACCACTCTTCCGTACTCGGCCGCAATCCCGTTTGCATTTCAGCATCATCAAGCGCGCAAGTAATCAAATTTTACTTCAACGACGATACTTATATTCCTGTATATTTCGTACGAGACTAATTGAATTCTTTTTTGCAGATCTTTTTTTACGATGATATTTTAGACGTGAACGGGAATATAAAGTAGACTCGCGATGAACGGCACACATATATTATTATTTTACTATATTATTTGTATATTATATAAATATATCTATATTACGTAGACGCGCGCGAATGCAGATCGGTCGCGAAGATGCCATTCGTATAGCGGAGTCGTAATAATTCGTCCCCCTCTCTCCTCCCCCTTCGTCCACCGTCCCTTGTGTTCCCTACATACATCTTGTTTTTTTTTCTTTCTCTTAGCAAAGAGGCACAGGTAATGTTTTGATCTCTTTTTTTCCTTTGGTACTCAAAACACTGTGCTGCCCACGTATTTTATTGATACGATTTTTCGAACGTGTTAAGAAATGATAATGAAAATTACCTTGCGTATATACAAAGTGTCTTTCACGCATCGAAAATCGACATTTGATGTATAACGGGAATTGAAGTTTTTCTACGAACAAAATGTGTAGCGGCTGTAGTGGTTTTTCTACGGCAGCTGAACATATTCCACGAAGACACGAAGATATATAATTACAATTTAAGTAACTTACTATATATTATATTAATAACGATTATGATCACACACATACATACACACACACATACACATACACGCGTAATGGAAAAAATGGAAAAAAAGATTAGTGGATGATGCTGTTTATACCTATATAGAACGACGCATATGTTTTCACCTGTGGTTACATATTATTATGGATTATTACGTACGTATAAATAATATAAATTAGAGAATGAAAGAAAAACATTTGGACAAGACCATAACGTTGCAAGCACAGTAGGTATATAGGCCCACCCAATACAGTAAGATTATTATAAGAGGAATATTAATAATTATAATATGACTGCTCGTTTTATGCTCGGCGCTATACATTTCATTGTCATTATTATATCACCATTTATTAACGATATACATACGAACAAATAAAATGTGTTTATAAATATAAAGTGAACTTTACGAAATTTGCCAATGCATTTATTGCGCGGTCCGATCTCTCTTTATCTCGCCGTATTTCAGAAACATTATCGATATAATTTGCATTTTGTAGCTATACATTGTACGATACAACATAAAAGGACGTTAAGAGGAAAGTGTACATTAATAAGTATAAATGAGGAGAATCAAAAGTGATTTATTATCTAAACTTTGAAGACTTACATAATAGTAAAGTAGAGAGAAGTAACATTTGGATTATTTAATCCGTAAGGGATCCGCATTTCGTTCGCATCAATTTTTATTATTCCTATATATGCTTTATAGATTTTCTTTCATAATTAATTTTTTTTTCAGATATCTCATATTTTAAGGACGTTCTATTTCGCACAGAGATATGTTTAATATTGCTACAATTGAATAATTCGATTGAAAGCCACGAGACACAAGAATTCGTACACGTAAATGTATCACATTTGTATTGCGCCTAAAATTTCTTCGCAAGCATCCTATGTGATGTACTAAACAACGGAATGCATAGCGATTATGACGAGGTAACTGACCATTTTATTTTGTTACATTCATCATTGATGTCTTTGGATAAATATTACTTATTCCATAATTTCTAATTGCGAGAATTGGAGATAACTATACATATAATTCTTTTTCTCCTTCTAATCTCTGTTTCTGCCAATTATTATTTTGTCTTTAACAAATGCGCACATCGAATCTCCTTTCCAATCGCACACGACAGATTGATTTCAGAAATTGCTATTAGTTTTTAAAACATACGTGTTATCCAACACATTACATTCGAATCTCTTGAAATTTTGTTTTCGTAATATTTAAGATACATATTTTTCGTTAACAACAAATATGGATAACGACAGCCTAATATTTTACTTTGGCAAAAGTTCTATATCTTTAGAACAATATAATATTATTCATTTATACAATTTAAGATACACTTTTTACACGGCTTAAAGTCTAGATATTACTTTGGATGTACAAATTATATCGTATATCGATTTCCAAGTTAATTCTGTATATTTAAAACAAAGAGTTTAAATGCATGCAATGAAATGAAATTGCTATCAAATTGCTAATGAAATCACTATTGATGACTTGTCGTATAGGAACGATACTTGCAAATTGGTCGACAAACTATTTCTTTTTACATTGATACCCATATAACATCGCTACAAAAATAATTATTTTTCTTTTTTATATTCATTCACCATTTGATCCTATACAAAAAGTCGCCGGTACCATTTACGCTTCTCGCCAGAAAAGTCTTTTAGTTACAAAAATAATAATACTTCGTCTTAAGCCTTTCCATCTTGAAGAGCGACCTGTTCAAAACGGTGCTCGTACATCGAATTTTTTATGCTGGATCGAGCAGATCTACGTACGTCTCTTATGAAGCACCGACATCAATTCGAGAGAGAACATTGTATTGGAAATTATATACGATTCGGTCTTCGAGATCGTACTTTTCACGGATAGACAGGGACCAGCGAAAGAGAGGTAAAGTAACACTTTAAAAGGCTGTGCTGGTCGTGGCTGTCGTAATCGTCAATTGCACGCCGGACTCTGAATTCGATCGTCCGGCGTGTGGCTACAGCTACGTGGACGCGGCGAGGCTGATGGACGTTGACTCGGTGACAGCTGATCGCGGCTTCACATCCAGGGAATCATACAGAGGGAATTCGCAGCACAAGATGAACTTGAGGAAACGTGGCACCTCGACGTAGATGGCTGGTGGTATCGGTATCAGTGGCGATGTGGATTGCTTGTAGTAGCGATATTCAGCGTTACTGTAGAAATGTTTAGAGCGCACATTAGATAAAGGTAGATAAATTTCTTTCATCGAAATTTATTCATTTTTAGTTCCAAAAATTATCTTTTTAATTATATTTTTTATATTTTTTAAATTGTAATAAAATTATATCTATACATACATATATATATATATATATATATATATATATATATATTTTTATTATAATTTATCAAACGTGTAAAAAAATTTATGTATACATGCAAAGCACACTTATATTTCTTGTATACTTTGCTGTCAAACATTATTTGTCTAGGGTTATAAAAGTTTCCGATGCACTGTGATACTCACTCCCGATAACGCTCATCTGACGCTTTTTCCAATAACGGCATCCCCGATAGGAATAAAATAATAAACGTGGTGAAGATCGGAGAAGCGATAGCCACCCATTCTGCTCCTTCAATAACGTTTAAGGATATTATGAAGATTCCCCACCAGACAACGATTTCGCCGAAATAATTTGGATGTCGTGAGAGCCTCCAAAGTCCTAGAAACATTGACTTGTATATCAAGAATTGAAGTAATTATATTAATAAATAGAAATTCTGTTAACTTTTCACGGAGTGAAAGATGAAAGTATATATTAAAACGCATGTAATTGTTTAATCTAAACAAAATCTCTTCAAGAAAATAATGCAATCTCAAATTATCAGAATAGTTCACCGTGAAACTTCGCAAACTGCCGCGTAAAAAATAATTAAAATCAAGTATAAAGAAATTTTCTGGATAATGAATATTTCGATATCATTTTACATTTCATTTTTAAATTTCCAATTTTTATATTCTCTTATTTTTTGTATAATTTTGTTGAAAATGCCATGTAAAATTATACGCTCTTACCGTCGTTGCACCATTTGCCATTATTGATTGGATCCTGCTTGAAGGCGAATTTTTGCAGATCTGCGTAGGTTTCGGCCAGCAAACCGATCAAAAAAAGACCTGTACCGGCGCTGTCAAGGGTCGTCATTGTCTTCGGAGCGGGCGGTATTTTGTGACGTGGAGAATTGATTATTATCACAGGCAGACTAACAACGTACACCCACACGGCCTGTGAACATCCTCTTTGTAGAAACATAAAGCGAGTCGGATTCTGCAGAAGCGAATAAAGTATTATAGTGGATTATTTCACCTGAAATGTCCAGAACACGGCGAAACGGATCACGTTGCTACGACGGTCGTCGAATCTTTTGTCACGACCTATCTTGATTATTCTATATAAGAGGTATCCGGAAAGCCGCACACCCCACAGGCACACAAACACAGTTACCATAACTTGTCGGCTGTCGTATGTCTATACAGAGGAGAGAAATGCGAGGTATTATTATATTAATATTAGTGGATTTTTTCGCACGCTTATCAACCAGATGCGTAAAATAAAATGTACGAGCGTCATAAAAAAAATTATAGATAGTATCCGATCGTATACGTCAATAGACATTAAATATATCTCGCTATTTTATTTATAACATCGGCTTTTCATTGGAGATAAAATCGTTTAATATCTTCAATATAATATGTGCTTCTCACAATCAATTTATATATGGTTTATAAATGTAGATGCAACTCGCGAATATATATTTTATATATTATATTGTATTTTTTTGACAAACTTTGACAAATAAGTATTATTAAATATTCATAATCATATGTTCGTGTTACAGCAAAAAATGAAATAATGTTAATATAAATCTGATAATTGAATAGAAATTAATAACACACGTGACAATGTTTTTGCCTAATTTGTAATATTCGATGATATCCATCTATTTTTGTTGCAAAATCCTACATTTTTTGTCTATATCCAGATTCTTATTTATTAAAAAAGGAATTCAAGTAACATCCGGTCCAGTTTAGCACGGAGACCAGCTGGAACGCGTCAATCATATAATACTACTCCGGAAAACTCGTTCAATGATGTTTGGCGGTGCAACTTCCTCGAGGCTTTCGCAAATATCCCGTGTATTTTAATAGCCGTTTGATTCGGCCGACTCGGATTTTATTTATCGTACGTGCGGGTATACATATGCGTCGCACGTGCACGAGCGAAGAGATGCCAGTTTTAGGGTCGGAGAGATGAGGATGATATATACCTTGCCCACTTGACCGAGAAAGAAAGTGAGGAGAGCGAGGATGATGAAGTTGGTACCGCCGGCAAAGTCCGTCAGTTTATCCAGCTGGAAGGTGGCCGCGATCGTGAAGAAGATGAGCTGCATACCGATGGTCACGATCGCGCTCACGGCGAGATGATCCTCGTCCAAAATGTCGACCGCCATACCGTGGTTGGTCCTCGATGACGATCAACGCCGGCCGAATTATCCCAGATCCTGAAATGCATGCGTTCATTATATATTTGCGCTAATGTCAATTTTCATTCTGCCTCGTCGTTTTTATTTCGATGTTTTTATTTTAAATAAATTTCATATATATATATATATATATATATATTTTTATCAATAATTTAATCATGCAGAGAGAATTTTCTTTTAGAATTTATCTTGAAAATCATGATGATCGTAGGACAATATGGTATTGGAAGAATTTTATAAGAGTTTCTCTGATTAATATTTATCATAACGCAAAATATTAATATCTACCATAATAAAATATAAAATATATTCGATTAATTTTACTTTTATTTTACATATTAATATTTTTTATTGTAGTAAATATTTTTTACCATGATCTTCAGGGTAAATTCTAAGAGAAAATTCTTTTCGTGTATCAATAATTTAATATCAATAACTTTTAATTCAATATAGTAATTATAATAATTTTTAATTTAATTTATCAATTTTATTTTAATTGTGTATAAACGTACTGCTTTCACGTAAATAAGAAAGTGCTAAAACAGACTTTTAAATAAAGTTTTAAATTATCATTTTCATTTAAAAAATGCTTTGCTATTAAATAAAATAAAATTTAAAAAATATTGTTAATTTTCGAACACAAATAAGAATGCGACGAGCAAGTAAAACTAAATATGTTAATTAAATTTTCCTTTTCTTTCATCTATATTACAGACAGGCTTATAATCTAGAAAGAGACAGTGAAATCACTAATCTGGGCTTATATTGTTAATCCGGATTGTCGATACGGATCAGATACTTAACAACTGCATTTTGATCTTGTGGCTAATAATCGGTATTAATGAGTTATTACAATTGTTTATATACATATAAGTACAAAAAAATATTAAATTAATTTCCTTATATATAATGTTAATATTTTATTTCAGAAATCTAGGCAAGAAGAAAAAAAAACCGCTTTTTAATATCACGCATCGGGTTTTTAAACAGAAATTCTGCTTTACGAACAACTACGTTACAAAAAAATTGGCATTGAAAAGTAAACGTTCGATACAATATCGGAGCTTCCTTTCTGGCAAATTAACAAGTTACATGCTCCAGATAAACAAACGTCTGTATATCGTAAGTATACGCGATAGTTATATTACGCTTTCCGCAATGCGGAAAACGTTGGCAGATTGCGTTGAGGATGTAATTCGAAGATAACATCAGGATATTAAAAAAAAAAATTATACTAAAAAATTCATAACGTTCTTCTTACATAAATCTTGGCAGCAATATGAATAATTTGAGAGCGTTCCAGCGCCTATATAAATTTAAAACCACCTTGAAAGCTATATTCTCTTACGAAACTATTGAACGTATATCTGTCTTCACGCAAGAGAGATCATATTATCAACAAAATAACACAGAAAAAATAAACAGCGACGTCAAAAATAAGAGTTCCCGTCTTGAATTTTTTTTCCCGACATTTCCATAACGTTGCATAATTCATTGATAATTGTCCTATTTTGTCCTAATTTTCTACAGAGAAAAATGTCAAAAATGACTCGCCGATTTAAAGAGTAAAAAAAAAGGACACCGAGAATTACCTCTCTCGAGGAGAGCCGCATCTCTCGCGGTGGTTTTCCAGCGGTTTTGCGCGCGTTATTACGTGTAAACCGACGCTTCGCTCTCGCTCGGCGAGCGGCCAACAGACAGGAAGTCCGACGTCGTAGTCGTCGTCGTCGCGCGGCTAAAACGAGGCGCGCACTCCCGCACGACGATATCACGTGTGAGTCCGCGGCTCGGAGATGCTCGAACCTCCGCGTGCCGCGTCTCGTCGCCCCCGGACGACGGAGATCCTCACCGCGGTCTACCTCTGCGCCGCCGCTCCCTTCCTCTTGGCCGGTGCGCACGCTTCTTCCGCGAGACCTTATTACAGGTCGGAGGACATCCCCGACGTCGTCCTGGGACACCTGCACCAGACGCGGCCCAAGCGAATTGTATTTTTTTTAAAATTAATTTAATGAAATTTAATATTTCATAGTTTTTTATTTAGCAATTTTATTTTAATTTTGTATAAACATATACAGTTTTCGCGTAAATAAAAAATGTTAAATTAAATACAATTTTAGATTGCAATTTTCGCAAAAAAATGTTTTGTCATTTAAAAGAAAAATTAAATGTGACTCAAAAGAACGATGAAATGTGAATTAAAATTGAACTGTTTTCGCGTAAATAAAAAAATGCTAAAATAGATTAAATAAATTATAGATGACATTTTTCGCAAAAAAAAATGTTTTGTCATTTAAAAGAAATTTAAATGTGATTGAATTAAAGTTGAATATGGTTTTGATCTTTTATTCTGTTATCTGTTTTAAAAATTCAGATTGGCAATTTTTTTGATGGGCAAAGTGCTGGATATACATTTTCTGCGCTATTGAGAAGATGAAGAAGTTTAGTATAGGGCGCTTAAATATCTTGAAACGGCTCTGCTCATCAGCCCCGTTCTTTCTCGCATCCCTGCCACCAACCCTGCTCTCATAATATGTTTCTCTGCGTCCTTCACCCTATTTTCTTTTTTTGATTTGCCTTATGTATGTTTCTCTCCTCTTGTCCTCCATACGTTCTGCATCCCATATAATCGCATCTCTGTCATCTTCTATTTTCTTATTTTTCGTTTCTGCTCATCTCTCTAGGGCTATTCATACAGACTTATGAGGCTTAAGTACAAAAAAAATCAAATCTGATATAAATGCAGTGATATACATTCTTCGTATTAGATATTTGATTGATCAATTTCTCTCTACGCATATGGATCATACAGATTATGAAAAAAAAAAATATATATATATATATATATCCTGGTCTAGATAAATCTTATTTCTTTAGTCGCAAAATGTTTCTTTGTTTTCCTTTCCTATATTATTTTTCAATTTTTTTTATTTCTCAATTGCTCGATATCGCTTGTTTGTCCAATTCGCTGACTTGTTTTTCTTATACGATCTTATATATATGTTTTTTTTATTGCGATTATCTCTGAACTCTCCGTCTTATTCAATTCGGGAGTGTCGCAATGCAATTCCATCAAGCCAAAAATCAATATTAGATGCGCCGGCGCCTCGCTGAAAATGCCTGGCGAAGGATACACGGTGCGGAAATCATTAATAATAAAATGGACGCAGGAGCATCGATTCATATATTCGTGGTTCACATTTGTAGGAATCTAAAGTTATAATAAATATCTTTCCATATGTAATTTGAAAATTGATAAGAAAACTTATATAGAATTATTATATGTTTAGAACATGTTTTATCTTCTTTATAGACAGCTATACTCAAATAGTACATTTTCTTTCTTTCTTAAAGTTAAACAGCAAAAAATTATTATATTACATTGGAGAAAATAATTTTTAATATTATTTTAAAAAAAGATTTTAAAAAGTAGTGCTTAAGAAACATTCGCTCTCTCCAATATATAAATTAGATGGTTTTGAATAACACAAGTAATCAAATTTTTATCTCAGTTTATTTGACAAATTAAATCAATTAAAATAACAATTTTATTAACTATTGTTTTTGCCGCTTTGACAAAATTCAAATATTATGTATTGTCTTTTAAATTTCTTTTACCAATCTTAACTTATCTCTTAGAAGATTACAGGAATTACAAACACTATCAAAATTAATTAATAGAAATCAAATATTGCTATTTGATCAGAAGACTTAATGGAACAAAAATTTATATACATATATATGGTGAAAATCATAAAAATAACATTTCAAAATACTTATGACACCACTAGATAGGACAAAAATAAATATTTTAATATTATATATTGTTATACTCTTAATATTACAAATGCAACCTGAATACTTTCACACTTTTTTGCACAATACATTTAATTAATGGATTTATATAAAAAAAGATTCCCATGCTTAACATTTTCACTGTATAATGATGTCTATATAGCATTATGAATTTTATGATAATTTTTTCAATAATATTATATATGTATATATATATTCACCTCTTAATACATAACATATAAAAACCTATATATTATTTGCTCAAGATAGTTATTTATTTCGCATTGTCCTTTGCTTCTTGGCTTTTTCAATCCAATCTTATTATATTGTGTTAAACGCTAGTTTCGAGTGTACTTTCCCCAAATATGAAGCATAAATACAGATGCAATGAACAAAAGTGACATTACAAGTACCGGCACAGGACCTCTGCAATAGAACAATTTTAACATTTAATAAAACATTGCCATTATAGAAATTACAAGAACGGATCAATTATAAAAAGATTTAACTATTATTAATTCATCAACTAAAAAGTGATACGATCATTCAAGAACACATTTTGTATATATCTATAAAATATCACATTTTTCTATTATCTTTTGCAATAGATAGTAAAAATGACTGCATACATGGAACACGTAAACCTTTGACACGCAGTACAATAATTTACTTACACTTTGATACCAGGTGAATCATCCGTGTAGAACCTCCACATACCTCCGGAGCTTGTGCCAGTATTTCTATTCCTAGTGGAAGAGGCCACAGTGGTTTTCCTTTGCCTAACAGTACCGCTACCACCTGTTCTCGGTGCTATGGCTTTACTGGGTGACCGTCCAGCCGAGCCAACGGAAGTAGCACTAGGTGCGGCAGGCTTTTAAGAAAAAAATTAAATAAGATAGAGACAAAAACAGATATTACTCTTTTCTTTCGAAATTGTCACACGTTTTGAAGATATACTCACCATTGTTTACGTGATTTCAGATAGTTAGGAAGAAATTATAGGAAGTACCTCCTTTCAACGAGAACCAGTTACAGATATATAGATTCCGTTCAGGCTTTGTTGGATAGCTGCACGAAATAGCTCGACAATGCTTGTCCTGGTCTCCGGACAATCAAGTAAGACGCTTGACGGACAAATCGACGCTCACAGCTGTACCTTGTGACAAACAGCAGACGATTCCAACACGAACTGGTGACGCGACGCGAAGAGTAGGAGGCAACGTGTCATGTCATACGTGATCTATCCTATCCACGTGGTACGCGCGGAACACGTCATCATACGCTACGCGAGCGCGAGTACGCCAAGTGTAGCTTCGACCGATCTGATTGGATGGTCTGTTTCATCTGAATTGGACAAAATGTCGTCATTTCATTCTTCTACATCTGTAATGAATTATTTGATAGGTAAATAAGATTTCTGAATAAGAATTGAATTTATTTTACAATATACAGGGTGTCCCAGAATTACCGTATCACACGTTAATGGGAGATTTCTGAGGCGATTTGGAGACGATTTTTCCTCAACGAAAATGTCCAGACACTAATAATTTTCGAGTTATAAATGATTGAAAATAAAAGCTTTTTTGTAAATTATAAGCCTTGTAAAAATAAATTATTAGCCAAACTACATTTTTTAGTTAATTTCAGGTAAAGTTTACTTTAATAGAATTTTAATTTAAGGCTTAGTTACAAAGATACATGATTTCAAAAATTGAGAACATTAAAAGATGATGACCTTTCTCGACATTTTCGCTGAGGAAAAATCGTCTCCAAATTGCTTCAGGAATCTCCCATTAACGTGTAATTCTGGGACACCCTGTATATTATATAACATCTATAAAATAATTATTATTTTATAGATTTTATATAATATTAAACATAATAAATATATAAATATATTATAATATAAAATAAAATTATAATAATAATAAAATGTGCAATATATATATATAATATGAAATATTTCATATATATTTAAATATTTAATATTTTCTAGATGGAGCCATATAACTTTTAGGTTGGGTTCACTTCGTGGATTATCCGGACGTGTACACAAAATTCATAACAAGGATGCAATCCGACGATGAGCTGGGCGAGGATGAGGAAGAAATGCTCGTTTACGTAGAGTTTGAGGGACTTGTCGGCAGTAATGTATTTAATAATGAAGAACTTCAATTAGATATGATTGGAATAGATACAGAGCATCCTATAATGCAAATTAATGGACGGGTGTGTTGTTTTGACACTTGTGACGTTTAATACACACATGTACAAGATATAAATTGTATATTTAAACTTCACAAATTTATGCCCCTCTAATTGTCTTATATTTTTTAGTTTTATGAGGGCACTTATGAAGACACTACAGGTACCCACATGTTCTTTGAAAAAGATGATGATCCACAAGTGGATGATGTTGTATTCGATAAAGTGCCGACTCTAAAATATTTTGCTAAAACAAGAAAGGTACTTAAGATGCAGAGAATCTTTACGAAACCGAGAGTCGAGGTTCTGGGTGACTCTGAACATGATAGTTGTATTCCGAATATTGATAGTTTATCACAGGCTGGAGTACCTCTAAAATATCAAGAGGAAGGTATGACATGTTTGTTTACATACATTTTAAGTATTTTTGCAATTTAACATTTAACTTTTGATTTTTAATTTTAACTTGTAATTAACTTTTAGCCCTTCAGTATTGGAATAAGACACATGATGATAGACTAGAAGAATTAAGCACATATTTGGAAAAACAAAAAATTAGAGAAGAAAAGAAATCCAAAGGTATTATGCTAGATTCGGAATCTGATGAAGATCTCTGTATACCACATAAAATCAAAGAAACATCAGAAAAAACATAATTGTGTACATGAAAACCTATTTATTTGAAAGAGTAAACATTCTCATTAATTATTAGTATGTTAAAAGTTTCTAATTTTGGTAAATCTATTTTTAAATATAAATATTAAGAATATATATGAAAAATATTTTGAATTATATTTTGAAATATTTTTTAAACTTCTAATTATAATATTTAGGCAGTTAGGCATATTAGTGTTGTTAGATCGTAAATATTATGCATAATAACTATAGATTAAAGCTAACATAATTGAAAAGCTATTAATGCTTTAGACATTGAGATATAAATAATTTTTTTTACAAATATTTATAATTGCATGTAATTAATAAATAATAAATTTAAAAGTATTACAAGCAAATAATTAGTAGACAAGTTTTTCATACTACTATATACATCATTGTCTCATGAGAATGATTTTTATAGGAAAAATTACTCAGTTTTTATTTAATGAAGATTTAATATTTTATTCTAACTGCATATAATTTTTAACATATATTTATTTGTTTTGTATAATATTATGATATAAAATAATATAAGTATATTCAATAACACTGATTGAAATATTAATATTATACTAATATCGATATAAATATAACTATATTCGAAATGTTATGGAACTATTTATATACATGTTTCAAAATTATTTGCATCAAAGATCACAGAGATAAATAGGTGTACAATTATACAAAATATATTTTTAATTATAAAGAATAAAATAATCGATATTAGTATATAAACAATATTAATAGTTTCATATCATTCTACATCATTTTAAATATTGTCAGTTTTTGTCTTTTTTATTTTATCTTATCAATATTCTATAAACAGCTCAAAAAGACTTGTGCATGTATACTATTATCATCTGTATTGCGTGTAAAGCAAATATTAAATATCACTTGATTTGATTTGCTTAAATTAAATAGATTCAGAAAGAGATTTGATTATATTTGTACTTTAAAGTTCCTGTTATAGTTGCACTATGTCTATGCTTATTTTTAATATAAACTATAATATAATATAATAGCATATAATATATATTATAGCAGAGTAAAAAGTAACAATAATCTCAGATGTTATTGTCATTTCCATACTCTCTTAAGTGTCATATACTACACTTAAGAAAGAATTTTTTTCTTCACACATTTTGTATTATATATATGTATATATATTGTGTATGTGTGAAATAGTATATAATTAAAATATTAATTGACTCTAAGTATGCAAATTATAAATTTTATACAATGAGTTTATGTATATAACTTTATTGCAAATTATATTTTGCAAATATAATTTTTTAATTGAAATCCAAGCAAATTTGCCAATTAAATCAAGTAAAATTTATAATTTTTAAAATTTATCATTAAAATAATGTATAATATATAAAGTAGTATTTAGATATGCAAATATATTTATAATAATATAGTATTTTACGAATGTATATCACTTTTCGTTATTCATGTATTAAAAAAACAAGAATTTCGTTTGCTTCTAGACTCAAAATCATGACATCTTTACCAATCAAGGTCACTAGGAAGTTCATCTGGATACTCCCCTGTTAGACAAGCAGTACAGTGTCCAATATAATTACTTTCACGATTGTCCATGCGATATCTAACTGCTTCAACAAGTCCCTCAACCGACAGGTACGATAAACTATCTGCTCCTATATGCTTGGCCAATTTTACACTATCAAGCTTATTCGCGATAAGTTCTTCTCTCGTCGGGATATTGATGCCCATGTAGCATGGATATTTTAATGGTGGTGATGCTATTCTGATGTGAACCTGTAAATAATTATAAAAGACAAATATAACAAATAGTAACATTAGGAAACAAATACAACAGGACGGAATATAGGAAAGCTTACTTCCTTAGCTCCTGCGTCTCGTAACAATTTGATAATCGGACCGATTGTATTTCCTCTGACGATGGAATCATCAATAAGTATGATTCTTCTGCCCTTTACATTCTCTGACAAAGCTCCAAACTTCTTAGCTACTCCGAGCTGCCTCAGTCGTGTACTAGGCTGAATGAACGTTCTTCCCACGTATCTGTTCTTGCAAAGTACTTCAGCAAAAGGTATTTTGGACTGCCTGGCATATCCATGGGCAGCTGCGGTTCCACTTTCGGGTACAGAGCTTACTATATCTGCTTCAACTGGCGATTCCATTGCTAATACACGTCCACATTGCATTCGTACGGAATATACCATTTGTCCTAGTATAACAGAAAAGAACACTATTAAACATCTCTTCTCGCATCAATTTTTATTACATTTTATATGATATGTATTTACCTTCAAAAATGCTGTCACTTCTAGCGAAGTAGACATATTCGAAAATGCAAAATGCCTGTGGTTTTTTGTTCGGTCTTTCTACTATATCGATAGTTTTAATGCCTTCTCGAGTCAGTTCAACAATTTCACCAGGAAACACTTCGCGAACGTATCTTGCGCCGATACTCAAAAATCCACACGATTCAGATGAAATCACCCAGCCCTCTGCTTCATCATCTTCGTCATCAGACTCGTTACTTGCTGTGAGATTTAAATTTATCCATTTTATTATTTCACATTAATATATTAAAAGTAAAATATCAATAAATAAAAAGTATAGGACTTGATATTTTAATACCTAGATTGCCAATTGGTACTATTTTTCCTAAACAAAGAGGTCGATTCCCGTACGGATCTCTGACGCCAAAAATTTTATCTCTTTGCATTATAACTAAGGAATATGATAATGGTGCCAATTGCATAAGGTGCTTAATACGCGCAGGCCAATCTGGTCCGTTGAGTTCGCCTTCTGGCGGATTCAAACAGAGTGCTTGTGTTATAAGCTCCGAATCTGAGTGTGTTGACAGACCAACACCTCGACCTAATACCTAGACACAAGATTTAATATAATAATATTCGGTTTTAAATTTCAGTTCATATATTAATGAACAATTCAAACAATTAATGTGATAAAATAATCACATATGATAGTTAATACAAAGGAACATAAATTTTATTTATTTACCATTTTTCTAAGAGATTCAGTATTTACGAGTTCTCCGTTATGAGCAACTGCCAATGCCCCATGCGCAGTATGTACCACAAATGGTTGGCAATTGACTTCTTCACTGGCTGCACTTGTGCTGTATCTAGTATGACCAATTCCGAGATTTCCTCTAAGCTTCCTCATAATTTCATCATTAAAAATATTATTGATCATTCCCATACCCTTATGTACGTGGAATGACTTGGAGCACACACCCTCGCTTGTAACTATGCCAGCGGACTCTTGACCACGGTGCTGAAGTGCTACTAAACCTATTGAAAATAACAGAGAAATGCTTTATCTTAATTATTAATCGTCTTTCTTCTTTTTTTATAGTTTATTATTATTTATATTTATAATAAACTTCTATCTCTTGATTTCTTTCATATAGAATGAATATTACCTAGACAAACAACTTGTGCAACATCAATTTGCGATGGCCAATCCCCTGCAGCAATACATCCAAAAACACCGCATTCATGCGTAAGACCAGTAGACCTTTGTCCTCTGGTTTCACCTTTACTACGTGGCCTTGTACATTTTGATTCTTCTATAGAAATAGAAGACATTACTTCAGTACACTGTTCTATCTTGTTATCTTTATTGTGAGACGTTTCCATTTTAATCTGTAATATATAAAATAAAAATATTATTTTCTTTCATTGCTTTGTATAACTATAATAACAATAGTAATATTAATAATAACAATGAAATATATGAGTTTTATAAAGATATAATTTGAAAAGATTAAAATATATAATGCCTATAGATAAAATCTTAATATGCATATTAGTAATAGTTAGATAAAAATCAAATTGAGAAGACAAAAATATGATATAATAAATATATAAATTATTATTTAAAATTATTAATTATTATTATTATTTTTAAAAGCTTTTTAATTATAATTTAAAAGTTTTTAAAAAATATATATTTGAAATTATTTCTATTTGTATGCATTCTCAGTGAAATTTTATATATTATATGAATATTATATTTACAAAACATAAAGATTTGAATTATTAAATATTATGTGTATCTCAATGGACTGTATCTAATAGGTTCTTTCGCAATTTCTCTTTGCATATTATCTATATTGCCCTTATAAACTATTGACCCCCTGCGGACTGATAGAATTGACATATCTCACGTTTGTTCAAATATTACAACTATGTTTTCTTTTCATGCTTGCTCAATCTGCATTTCGCAACTGATTTCATCATCTTACATTGTGTTTACATCATGAATGTCAGAATATAAAACAGTTACATATGTTTACAGCAAGTTAATCTTTTACGTCACACAAAATAATATTTTTCTAATTAAGAAATATTATTTTACATTATACAGAATAACACTTTCAAGTTAATTTTCCACTATGATAAGTATACAAACATCTATACACATATAAGGAAAAAATAATGCTATTTTTTTTTAAAAGTTACCTTATATTTCATAACATAAAGTAGATTTTGATTGATGGAAAGAAAATGAACACATAAAGAGAATAAATATTCGAGATATAAATTATTTGTACAAAACAGGAGAATAAAGTAATGACGTCAAGTTTAGTAGCAAGCTATAAATTAGATTAATGTGATTAACCAAACACTATATTTTTTACGAAATACGAATTTAAATTAATAATTCTACTCAAAAAAATCTATAACATTCGTTTATCTAAAGCTCGAGTTCTGATGTTAGTGAGTGTAATCACATGCAAGTATTTATTTTACTTACAAAATATACTTTGCTCTGTCCCTTTTTATCAGTTGATAAAACGTATATATTGTTGATAAAACGTATATATTGTATATATATATATATACACTGTATATTTATTTTAATGAATTATTTTAATGAATTTATTTTAATGAATGAATCATTCTCTAAGCCGAAATATTTCAAAATTAACTAAAATTTCGTGAGTAATCCAACCACGTGTTGAATAGGAATGATAGGAGCATGCTCGGCGTAATTTGACACGATATTCTGAACCGGGATACTACATTAAACATGTTAGAATTTGTAGTTTATTAAATAATTCACATAACGCGTTCTGAATTTTCTAAAAAAAGCATTTTGTTTATTTTTTATTTGTAATGTGCAATTTTTATATATTTATTTTTGTATATATTTTTATCTATTTTATATATTTGTTTAGATTTTGATTTTTTTATATTTAATTTGATAATCACAAGATTTATTGTAATTGCGTTTGCAATAAGCTTCAATTATCACCTTCTATATAAACTTCTCTATTATTCTTTTCAACATTTGAATGAGAGAATTGACAACTTACGCATAACATACGTGTTTATTCTTCTAGTTTGGCCCGCATCCGTTGTAATAATTATTTCACAAAAGCACACGAGACACAAAACGGAATTGAAAATCGAGAAGAAGAGGATGACGATGAGAAGGTCGAAGATGAGTTGGAGCAGAAGATTCGATAGCAAGAAGAAGAAGAAGAAGTTATATAAATACGTAAATTACCTCGTGTATGTTTTTTCCTTTCTCTTCTTATTTATGAGATTTTCATCCGCTCATCGAACGTGGTATATCACACTATTCTTCTAAGAAACGTCTCTCCTCTCGTCGCAGGACGAATAAATGCTCCGAAATAATGCTGCAGACCAGTGGGACGCTGCGTCGTCGTTTGAAGAGGAGATTCGAATACACAGATGAGCCGGCTTGGCTATTATCTCCTCCGCTTTCGTTTTTGAAAAGGAAAAGAGGGACTGCGGAAGGTGAAGAATATATATCACGTGTGCTATCTCGAGCCCCCTAGAAGAACGTGCGCGTATTCATCTTGAAAAAAAGCGCTCTCTCTCTTCTCACAATCATCAACGGGAATTGTGATGCGGCCGCTACACAAACACACGATTATATACCATAGAAAGAAACTGGAATAGAGATCAGTGGAACTACTTGATGTATTTCGTCACCGCACACGTCGAAATTTAGAATCTTCCGATCGATAACGCGACTTATTATTGGAACGAGAATATAGTTATCTAAGTTCCATAAACTTTAGAAAGTTGCTTTCATGATTTTTCTTTCTCGCTTGCTTTTATTTAATGTTCACATGATTTCGATATAATTTATTTAACTTTTTTATATATTACAATGTTTTTTTTCTGCTAATACTGATGATGTAATTTTGAAAAAAGAAATTAATTAGCAAATTAAACAGATAACTGCGATAATTATACTTATATTTATACGAAAATAAATTTTATAACAAATGGTAGATTATTTATAATTATTCATAAAATAATGCGAATAATTTTTTCATACTATCAATTCTTACGTCATATGTCTGATAACAAGCACAGAATTTATTTTGATGAAAAGCAGAGATTCAGAGTGTGAACAAATATTCATATATGATTTTTTGCCTCTGATGTAATAATACTGTAACAAGGGGCCAGCCTAGCTTCGAACCAATCGCGAATCTGATCGACAAAGATCATAGTGGGGGTTACTTAAGAAATGTATGTGGAATCACGCGGTTACATCCATTTTGGCCCATTCGAATATTAGACGTTAAAGTAACAACATGACTGGTGAGTTTAATTAATAGCTTGTTATCTATATATTTTCTATTCAATTCTTTCTTTCTATTAACTGTAATTTAGATAAAAATGACAAGTTTTGAATATGTATCAGGATTATTAATTGCACCTATAAATCATATAACATTTCTACTAATTTATAAGTGAAACTAACTTGAAATAATTGAAATTCCGACAGAAGATACACCTTTTTTTTGAAGCAACAGGTGGTTGTCGGATGAAATCACTTACTTTCCATTTGCCGGCCGGCATTTTGAGCTCTATCATATTTGATGTAGCATTTATTATTGTGACAAACATTTTATCAGAATCTAATTTCAGTCGTACATTTTTCGGAACAACGTGTTTATATTATTAGATTTATTTATACGAAAACATGTGATTTCAGAACATTTGCCATAAAAAAATTCATAATTTATTCATAAATATAAAACAAGAAATGTTTTTGTCCTTTATTAATTTTAAGTAAAATCAGTAACTTTTTCTTTGTTTCAGATCATACAGAGAAACTTGGAAAGCTCATCAATGAGGGAAAAACGAAAAAGATTTATGAACTTAAAGATGATCCTACATTATGTTTATTGGAAAGTAAGGATCGCATAACTGCTGGCGATGGTGCCAAGTCTCACTACTTGGGTGGAAAAGCAGAGATCAGCACATCAACTACTGTAAAGGTCTTCAAACTGCTTAATGAAGCTAATATTCAGACAGCTTACGTTAGACCTGCAGGTTCTAAATGTTTTATAGCAAAAAAATGTGACATGATACCAATTGAATGGGTTGCCAGAAGATTGGCAACTGGAAGCTTTTTAAAAAGACATACAGGTATGTGTGACTACATATATATGATTACCCTTTTGGAATTAACAAGTCTGAGATGTCAGAATGCATTTATATATAATTATATATTTTATAGGAGTCCCAGAGGGTTATAGATTCAATCCACCTCTACAGGAAACATTCTATAAAGATGATGCTAATCATGACCCACAGTGGTCCGATCAACAAATTATTTCTGCTGGTTTCAAAATGGGTGGCGTAGAAATAACAAAGAATGAAGTGGATATTATGAAAAGCATTGCTCTTGTCGTTTTTGAAGTTCTTGAGCGAGCCTGGGCTGTGTGTGATAGTGCTTTGATAGATATGAAGATAGAATTTGGCGTAGATTCTGAGGGTAAAATTTTAGTTGCTGATATAATCGATAGTGATTCTTGGAGACTCTGGCCTTCCGGAGATAAGAAACTAATGAAAGACAAGCAGGTAAAGATCTTTAATACATTATTTAATATATAATTTGATACATTTCCTCATCAATATTACATCAATTATGATTATCTAAAATTGTTATATTTGATATCAGGTGTACAGGGATCTATCCACCGTAACACAGCAGAATTTAGAAACAGTAAAACGTAATTTCGAATGGGTAGCAGAGAAGCTGGATCATATCGTTCAAGCACCTAAACCATTAGTTGTTATATTTATGGGCTCTCCCTCTGATGAACCATTTTGTGAAAAGATTGTATTAACTGCTAAAAAATTGGGTTTGAACCCACAAGTACGAGTCTGCAGCGCTCATAAGGGCACTCAAGAAACTTTAAATATTCTCGCCGAATATGAAGGCAGCGGAGAAAAAGTATGTTTTATCTCATTTTACTTTTTTTATATAATTTATCATAATATAAAGATAAATTAAATTCGAGATTCTTTTATCAAAAACGTGAATTTAAAAAGATTTAATCTTGAAGAAAGAGAAAGGGCAACAAAATTTTTTTCAAGAATTTCAATTTTAATAACATAACTAATAGATTATATTATTTATTATTATAGCAATGATTTAATCTTTTAAAATGTTTTTATTTCAAAAGGTAGAATTATTTTTTATTTCGAGAATTACTCTTGATTTATTTAATGCTATTAGAATATTAAAAGAAGATGATAACTTAATAAGATTTAGTTGTTAAATTTGCTCTAATTTATCACAAATTGCATATTTCATATATCTTTTTCCTGAAACATTTTAAAAATTATACATTCTTGAAAATTTCATTTAATAATAGTATAACAAATACGCTTACTCAGAGAGTAAATAACAGCATGAATAAATATATGTATTTGAATGAGTAAATTGCGCAATGTTGATAACTGTAGCAGTATGTCTCGATATTGCACTTTTTATCTTGATATTTCTCATAATGAGACTGTCACAATAACTTGCAACATCAAATATGTTAGCAAATGAGGATATATCTTTGAATTCATATTGACCCGTTGAAATGGCCTGTGTCCCGTTATATCATAATTTCAAAACTTGTTACGATAAAAGATTATTTATTTCTGTTTATCACGAGTTTTTTTTTGTTTTTTTCTCTGTAGGTAGTGCTGATAGCCGTAGCTGGACGTAGCAATGGCTTAGGTCCAGTACTCTCTGGCAACACCGTCTTGCCAGTCATAAATTGCCCGCCTCTGAAATCGGACAATATCGAACGAAGTGTGTGGTCTTCACTTGATGTTCCTTCAGGTAATATAATATATGATATATACTATATATATATATATATATATATATATATATATATATATATATATCAACCACAATATAATATGTAATATTATATAATATATATATTTTTCCTGAAGAATCATAAATTAAATATAACTTACAGGACTTGGTTGTACCACAGTTATATATCCGGAAGCTGCTGCATTAGCTGCGGCGCAGATCCATGCAATGCACAATCATTTGGTCTGGGCTCGTTTGCGAGCTGAACAGCTCAATAACTACTTAAATTTGAAACAAAATGATAAATTAAAAAATCATTAATTCAGCAATCAAAACAAATTTAACATACACAATAAGTTACAAGTTTAAATTTAACAAGTTACAACAATTACATCAGAATTTATTTATATTATATTGTTAGGAAGTTATTCACTTTCTTGCTCTTCCAAGAATCTTGTAAACACATGGCAATGCAATTGTGAGAAAATTGATGATATACTCTTTTATACTATATGTTTTAATTTTTGTCAATTTACTTTGTTATGGTACTCTTGATTTTATATAAAATATTGTCGATTGTCATCTCTTCATAATATTATGCAACCTATTATATAACATGTGCCATGCATTTAAATGTAGATTTAGATAAGCAGTTTTATGTTAACATACCAATTGTGTCATATATGATTGTATCATAGACTGCAAGGTATAACTGAATCATATCAATGATCACGTTAGCTTTTTTTGTATACAGTCTTTTGTTATTGATTTTGGTAATTTTTTATTGGATTCAAGTATGTAATATTCGTCTGGTTCCACTTGAAAAAATTTTCGAATAATGTGTTGTATAAATATGTAACATTAGATGTTACAATATGTAAGAGATGCTGTCTGAAATGGAATAAATATTGAAAGTTTCTATATACATAGATATATCTAAATACAAACGAATACATTTACATGTAAAATTTTTCCTATTTTGAAACATTTTAGCTCCTTTTTAGCGTTTATCAAATAAATATTTTGTGATAAAGTGAAAAATAAAATTTAGCAAAATATGAAAAGATTCGATTTTCATAAATATATTCAAATGTTTGAGAAGGAAAAAAATCAAGGTTGCAATTATTCGCATATAAATTAATGTGAGATTCGCGTATATATATAATATATATACTTATATTTTTTTATATACATGTAAAAAAAATTGTTTTAATGTATGTACACTGGACATTTGAATTGACAACACTATTATCCTTGATTTTGACTCGCTAGTGTTTCAATTTCCGCTACCTCCTTCGGGCAATGTTTCGTCAAAACTTCCGGACCATTGTCTGTTACTAAGATATCATCTTCTACACGGATACCTAATCCATGAAATTGTGATGGTGCGTGAGGATTTTTCGGATTTATATACACACCTAATACAAAGAGGAAAATATGAATTAGATAGTTTATAAATGCTTCTTCAAAATATTATGCCTCAGATCGTACCAGGTTCTATGGTTATTATCATTCCAGGTTGTATCCTTATGTTTCTGGATATTTTTCCTGTATCGTGCACATCCATTCCTAGATAATGGCTGACATGGTGAGGACAATACGTGTATGCGGCCGCCAATAACTTCTCTTCGTCTATGTTCTTCGGTATCAAGTTAATTTCCTGTAATCTTTTCCCCAGAAGAAAGCACATATGATGAAATACATTGTCCAATGACGGCATATCTTTCAAGGTTTCTATTAAAGTCTTTTGCACATCAAGTACTATTTCATAAAGGACCTTTTGTTCTGGTGTAAATTTTCCGCTAATCGGCCACGTTCTTGTTATATCGGATGAATAACCATGATATTCACAGCCTGCAAATAAATAAAAAGTTCAAAATATAAGTTTAAATAAGATTTTAATTGCACACAAATATAATTCTATATATATCTATATGAACCTGCATCCATTAAAACCAAATCACCAGCTCGAATAATTTGATTGTTACTGATATAATGTATTATATTTGCATTTCTGCCTGCTGCTACGACAGGAGGATAGGCCAAATGTTCAGCTCCACGCATACGACATTCGTAATCTACGGTAGCAAATAACTGATGTTCGCTCATCTCCGGTTTCGAAACTCGAATTGTTTGTGCAATAGCATCGGAAGCTATTCGACAGCTTTCTTGCATCAAATCGATTTCGCAAGGGCTCTTGATCAAGCGAATTTGATGAAACAAAGTCTTGGGAGAAGCAAATATTTGATTGTCCGTCAATTTAATCAACTGGCATAGTCTCTTATGTAAAATCGGTTGAACAACATCAGCGTGATCATACCATATAATACTTTTCTTATCCTCCTGGATGAACGAGGCCACAAACTGTTCAAATTTTGTAAGTGGTAAAGCATGATCTGTTCCAAATATCTCAGCTGCCATTTCAACGCTAGTTCTAGGACCATCCCACAATTCTGAATGTTCGTCCTTTGGTCTCACAAATAAGGTGAACACAGACTTATCCTCCTTGCAAGTGAGTACTAAGACGCTGTCTGGTTCTTGACACCCGGAGAAATAGAGAAAGTCTGTATTTTGTCGAAAGATATATGGTATTTTGTCAGACATGTAGATCTTGGTCGACGCAGGTATGATGACAATCTGTTGCCTGTGTATATTCTTAGTTTGCACAATGCTTTCTACTAACTTGGAACGCCTTCTTTCAAGTTCCTGAAGCGATATACCTGGCAGTACTTCTCCATGCTTTACTAAGTAAGAATGTGTTGTTGATGTAGGTTGTCCACATATCGCATGTTGATGAGCATTTTGTGAGCATTCTCGTCCTGTTGGATAGCTTTTAACTGTAGTTTCCGCTGAAAAATGTGCTAGTAGCTGATAACCTAAAAGATTAAATAAATTAAATTAAATTAAATTAATTATATTATATTATACTAATTGATATATATTATATTAATTAATATATAATATATTAATTAATACATTATATTAATATATTATATTATTATATAAAAAGTAATATATTACATTAATAAATTATATTAATTTAATAAATTAAATAAATTATAATAAACACCGATTTTTTTTGCCGAGGATATAAAATAGATATTAAAACTTATCGCAGTTTTACATAAGTATACGTTAACGAGAAATTTTGTTTAACACTAAAATATTACGAATATATCAAGATAAATATACTTCTCACCAAATTTACTTGGATTATATCTTAGGAAATGTTTTACGCTATTAAACATATTTTTCTTCAAATATTTCTAACCAGTAGAGATGACTGATGTAACTGATGTTAACTGGCAGTGTGTTTTATTGATTGATAATGGATAACCGTAATATTTTGCCAAATTTGAACAATGTAGAACATAACCTATAAGCATTTTTAAGCCGTGTTTACATAAATAAGAGATTGTCCAATCAGCTCATTTCACGTAAAAGATGGCGCGAGTTTTATAAATAATAAAAAATTTAGAACAAAAATGGCATTAAAAATATATTAATTAATAATATAAACAGAGTATATATTAACTAATATAATAAATAAAAACAAAATGTATATTTGTTTTCTACCTATCAGATGCACTCACACGTTGAGCCAACCGGTGATATGTTGTGGATGTGTTATATCGTTGCAATCAATACGTGCGTGTCGTGCATACATATGATTTGCACCGATTCGCAACTTTAAACATGAATGAAAATGCGCAGACTGCACATAAAATCGAATGACACATCATTTGACAGGTAGACTCTTTGAAAATTCGCGATGCGGATTTCAAACGCGCGAAACTGACAGGTACACACAGTTTGACAGGTCGACCCATCGCGTCGAGATGTCATGTAAATATACATATATGTTTATGTACTCTGTTATAAGAAATGATTTACAAAACGATGTTTGTACATAACAACGTTGTTCGATTATCGCGTTATCGTGCTAATATCAACAATTAGTAATTAGTGAGAATAAAAAGGTGATCCGGACCTGTCACACCGGAAATTATACGGACTGTAGGACGTGTGTGTGTTGACAGTTGGGTGTGTATGTGCGTGCGTATGTCAAAAAAAATACGCGATACCCCCCGAATGTCAAAATATTCGGATGACTTTTTAACTACAACTGATAGATTGACAGCGATGGATGTTTGTAGATGGTGATGGGAGACTAGAGAACGGGACAGATGGAAAGGACGAGAACTTCGAGAGAAACATTGCAGACTGTGCTGGTTGTTAACCTCCCCTTCTTGGAAAACACATTTCGCGCTGGAAAATATATTTAGCAGTCTCGAAAAGCTCACGCAAAGTACGTCTTTTTTCTATTTCTTTCCTTCTTTCTATTTATTTATTTTTCTCGTTACCAACATCGCCCTAAACTGACTTTAATTTTAGGTATAATTTATTTATCAGTCGTGAGACGTTTTCTATTTATTGATCTGTCAGAGAGACGAATTAATAGCCGTCATGCAGCCGCATCGAGGCAAGAATGGAAGATAATTGTTTTGAAGAAAGCAAACCTATTAGTTTTAATTGCATTTCATGCAATCTCTGCTCCTTTTTTATTTCTGACAAATTGGAGTGTTTATCAGAGAGAGAAACGTCTACATATACTATAAATAATATTATATAGACAAAATGAGTAGCCAATTAAACATAACAGTTAGACCCGAAGTAAGATTGGATGCCAAGTGGTTAAAAACTGATCTACAACGGTTTCTTTATCGCGATGGATTGGCTGAATTGTGGAATGAGATGGTACGAGATGGTGAAATTGTTGGGTCTTTTAGCGATGGGTTAATCAATTCTGCAGGAGTCGTAGCAAAAAAAGGTATGAATATAAGGATAAAGAATTATAAAATCTTTTCATATCTACGTCATCTTTTTATGCTATGTCAAACTTATTTATATATTTAATATGATAAATATAAATATTTATTTATAAAAATTAATGTATAGCTTGTTATTCACAAAAGAAATGGAAATTTAAAAATGTAAATGAAAAAAACAGTTATAATTTTATAATAATTTTAATTGTATGCCAATGAATCCTTTTGAGTGTTTTTAATTAACTTTTTATGCATATTTTTTCAGGTGAAAATGGTCATTATTATTGTGGTATGAGAGTATTATCTTGTCTTTGCTGCGATGGAATTTGTGGTCCACAACATGGGTGTAATTGTACTCCGTGTCAGAAATTGGATGATGAAGAAACTACAAGAACAGCAGCAATGGTTGAAAGGGCTATATCTGCCCGGAGAATAATGGATTCATGGCTTTGGGCTCCGCAACCATGTAAACATATTTTTATATCATATATATTGAGAAAAATCTTAGTCATATTTTATTTGAAAAATTATTATAAGTTTGTTTTCCAAAAGATTTTATAATGGATGCTATGTTTAGATTTTAATTTATATATTATTTTCTATATTCATTTATTATATATTATTTTATATATTAATGTTTTCAAATCTTTTTTTTTTAGCATTAACAGATTTAAAAGGCTGCATTAATTTATCTATAAAGGAGCAACGCAAGTTATGTTGCGAAGTTGCTAATAGTACATTATCAGCGACGCGTTTGAGACAACGGCTAATAGTTGCCAGAAGATATTTCACTGCTTTATCTCGACATAAGCCACAAGAAATCAAGGATACCTTGAATTTACCAAAGTCTATTGGAAAATTACAAAAAACGTAAAGTATAATATTATATTACGTATATATAATTCCACACAATTATATAAGTATATTATTATATTGTGCAAACTCCTATTATATACAGCACAGGCCAAATTTCCTAAGTGATTTCTTTTCTCGTGCACCCAGAGTATTGATATACAATTGTATTTTGATCCTCTTCAGAGTAGGTTATTTTTTATGTTTTGTTTAAAATTAAACATATAAATTATTTCTACAATTGGTTAAAATTGTGTAAATTTTCGCAGGCCAAGACCTAACGAAAAGGCAACCTTAGGATTAGCGCGCGTTGGTTCACGTGCAGCCCTGAATTTCTCGTTCGCGTACTTAAGACGAGCTTGGAGATCCGGGGAAGATATCGAATTTTGTAGCGAATTGTTGACCGAATCATTAGAAGCGTTGCAATCTTTACCCGAGGCGACTCTTTTCAATGAAAATAACGTTTCTCAAGTTTGGTTGGAAGTCGTAGAAAGATCAGCCAAATTTTTGAGACAAGTTGTCACGGGGTATGTGTTCTTTACTAAAATTATATATATATATATATATATATATATATATATATATATATTATTATATATATTATATCTTATTATAAATATTAATTATATAACATATAATAATTATAATATATGATGTATTAATTATATTATTATAGATAACAATTTTTTAAATTTCAGAGAGGTAACTACTGGACGAGCATGGCGACCAGTGCCCCTATCAGATCAACATACGGCTCTTTGCTTATTATTGGAGCTAGTCGTCCAAAGGGCCACTCTTTCTAGTTTATTAGACTCTGTAGTTTTATTGCTTCATCTCAGTGGTAAACACAAGAATCAAGACAATCGAGTCACTCCACCTGGAAGCACGGCGCCGCTCGTCCCTCTGTTACGGCGATTGAATTACATACCAGCGACAAAATCTCGCAGACATCTCGACGGAAACGTTACACCGGGACCATGTGAAGTGTTACTTAAATATCTACGACTGCCGGACGATGATGCCGTGTCTGTCGATTTGAGAAAAGCCGCGGTGATCATTATGTGTAATTTAAGCAGAATGGCCTCTCCTCTCTTACCACCGGTTAATGCCGAGTACGGATTCCCAAGAAGCGGAAATTGCAGACAAACGTTTCAGGAGGTGTTGGCTTGGGGTAGCGTGAAGTTCGGAAATGGCTCCACTCCTTTTTATTGCGACGCAATCGCGGAATTGGGCATAAAACAGTTATGCTGCACCGAGCGAGCGCTGATGATACTGTCATTGAACGGCAATGTTTACAATATGTATCACGGATCCGAGACTCAATATCCACAGAGAGTACATGGTTTCTCCGATAAACCGGTCACGATGATCGCGTCTCATTCGGACGGCAAGCACTATTTAGCATTAACGCAGGACGGTTGCGTGTATTCCTGGGGCAACGGAGACGGAGGTAGACTTGGACACGGCGATACCGTCTCATACGACGAGCCGAAATTGATCGAGGCGCTTTTAGAGAAGAACATCGTGTTCATAGCATGTGGCAGCACATATTCGGCGGCATTGAGCGCCAGCGGTGAATTATACACCTGGGGCAGAGGCAATTATGGAAGATTGGGCCACGGCAATTTCGACGACGTTATGACCCCGACTCTAGTAACAACGTTGAAGGGTCATACGGTTGTGCACGTGGCTTGCGGCAGCGGTGACTCTCAGACCTTATGCGTCACCGCGTCCGGTATAGTCTTCTCTTGGGGTGATGGCGATTACGGAAAGCTCGGTAGAGGAGGAACGGACGGATCCAGGACGCCGAAGATCGTCGATAAGCTGTTGGATATCAACGTGGTGAAAGTGTTTTGCGGTGGACAATTTTCAGCAGCGTTGACCGCCCACGGAGAAGTGTACACTTGGGGAAAAGGAGACACGTATCGTTTGGGCCACGGCAGCGAGGAGCACGTGAGGTATCCCAAAATCATCGAATCGTTGAGAGACAAGAAGATCAAGGACGTATCTGTAGGCGCAACGCATATATTAGTTCTAACGGAGGATCAATTCGTTTACGGATGGGGTAGAAACGATTACGGTCAGATCGACCCCACGTTGGGCCCCGTTATTTCCGAGCCTACGTTATGCCCGACATTATCCTCGAAGACCGTCATTGGTTTGGCATCGGGTCCGACCCAGAGCTTCGCCTGGTGTATGTCAGCGTGGTCGGGTGGAGCTAGCAGAGTGGCCTTTGTCGTCGATATATGTGAGGAGACCTTCCAACTGCTCGACACGCTTTTAGGTAAATCTTGCGAGGGTTTACCAGGAATACGACCGCCTACGCAGGATCGTGAGTGTCTGGCTGTGGCTACGCTGAATTTACTCCGCTTACAATTACATACGATGTTGACGCATAATATCGACAGTAAATCTGTTGGACTGGCTGCTAATAGTCCTTTGTTAAATTCCCTGAAGCAACGCTGTGTTAATCTAGCGAGCGCGACCGGGATATTAGCGACGATACAGGAAGCGGCGCAAGCGGTTCTACAAACAGGTTGGAGCATTCTGCTGCCAACGGCTAACGAGCGAGCGAAGACGCTGTCCAGCTTTCTACCGAATACATCGAACAACGTGGAACAATCAAGTTCGGCAAATATATACATAAACAGTGGACAGCGATTTATGGCCGATTTGCTGGTATCCAGCCTAATGGTGGACGGTGGATTGGAACTAGCATTGAAAGCTGCGATCAAAGCGGAAATAGCGGACATGCCGGACGAGAAAGACTTTCTCGATATAGGCACATCATCGAACGTCATCAAAGTGAGAACCGAAACGAGACAGGGCATGAAAGACGGCTTCAATTCCGTAAAGAATATCACAACCATCTCGTTACTTCAACTTATTCAACAGTTGATCAGAAATGGCACATGCATTACGCAATCCAGATTACAACAAGGTTCGACACAGCAAACGGATCGAAATGAGCATCTACGAAGATTCGACAATTCGCCCAGCTTGAATCTTCTGCTACGTTTTCAACGGTTACTCATCGCTCAAATGTACGAGTGTATCACGCGCAAATCTCGCACGGAAGATTTGCACGATCAGGAGATGATGGGCACGGAGTCCCTGTTGAAGAAGTACATCGCGCAAATCTGCGATCATGCAACTGAAATACTGCCATTGGCGACCGAGATCGGCGGCCGGTCTATCAAAGATTTTATTTCCATTGCTAGCGTCTTGAAAGCTGACATAATCAACGTACTACTTTCCGAGTTGGTGACATGTCTGATACTGTTGCAAGTGGACTGCCCTGTGCTGCTGATCGATATGAATTGGATGGAAGTGATCGCGCCGATTTTAGACGCGCTGGATCATTTCGTCAAGCTGGCGCCGACGATGGAGAAGAACGAGGCGGACGATTTATCCTGGCCGGGAATCATCGCACCGCAACACGGAAACAAGATATCTATTCAGGAAGAACCCACGTTGATTCGCTGGGCAGATCTGGAGAACCATAATCGCGACGGTGGTCTCTGGGTGGTGGTGAACAATAACGTCTATGACGTTCAAGATATTAGAAACGAAGGTTCCTGGTCACCTTACGAAGTACTCCAGAGATACGTTGCCGGACGAGACGAGACTTCGACGCAATGTAGCGTACCTTACAGTCAGCTGTCTCCACCACGAGGCATGATGGATTCCTGCTTCGTTGGTCATTATTGCCACTCGGAGCCTGACGAGAATGCACGAGTCACGATCGAAGTGACCGATGTTTGCTCGTCCCTCTTGGACACGGAGAGAGCTTTAGGATTTTTGCTGGGCCTACACGCTTACCGGATGCGACAGAGCTTGACTCTTCAGTCAGCGGAGGAAGAAGCCGGCGTGTGGCTTACCGCGAATTTCTTGCGCGGTGGCCTGCAAGTTCTGCAACCGCCAAATCCATATGAAGAGGAGAAGGACGAGGCGAGAAGCAACACGTCGACTGCCGCGAATTCGCCCACGGAACCGCCGCTTCCGGTGCATGCGAAGAACGAGCAGCAGAAGGAGAATGACGATCGAACGATCGCGTTTATACACGCACTAGCGGAGGCGCATAAAACCGACGACAGCCACGTTCGGGCATTCTTAGCGATAATCGACAGGTACTCCAAGGCTAATAATCTGTTTTCTCACGCTGAGTTTTGCGGTGACCATCCCGTAGAAGAGATTAGTCGCGTCCTCATGGCTGTGATTGTCAAGCACCTCGGCTTGGGACAGCAAGCGCTTTTATTGGCAGAGCAGGAATTGAAAACCCCTAATAGCGCGAAACTGAGCAATCAATTGGCCGACATGGCTCGGGCGATTTATCAGACCAAGTGGAACTTGATACGGATTAGACAGCAGCAGAACAGAAGTTACAAGGAGGTCTGCGCGCCTGCGCAAGAAAGATGTAGGTTTCTCTTATACGAAGTTCGACCCGCGACGAGTTACGAAGTTAAAGGACTGGAGGATTTGAAACTGCTGCATACCGTCCCTAGGTTTAAGAGGGCCGTTCATACGATTATAACGGATATTCGTAGAAACAAGGATTCGTCTGGCGGAGCCGGTGGGAAGCCGGAGGACATATTAAACGCGTCCATACAAAATGCTAAAACGAAGAACAAATCGACGGATGGGGATACGATGTCTTCTTCCAAGGAAGGTTCGATCATCGTGGCTTCTTCTTCTACAAAATTGGAGGATATATCGGACATCAAGAACAAAATTATGCAAATGACAGAAAAAATTCGACACGGACCGATACGGTGGGCTACCGCTGATTCTAATGGCTTGATGACGAGTATCATCGAGTTCGTCATCAACGACGGCATCGGTGGAGACGTCGAGATCTTGCGTCGTGCTATGTACTGTCAAATGCAACGTGCTCGAATGCGAGAGGAAGGTATCTCGATGATGCGAGAGCTGTTGAAGAGGGATTATTTGATACCATCGGTGAAATATTCTTTGCTCAACGGCTGGCTCGGGTTAACGTATGAAAACAAGTCTCTTAGCGACGGAATCGCACATTGTTTGTACGATATACAGCTGACTACTCCCTATCAAAAATCCAAGGTTATTCTGGCTGAAGCGGAGGTCATTTCATGGGCAGTACAAGCTTTGCGAACTTATGTCATACAGGCGGAGCTGCCGAACAAGCAGAAAGTCAGCGGGAAGAGTAGCTTGAATCAAGGTACTTATACATGGTTGCGAAAATTACCAAGAGCGAGATTCCTACTGACCATCCTTGGTATGTTGACCAATTATCAATGTGCCAACGAAATCGGCTTGTTGGTTAATTCAGGCCTGTTATCAAGTATCTTGACTTTGTTAAGACAAATTGGACCATCCTCAGCAACTTTCTGCGAAGGCGGCGAAGGTCAAGGACAGCAGGGCGGAGACGGTGCCGAGGCACCGAAAGTCAAGCCTGAAATTTCAGCGATTTACGAAGACACCCTTCAGAAGAACAAACCGCCGACCGTACAGCTCAGCGGAATGGAGTTGGCAGCGCTGATGAAGGTGGGCACTAGAGTTGTACGAGGTGCCGATTGGAAATGGGGCGATCAGGATGGTCCACCACCTGGAGTAGGTAGAGTGATCAGCGAACTCGGCGGCGACGGATGGATCAGAGTTCAGTGGGACAACGGCGCGACGAATTCGTATCGCATGGGTAAGGAAGGTAAATACGACCTGAAATTAGCGGATCCGCCGACCCCACCTGATGACGACAGCGACGAAAGTGACAGCGACGCTTCGCTTGACGCGAATAAAACGGAGAACACCGTGGGCTTTCGCGCGGAAGAGCTACATCCAACCACTTGCCTCAAATCAGCGTCGACGACCTTGCTACGAATAATTTTGCTTTCATGCGGCGTGGAGGCGGACAAAATTCCCGTTACATCCATCAAGATTCTCACGTCCACTCTGCATGGTATAATATCGACTGCAAACAGATCCAGCGAGTCAGCCACGCATGTTCAGCTAGCGAGACAGCATCACGAGACTTGGGCTACTTTTAGTCTTTTGAGGGCGATTGCTAAGTCAACGAGATTATGCAGGTCTCTGAGCTCGCAGACCTGGCTTGACCTTTTATTAAGTATCATCATCGATGAGACCAAACCCTGTCTGGAAAAACAAATTATGATCACCAAGTTATTAGCTGCCGTTCTACCCTCGTGGGGAGTGGAAACAGTCTCGAGCGACATGACACAATTCTTGGAAAAGTCCTTCGAGATCTTAGGTCAAGTTGCGCTCACATGTGACATCACTTCCGGTACTGAGCTTCATTCGAACAAGTGTCGTATGTCTTTAACCGCGTCGTACAGTTCTACAGTAGCCGAAGAATTAATATGGTTAATTAGGTACTTGCATTCTCTCCCGGGTTGGAACGAAGCCATAAACAGATTTCTTTCTGCTAAATTGGCTTTGACAGTAGATCTCTGGAATGATAGTCCGTTGTTTCACATACAAATGAACGAGAACGGTGGCGAAAATGGTCTGTGTATTCAACGTACAATCATGGCTACTCTCATTGTCATCGGTGGTTTGGATAACAGAATAAGAATCGGCGGTTTGGTGAATTCCGACGGTGAGATGGGCACGGTCTGCAAGTTTACGAAGCACTCCAAGATCGTCATGCAGTTGTGGAACGGCAACGGGACGCGGAAGATAGTTCCGTTTCACGCAGTGAAGCGAATCAATGATAAATTTCAATTGGACAAAATGCCTTTAACGGAGGCGCTTATATCTATCTGGGCCAATTTATTTTCAGGCGCTACTTGCGGAATGGATAAACGACCCGGCGGTATGCCAGTCATCGCTGGCGTTGTCAATTCCTCGATATTGCGAAGCCAGCAGCAACAACTCGCGGCCTTGAACGCTAGTAAAGCAATGCTTGCTTATCAGTCGAAATTGCGGAAGATCTTGAAGTATCAATGGACCAGTGACATCAATGACGACGAAAGACGTACTTCCATGCTCTTGCAGGAGATGTTGCTGCGCGCTACGAAGCCGCAACCACTGAAACCGGTGTTTAAACGTAAAGAGCTAGAAGAGGCCGCTCTGGCAGTCTCGCAGTATTTGGTCTCTGAACTAAGACACACGCCTATTCAGCGAACCGGCATGACTTCGGATCCTACTACTCCTACATCCGACTGCTCATTGGTCTCCTTAACGTCGAGCCAGAAGAGACACTGTAAAAGCAACGCAATGGCAAGAAGAAGTTCCGTAGCGGCACCTGCGTCCCCTCTGGTAGCTCAGTTAGTGGAAATGGGTTTTCCCAGGAAAAGCGTCGAATTGGCTATCAAAAGTATGAGCGTCGCCGAGCAAGGCAGCGTGACGGCGGAAAACGTGGTGGGCTGGCTGTTGGAAAATCCAGACGCCGCTCTCAGTGATTCGGAAACTTTATCCAGCCTGGATGGATTGACTGACGGTAGCGACGATTCGATCAGCGAGGACCTGGATGATTCTCCGTCGGGACAAGAGGGTGGTGCTGCGGGTGGTACACCATCGACATTCATGAAACGTTCGGACTTTCTGTCGGTTGACGAATACGCTATATACGTACGCGACAATGTCGTTCCAGGTATGTTAGTACGCTGCTGCAAGAGCTACGAGGAAGTAGAATATGGCGATGTCGGCCAAGTGATGAAGATCGATGCGGAAAACTTACACGATCTGAATGCGCAAGTTGCGTGGCAACGCAAAGGTGGAATGTACTGGGTGCGTTTTATTCATATAGAACTGCTCGGCTATCCACCATCTTTACCAGGTCCACCGCCTGCGTTGAAGGTCGGCGATAAAGTTCGAGTCAAGGCATCGGTTACAGAACCAAAGTATAACTGGGGATCTGTAAATCATCATTGTGTCGGAGTGGTCACAGCGATAACTAATAACGGCAAGAACGTATCCGTGGATTTTCCGCAGCAACATGGTTGGACCGGTTGCGTTTCCGAGATGGAGAAGGTACCATCTTGTCATCATTCCGTGATATGTAATTCGTGCTGCTTGTCGCCGATTTCTGGTCCCAGATTCAAGTGCAAGTATTGTGATAATTATAATTTATGCGAGAATTGTTTCTACACCAAGAGATCACACCGACACGGTTTCAATAGGATTGCGGAACCAGGTTCGGCGGCTGTTTATGCAGGAAAACCTGGCAGATACCATAGACAAGATCTATCCGAATCATATCTGATCGACGATTGGTCCAAATGCATCAGAACCTTGAGCGTATCTTCGCGAGAGAACTGGGCAACACGTCTAGTAGATGGATCTGGAAAATATTGGCAAAGTTGCGGGTCGCAAGGAAAGCACTGGATTCGTCTCGAGATGCTGTCCGGAATTCTGATACACTCGTTGAAGATCATCGTCAATCCACAAGATAGTAGCTACATGCCTTCGGTAATAACGGTTAACGTCGGAGACTCTTTCACCAATTTAGTGGAATTAAGAACGATAACCATACGTTATTCGGATACTAGCGTTACGCTTCTTCAAGATCTGAAGGAATATTATCCCTGTGTAGAGATAGCGATTAAGCAATGTAGAAATGGCGGCATAGATTGCAAGATACACGGTTTACGCGTAATTGGTCGCCAGAATATGTTTGAAAATCAGCTGACAACTTCGGTCTCTTTCCTCGCATCCGATTGGGAAGTCTTGCAAGAGCAAGTGGCGGTGCAACGGAGCATCGATGCAACGCCTCCTCAACAATCAGCCGTCTATGTTTGGGGCTTGAACGACAAAGATCAATTAGGAGGTCTGAAGGGATCTAAGATCAAACTACCGATTTACAGCGAAGTCCTATCAAAATTAAAACCTATCCATATAGCCGGAGGAAGCAAAACTCTCTTTATCGTCAGTCAAGAAGGCAAACTGTACGCTTGCGGAGAAGGAACGAACGGCAGATTGGGTTTAGGAGACGACAATAATGTGTGCGAACCAAAGCCCATACCTTTCTTAAGTCAATTCGTCATTAAAAAGGTGGCGGTGCATTCAGGAGGAAAACACGCCCTGGCACTTACTCAAGATGGCAAAGTATTCTCGTGGGGCGAAGGCGAGGATGGCAAACTGGGACACGGAAATAGCATGTCGCTAGATAAACCTAAGCTCATCGAGACGTTAAAATCGAAGAGGATTCGCGACATCGCTTGCGGATCAGGACATTCAGCGGCAATCGCGAGCAACGGCGAACTGTACACCTGGGGTCTAGGCGAATATGGTAGATTAGGTCATGGAGATACCCTGACGCAAACAAGACCGAAGCTGGTGCAAACCTTGGTCGGACATCGAGTAGTCCAAGTGGCCTGCGGTAGCAGGGACGCACAAACGATGGCCTTGACTACTGACGGCTGCGTGTATTCCTGGGGCGACGGTGACTTTGGCAAACTCGGTCGTGGTGGAAGCGATGGCTGTTATACACCCTTAGTGGTAGATCGATTAAACGGTTTAGGTGTTGTACAGGTGGAGTGTGGCGCGCAATTTTCCCTCGCCTTGACGAAATACGGTGAGGTGTGGACGTGGGGGAAGGGAGATTATTTTCGTTTAGGTCATGGTAACGATCATCATGTTCGCAAGCCCACGTTGGTCGAAGGTCTTCGAGGCAAGAAGATTGTTCATGTCGCCGTAGGTGCGTTGCACTGTCTTGCGGTGACCGACTCGGGCCAGGTGTACGCCTGGGGCGATAATGATCACGGACAACAAGGTAATGGTACAACGAGCGTCAACCGAAAACCATCATTGGTACACGAGCTGGAGGATGCAAGAGTGAACAGGGTATCCTGTGGTTCTAGTCATAGCATAGCCTGGGTATTAGTCGATCAGCCAAGTAGCGGAAATCAAGAACCGGTAACGTTTCCAACAGCGAGAGATCCGCTAGGCCAAATGTGTCTAGGTCTGATTAACGCACCTGAGCAAAACGGCGTAATCTCCACGACGAGTAACGTCATCGCCACCAGATCATCCCTCGCCAGTATAATACTTTCGCTAGAGAGCAACGTTGCCAAGCAGCAAGCCTTACAACATGTTATTAACGCTCTTCTAATTATGCAGGCACGGGCAGCGATAGTAACCGCTTTGCAGAGCCATTCAACGCTAAACGGCTGCGCGTCGGCGAAGCACGCACCGATGGCGCCAGTAATGGATGTGATTCCACCATCCGAGGTAACGATGACATCGAGTACCGAGCACACAGTTTATCAGAATGTCGGTGACATTGCGCAAGGCGGAGGTGAAGCTCCAGCAAACGTCGCCGAAGCGGTCAACGTCGTGACGACTAGTCCCAAAATGACTCCCGAGTCGGAGGATTATCCATTAGCCTTGTTAGCCATGTCTATGTCTAGTTCTGCTAGTTTATCTTCGCGCGCTTCAAGGATGTCCACAAGCGCGATGAGTGTTATAGCCGCCACTTTAACATCCAATGCACAAGTAGTGGGCGAGGATGGCGTTACGGCCTCCGGCTTGGACGAGTTTACGTCGGCTTTGACGGAAGATGACGCCAGAGTTCTGGTGGATCTGTTGAAGCTAGCGGTAGCCAACAGAGTTTACTCATCAGCCAAAGAAACAATATCGTTGGTATTAATCGCCCTAGGTAAGATCAATAGTTCGGTCGGCAGTATGTTGCTGGAACTATGCGTAACGGAACTGGAGGACACTGCGGCGAATAGCAACTGTGTTAACAACACGCCGCAACCCGTGGTGCAGGAGACACCGCATCCTTATATAGACGACACCACGTTGACGGGTCATGTGAAAATATCTGGCGCGGAGGCTCTTCGAGTAGAATTCGATCGACAGTGCTCCACGGAGAAGCGACACGACCCGCTCACAATAATGGACGGAAGTGGTAGAGTGGTGGCAGTCAGATCCGGTAGAGAATGGACTGAGTGGGGTCCAGAGATTAAGATCCAAGGGGACGAGCTGAAATGGCGATTCTGCTCGGACGGATCCGTCAATGGCTGGGGCTGGAAATTTACGGTGTATCCCATTCAAGCGAAAACCGCGCCGTACGAGCTCGGATCCGACCGAGCCGTGCTGTCGCAGCCAACTATAGCCTTGGCCGAACATTTACTCATGGACAATAGTCTGATAAATTCTGACAGAAACGTTGCCTCTCGTCTGGCCACCGCCTTGGGTCAATGCAGTCAACTGAGCACTCTGTCCGCGCAGCAGAGGATGTGGGCGTTGAGGAAATTACAGGTAGTTTATACAAACGGACCCGGTATCAGACCTGAAGTCGCGCTCTCATCTCTTCTTGGTTCCCTGCCACAAGCTCTCTTACGGCAGTACGCGTACGAAGATCCTCTGGTCAGAGGTGGCAAGCAGCTGATGCACAGCGACTTCTTCAAGGTTCTCGTGGCGCTCGCGTGCGACCTCGAGTTGGACGGGATGCAGTTCTGTTCCGAGGTGCATAAGTGGTCCTGGTTCCGCAGGTATTGCCTTGCTGCGCGCGTGGCAAAATCACTGGTCGATCGCATCCCTTTACCGAAAGCGTTTTGCCACGAGGTCACGAAGCAGCTGAACGAAATGGCGATGGACGGAGACACCGAGCACACGAAGGATCACGAAAATCACGTTATATTCAAACAGGGACACGACGAGCAGCTGCTACAATGGCTGAATCGTAGACCGGAGGACTGGACGCTTTCATGGGACGGTTCCGGGGCGATTTACGGATGGGGTCACAATCACAGAGGTCAGCTGGGTGGCCTGGAAGGTCCGAAGGTTAAACTACCTGCACCCTGCGAAAGTCTGTCCGCACTCAGACCGATACAGCTGGCTGGTGGCGAACAAACTCTGTTTGCTGTAACTGCCGATGGAAAGGTTTATTCGACAGGTAACGAAGAATTCTTAATATTACTGTGTAACATGTATTAAATTTTAATCTGCTATATTTTTGCAGGTTACGGAGCTGCGGGACGCCTTGGAATAGGAGGAACGGATTCCGTTATGATCCCGACGCTATTGGAATCGATACAGCACGTGTTCATTAAAAAAGTGGCCGTCAGCTCGGGAGGAAAACATTGCCTCGCTCTAAGTTCGGAAGGTCATGTGTATTCCTGGGGCGAGGGCGACGACGGCAAGCTGGGACACGGTAACAAGATGTCCTACGACCGGCCAAAATTGATTGAGGATCTACTCGGCGTGGAAATTTTAGATATAGCTTGTGGTGGTCATCATAGCGCCGCTATCACGAGCGCTGGTTGGCTGTACACCTGGGGAAAAGGTGCAAAGATGAAAAAAAGAATATATAATGTACTTTTATTTTATTATGTTGTATTACGTATTATGTTGTATTCTGTATATTTTAATTTTTTACATATGTAAGCCATATATAAAACATTAAACATATATGTGAAATTACTAAAAATATATATGTATTACATCATGTTAAAAGGAATAATTGATTGTGCAGGGCGATACGGACGTCTCGGGCACGGAGACAGCGACGATCAATTACGACCGAAGGTGGTCGAAGCTTTACAAGACTACAAAGTGATCGACGTAGCTTGCGGAAGTGGTGATGCGCAAACGCTCTGTGTAACTGACGACGATAACGTGTGGAGTTGGGGCGACGGAGATTACGGGAAGTTAGGTAGAGGCGGCAGCGATGGTTGCAAAGTTCCATTGAAGATAGATTCCTTAGCCGGACTTGGCGTAATTAAAGTCGAATGCGGTAGTCAATTTTCAGTCGCCTTGACGAGATCTGGAGCAGTTTATACCTGGTAATAATAGATATCTATTTTTTATACAGTATGATCATTATCTTCTTTCCTATTTTGTCATATGTTTAATCTTTTATCTTTGTACAGGGGTAAAGGTGACTATCACCGTTTAGGACACGGCACGGACGATCATGTACGTAGACCGCGCAAAGTAGCCGCGTTGCAGGGGAAGAAGATCATTTCGATAGCCACGGGCTCGTTGCACTGCGTCGCGTGCTCGGACAAGGGAGAAGTCTTCACCTGGGGCGACAATGACGAGGGTCAGCTCGGCGACGGTACCACGAGCGCGCTCCACCGGCCGAGATTGGTGCACGCGTTGCAAGGCAAGAAGATCACGAGAGTCGCTTGCGGTAGCGCGCATACTTTAGCCTGGAGCACTGCGAAAGCCACGCAGAGCAGGATGCCAGCGTCCACGCCCATGGAATACGACCTGGTCAAAGACCTGTCGTACTCCGTACTGCGCAATAGATTAGTATTACTGCACCATTTCGCGGAACTCTTGTGCCCTGCTTTGGCTATGTTTCCGATCACCGGTCATATCGGACTGAGCAAATTGGCTCCTATGCTAGTGTACAGTATAAAGGAAGCTACATTCCGCAAAGTCATTCAAGCCACGATGGTGAGAGATCGTCAGCACGGGCCTGTGATCGAATTGAACAGGATACAAGTGAAGAGGGCCAGAGCTAAAGGCGGTTTGGCTGGACCGGATGGTATCAAGTCTGTTTTCGGTCAAATGGTGTCGAAGATGTCTCTTTTGACGCAGGATGTATTGTTTTTACCTCACAGAGTTTGGAAAGTAAAGTTTGTCGGTATGCATTCTGTTTATATATCAGGTTTTATACAGAGTGTCTGACATAAAGTGTTACACCGAAAATATACAAATAGATCTCGTTATTCGGAGACGATTTTTCCTCAGCAACAATGTCGAGGGAGGCCATCATTTTTTGCATGTTCCCAATTTTTGCCATCATGTATCTTTATAACGAAACCTTAAATTAAAATTTTATTCAAGTAAACTCTACTTGAAATTAATTGGAGAATGTGGTTTTGTTAATATTTTACTTCCGCAAGGATTAGTTTGCGAAAAACCTTTTATTTTCAATCGCTTATAACTCAAAAATTATTAAAGCCTTAATATTTTTGCTGAAGAAAAATTGTCTCCAAATAACAAAATCTACTTGTATATTTTCGGTTGTATATGACACCTTATATCAGATATCCTATATACGATAAAATATATGAAATTGCTAATGAATTGTATTATTTAATTTAGGAGAAAGCGTCGACGATTGCGGAGGTGGCTATAGTGAGAGCATAGCAGAGATGTGCGACGAATTGCAAAACGGTTCCTTGCCACTATTTATACCAACACCAAACGGTCGCGAGGACAACGGCACGAACCGAGACTGTTTCTTACTGAACCCTATGGCGGACTCCCAATTGCACATGAACATGTTTCAATTCTTAGGCATCCTGATGGGCATTGCTATACGAACGGGTAGTCCGCTGAGTTTAAATCTAGCCGAGCCAGTTTGGAAGCAACTTGCTGGTATACCTCTGACGCCCGCAGATTTGACGGAAGTTGATAGGGATTACGTTCCTGGCTTACTTTGTATAAGGGACATGGATCCCGATGAAAAAGTCTTTCAGAGTTTAGAAATGCCATTTTCTACTCCCTCCGCTGCAGGACACGATGTGGCACTATCTAACAGGTATTTTTTTATTATGTTATATATATATATATTTATATATATATATATATATATATATATATATATATAAATATTTATATTATATATAATTATACAATAATAATATTATAACATATGCGTTGTATTGTGCAAAATTTGCTAGCCTACTTTAAACATTGAAAAAGCAATATAATATATCTTTAAATATAAATATGATAAATTAAGAAAACAGATTTACATATATATTTTACAAAATATGTAAGTTGAATTGTTATTTTGCAAATTATACGTTATATATATTTTAAAATTGCATGCTAATGCAAGATATATTAAATTTATGTTGTTATAATTATTAAACTAAATTATGAAATAATATTTAATGAAAAAATACAATCTAGATTTAATAATATAGTTAAAAGAAGAACATTTTTGTATGATAGATAAAGAATAAACTATTCTTTAAATTTTTTCAGATATCTTAAAATAACACCAGAAAATAGGCATGAGTATGTGAGATTGGCACTAGATTATAGGCTACACGAATTTGATGCTCAAGTAGCAGCTGTGCGAGAAGGATTGTCGAAAGTCGTTCCTGTGCCCCTATTGGCACTATTTAGCGGTTCTGAACTTGAAACGATGGTTTGTGGCAGTCCAGACATACCACTGAATCTATTAAAATCTGTTGCAACATATAAAGGTAAATACTCTATTTCGATATTTTTTATATTGTATCAAAATACTTATGGTACTAACTTTTTATGTAAGAAATGAAAGTGTTAAGCGCTTATAGATAATTTCCAAAATTTAATCCAATTCTCTATAAGATTATAATTGGTTCAAAATTCCTTATATATATGATTCTTTATATATATATAATATCTATTATAGCTTCTAATTTTTAACAATTGTTTTTGCAGGTATTGAAGCAACTGCACCGCTTGTTCAATGGTTTTGGGAAGTTATGGACGAATTCTCCAATCAAGAACGATCGCTTTTCCTTCGTTTTGTTTGGGGCAGGACACGTTTACCGCGCACAATTGCAGATTTTAGAGGCAGAGACTTTGTTTTACAAGTAAAAAAATTGCACTTTATATTCGATATCAAAGTATCACCGTATATATATATCATTCTTTTATCGATTTTCTTTTTTCTTAGGTAATGGACAAGTACAACCCACCGGACCAGTTTCTTCCTGAAAGTTATACCTGCTTTTTCCTTTTGAAAATGCCAAGATATTCGTGCAAAATAGTTCTACGACAAAAACTGAAATATGCAATTCATTTTTGCAAAAGCATCGACACCGACGAATACGCTCGAGTGCAAGCTGCAACTAATTCAGACACTGAAGATACAGATAGTTTAGCGAGCGAAGAGCACACTTCGCTATAAGTCATTCGCTAAATAAAAGTGTTATTTGTGTTTGAAATGGCATTTTGTTGACTTCTTTACAGATGTGTTCACGGATCATCCAAAAAAAATCCTATTTTTCTTACACGACATCACACTGTACTTAATATATGTATCGCTTTTGTAGAATATCTAGTTTAATGTATAGTAGACGATAACAGAACGATAAATAAATCACTAAGAATAAGTTTATTTAGAAATGTCCTTTTTATTCTTAGATATATAATATATTGAATTTACGATTAATTAAATTTTATTTCGATAGTTTACATTGATTTTACGCTTTTATTTATTGAAATTATTAATTATTATTCATTAATAATTTGAGTAATTGTTTTATATATATATATATATATATATATATATATATATTTCGGAACATTTTAGAATATATTACGTTTTAAGTCCAAACTTACCAAAATATTTTCATATATTTTATGATTTTTAAATATGACTACATGTTATATATTAAAAAATTAATATGTAGCGAGAACAGCCGTCAGTCTTGTTATTTTTAGGATATAATCAAATCACGCTGCAGATAATAAGTATCGCAATGTCATCAGCCTCTTCGTCAGGCATTTATTGAATTATACTTATTGATAAAAAGACATACAAATTGCTATGCGTGTACATATAAATATACATACAGATATATATATATATATATATATATATATATATATATATATATAGTTTAATAGAATTTAAAAATTAAACTATTTTGATATAATATCAAGATCGAAAAAAATATTGTTTAATTTCTTTTATATAATTATAATCTAAAAAATAAGGAAGTACATAAAAAATGATACATAAAAAAAGGTAAAAAGGTTATAAAAAACACCAACAATGATAAACATTTTCCACAGAGTTAGCAACAGAAAAAATTCTATCTTCAATAAATGCGAGTTTATATATAAGGCGAGTAAATATTTAGATATATGTACAAATCTAGAGCGATAATACACAAATAGTTTTATCTAGTAAGAGGAGATAAGACTAATTTTATGACGAAATTACCGTTCCTTTACCTATTATTATTATTATTAACGTGATGAAATAAATATTTTTAATTTACAATAAATACTAAAGCATAAATTTGCGAAATACACACACACACACACACACACACACGTTAGAAAAAAATAACATCAATAACAGAGATTAAACGTAATCACACAATTTTATAACGCTTAAAGTCCCCTGTCGAGTATTGTCTTTCCTTTCGTATGCAAATACATTGAGTAATGTTTTCTCGCTTTGTGACGTCGTTTGTAATCTTCTTTTTAACTATAAAGAGCTGTACGGAAATCAGTTTTTTTTATCAAACATGCATTTCACCGCGAACGCAAACTGATATCACGCGCGAAAAAGAAATTGACGTTAAAAAATGTGACGACAAGTTTCTTGATAACATATACACTATAAACAGTATAATTTTGAAGATAAACCACAACAGAGCAACAAGTCATCCTGACTGAGAGAACTACAGTCCAGTTTGTTTCAATATCTTTTGCAGTTGTACACGACAAGCTGATCCCATAATAAAGCATATAAAATGCTTCGTTTAGTGACTAATAAGGTATATATATATTCGATTTTATTGCATCTAATTATGTTATGAAATTAATAATTTTATTTATACTTTTGTAAAAACTTAATATATAAATATTATTTTTTTAGTTATCTAAATGGGGTTTTAAAAATACCCGAGCGTTCACTACGTACAATGGGAAGAATGAGACAAAGAACATTGAAATACCTAATAATGCAGATGTTGTAATAATAGGTAACTAATTATATCATTATAAAAAGGACTAGATTTAAATAAAAACTATCTAGATATTCTACAGTAATGCATTCATTAATTAAAATTAACTGAGGTTTATTCATGATATTGGAATCTAACTCTAGAAAAAAATTTCAGCTGAATAACAGTTAATTTTAATTAACGTTTATAAACACAAGTTTTGTATACAATGTATTTATATACAAGAATTCTTATAATAGGTGGTGGTAGTGCCGGCTGCAATGCGCTTTATCAGTTAGGAAAACGTGGTGTCAATGCTGTACTCTTGGATAAATCTAAGCTTATATCTGGCACAACATGGCACACAGCAGGTCTTGTATGGTGTTTACGCGGCGTAAACGACATGGAAATGGAGCTGTTGAAAACTTCGAGATTGCTTTACGCATCTTTGCAAGAAGAGACAGATGTAAATCCAGGATGGATAAATAATGGTGGACTTCTTATCGCTAACACTTCTGTGAGTCTTATCTTAGCTTTTTCTGGAGCATTTTGATTGATGCCTTGGTCCACAATTTTTCAGAGATTAAATATAGCATTGTATTTCACAGGAGCGAGTGGCCGAGTACGAGAGATTAATTACTGGCTGTAAGAATTTCGATATCGATGCATATCTGATTGATCCGGCCGAAACGAAGAAAATATTTCCTTTGATAAATGAGAAGGCACTTCTGGCTGCGATACATTCTCCAGCAGATGGTACTATAGATCCTGCTATGTTAATAAATGCATTAACAAAGTCAGCAAAGGCAAACGGTTGCAAGGTAATTTTCATTTTCCTCTTTCATATCAATCAGTCTACACGAATATTACTAATTTGAATATTTGTATATGTAAAGAATAGTAATTTTCACAAAATGACAGAAGCTAAAGTTGAAGTTTTGCTTTGATTACAAATTAAATATAATACAATTAAAAACTAATCTAATTGAGTAAAATTCTAGATTATCGAGGATTGTCCAGTGACTAAAATTCTCACAGAGAATAATGATGGTCATAAGATCGTTCGTGGAGTAGAAACACCTTACGGTATTATAAAAACTAACGTCGTATTAAACGCTGCTGGAGCATGGTCCGGGAAGATAGCGCAAATGGTAGGACTGGATATTCCGTTGATACCGATGAAACATGCATACATCGTCACTGAGTCAATGGATGTACAAGGATTGCCAAACATCCGAGATAACGATCGTGATACCTATTTTCGGGTACAGGGTGGAAATTTAAGCTGCGGTGGTTATGAATCAAACCCTATTATGTTGAAATGTGTAAGTTGTACGTCTATATTATAAAAAAAATTTGCCATACATATATAAGTTCCCTTAATTAATTCTCAAACTTACTTAAAAGGCACCAGAAGACTTCTCCTTTAGTTTGTACGAGCTGAATTGGGATGTATTCAACGCACATGTAGAAGCGATGAACGAATTAATACCTGCTCTGGCAACCACTGGAGTAAAAACAACAGTGTGCGGTCCAGAAAGTTTCACTCCTGACCATAGACCTATAATGGGTAAAATTGAATCATTAATTACAATCTATGTTTATGTTCATTAACATTAAGCTAATATTAAGTCTAAAATATAACAATGTCTCCAAAAGGTGAAGACCCACGCTGCACAGGTTTTTATTACTCCTGTGGATATAACAGCGCTGGGATGATGTATGGAGGTGGTTGCGGAGAACAAATAGCATTATGGATAGTTAATGGACGACCAGACAAATACATGTTTGAGCGCGATATTAGACGGTAAAGATTCATTTTTGAATTAGAGATATTAAATTTTTAAATATGAAATATAATTTAACATTATAAAATTACTTAATGACTTAACTTTCAAATATACTAATAATTCTTCTTTTATATATAGATATGTAAAACATAATGTATATCAGCAATATAATTATATAATATCATTCTATTCATATTTATTAAATTAATGTTTTCTCCCTCTTTTTAGATTTATACCAGAACAAAGGAAAAACTTAAATTGGATAAACGATCGAAGTCATGAAGCTTATGCAAGAAATTCTGAGATTTTTTTCACACATGATGAATATTTAGCTGGCAGAAATTTAAAGACAGATCCTTTCCATAATGTATGTTATCTTTGCAAATATTCAAATTTTGTCAACATTTTTCAATTATTTTTTATTTTTATTTCTTTTATTTATCAATAAAGTGTTATTTTATTTATCTTTATAGTTACTCATTAATGAAGGTGCCGTCATGGAAGAACGGCAAGGATGGGAACGCCCAGGATGGTTCTTGCTAAATAATAAAACAGCTGCAACTTTGCCTTACGATTATGGTGGTTATTATGATAAACCAAAAAATACGAATGATATATACGCCGATATAATAAAAACGGAACGTACATTTGACTCTCCACCACATGACGATATTGTAAGTTTTTTTAAAATTGAGACAGGATCCAAAAAATAATTTTCAGTAAAAATAAATCTATAATTTTTTCTTTTATATATCTATTAGATACGGGAAGAAGCGCTTTCATGCAGAAATAATGTTGCGTTATTTAACATGTCGAGTTTCGGGAAATTTTACATATGCGGTCCAGACTCGAAAAAGGCGGTGGATTATATATTTACATCTCAAGTAGATCGAGAGATCAACAAGACTGTTTATACTTGTATGCTAAATAAAAACGGAGGTGTAGAAGGCGATTGCATGATTACTGGTCTAGAATCCGGCTTGGGTGGTGTAGTTGATCCCATATTTAAAGGAAAAGCATTTTATCTCGGTACGACTTTAAATTGTTGCATCTTATCATGCTTCTATATCATATTTCATCTAGCAACTCTGCATTATTAATTCCTTTATTTCTGATTTTAGTTACTGGAGGCACGTCATCATATCATATTTGGGCACATATTAGCAAAATAGTAAGAGAAAAAGAGTTCAGTGTATCTGTACATAATGTCACAGAACAGATAGGAATTTTATCAGTTCAAGGTCCTAATAGGTATGTATTCAAATAAAATACGAATACAAATATATATAAAAATCATGACAAAAATGTATGACATCATATATCTCATATTGTTCATTTAACATATTTTTTATTCTTTATTATAGTCGTCAAGTTCTTGAAATGTTAGTCGAAGAAGATTTCTCAAACAAATCATTTCCATATTGCACTTCAAAACTGGTACGAATAAATGGTGAACTGGTGCATATGTTTAGACTTAGTTTTGTGGGTGAACTTGGCTATGAATTACATATTCCAAGAAGTTCGTGTGAAAAAGTATACAAAGCTTTAATTAAATGTGGTAAAGAATATGATATGAAATTAGCTGGTTACAGAGCACTCCACAGTTTAAGTTGTGAAAAAGGTAAGGCAGCAGTTCAATATTATTATATCATTCAATCTATGTGCTAATCGTGTCAGAATTGTGCTAATTTGTCGATCAGGAACTCGTCTTTGGGGAACAGACTTAAGATCAGATGACAATCCAATAGAAGCAGGTTTAGAAACTCTCTGCCGCAGTAATGGCAAATACTTAGGTAAAACAGCTATTGAACGATATCGTAAAAATGGAATAAAAAAAAGACTAGTGCATTTACACATAAATGAGTAAGTATATATTGCTTTGCTATATATTTTTTCCAATATTTTGATTTATCAATATTTCAATAAATCATTTATATATCAACATTCGTTTAATTTTTAGTGATGTACCATTATGGGGTCTGGAAACTGTTTATAGAAATGATCAATTAGTTGGTTATCTAAGAAGAGCTGAATGTGGATATACTTTTAAAAGCAGTATTGGACAGGCGTAAGTAAATTGAATAGATAATAAAAAAATTGATAAAATATTAAAGATAAATATATATATGTAAATATTTTATATGTTTACTTTCTTTATTCAGATACATCACACCACCAAATGGACAAAATATTACAAAAGAATTTTTAGAAACAGGTACTTACCAGATTGAAGTAAGGAAAAAAGATATCCTGCAAGAATGTATCTTCAAAGTCCATTTGATCCACGTAACAAGAGAATATTAGGTGTATATACAATGTAAAAATACTTGGTATTATTTTTATAAGCTTAAATCTGTAAAAAGGATATATATTTTTTCATTATTAAACTTAATATTTTGCAAATAAAAAAATTATATTGATTTAAGGAATTAGTATAAATTACTTATGACATAATAAATAATAAAAATCATTCAATCACTCACAAGTTTATCCTGCTAATGGGTTAGCATGTATAGTTACATTATTTATCCTCATTTCTGCGAGTGGTTTATAATTCTTAGGATTTACTGGTAATTTTTCCAATTGTTCCAAAGTTTCCAAACCATCAATCACTCTGTAATAAATAAAAACCCGATTAAAAAAATTACAATTTACTTGCTATTACTGTAATTACATTTACTTGCTATCAAATAAAAAATAAATGCAAGAAATAAACTCACTTTCCAAAAAGAGTATATTTTAAGTCCAAATGTGACTGCGGCGCATATGTTATGAAAAATTGACTCCCATTTGTATTAGGACCATTGTTAGCCATAGACACAAGACCTCTTGTGTTGTGCTTTAATTCCTCTTTGAATTCATCTTCAAATTTACGGTTCCATATAGAGGTTCCACCTTTACCCGTATTTGTGGGATCTCCAGTTTGGACAATAAAGCCTTTTATGTTCCGATGGAACATACAATTGTCGTAATATCCACTAGCACAAAGAGCAAGAAAATTCTGTAAGAAAAAAAAGGAAAACATTTATATAGTGTCCCATAGAAAAATGCTGAGATTAATCAGCTGTCATTTTTTAATGCATGCAGTTATTGAGAAAACAAAATTGTGTTGAAAAGAGGGAAGCCTACAGTTTTTAATGGATATAAATAAAATGTGTGTATGCATTTATTTTACTAATAAAAAGTAATGAAAAAAATGCTAATAATAACAAATTCACATAAACTAATGATAAATATTTTCAACAGTGCCAGATTTAATAGCAGCTATTAAAAGGATAGTCAATAACATTAAAAATGACGTGTTAGAACAAGTTTTTACAAGTTTTCAAAAAAGAATACAATTTTGTATAAATTCAAATGGTGCGCACTTTAAAAATATTTATTATTAGATTATATATGTAATTATTAGCACTTTTTCATTACTTTTTATCAATAAAATGAACTGGTATACAAATATTTTAGCATTTTCCTATGAGATATCCTATACAAAGTCAAGGGATGAATGTTATAGGTTATATATATGATTGTAACATTATTAACATATGTAGTAGAAATATACCTCGCACGTTTTCGGGCACATCTCGCAAAATAATTCTATCTTTATGTCACCAACATCTGTATGCAATGTGACACTCTGAAAAAAACGTGACATTTTTATTACTGAAACTAATACACAAAAATATTGCACGAATAATTTAAACGTACCATTTTCGGTGTCCTCACAATATAAATTAATCGCCGTAGAAAATCCAAAATAAATCTCAACTGCAATAAAAAAACCTTATCTGACAGAGAAGGTAAACGACTCTTCGACAATTTATCGCTATACCTGCAAACCAAAACAATAGATCGTCGGCGCCGCGGGCAGCCTTGAAGAAAACGACGGAAAAGGAGAAAGTGTAGAAAGTGCAAAGTGCAACCGACAGATTTATGAACGGAGTTCAAATCAGCGTCTGGAATAAAACTCGACAAGAGATTTCCACAATTTATACATATTTAAAAAAAAAAAAGAAATATCTATACTAAAAAAAAAAAAAAGTTTTTTTTTCGCGTAAAAAAAATAAATAAAATTGATCTCGCTAAAAGAATCCGAAGTTGACTATATTTTGACTTCGCTGGTGCGCGGAAGGAATTTCTAGCGACAGGCAGCGCCGCCAAGCGGCCGCGCGTGCGCACTATCGCGCTCCTCTGCCGTCCGTTTAGTTTCCTCTCTTCTAATCGCGCGCGCGCAGCAGCGGATGTAAGAGGCGAACGGATAGAGAAAGAGAGTTCCGGAACGAGGGAAGAGAACGTGTTCGTGGGCTCTTCCGTGAAAAAAAATACGCACATCTCGCGAAATCTCATCGGATTATTTCGTCGCGAACAAACAAAAAAAAGAAAGAAAGGTATCCCCATCGAATTCGCGCGGCGTCGAAAAAAAAAAGGAGGGAAAAAAAAAAGGCCGCGTCGCGCGGAAGATACACGACGCCGCTATCGCCATCGTTGGCGACGACGACGGGATCGCGAATCCGCCGACGAGTGGCACGTCTGTGTGTGAGCGGTTCTCCTTGGTAAGCGTGACGTAATTGTATTGATCGGAGCGCGCGGAGGAAGGGACCCTCGAGAGTCGCGCATTCGCCATCTTGGACGAATTCGTCGGAGAAGAAGGTTTCTTGGGTGTCCTCACTCTGTCGTAGGCGCGGCGCGATCCGCTCGGAAGTGCACGGAATTCGCGTCTGAATCGCGCGTATAAATCTAGTTTTCACCGGGAATTTAACCCTGTTGTGAATTGTGAACCCATTTGGACGGACCAAGGTAAGTGCATGAATTTCCGCCGAAACCAGGCGAAAAATCCTCCTTCCTACGTGGAGGATGCTTCGCTGTATCCCGACACTTTTTCCCTTCTCCCCCCCACCTCTTCTTCCCCACCCCCCCTTCTCCGGGTCCTCGCGGAAACCTTCTCTCTCCGCTTTCTTCGACGACGGGGTACCGTTATCGCGAAATTACACACTCGTTCCTCCCGCCCCTCGAGTCGCGAGTTTCGCGGACTCCTCGACGACGACGGTGACGTCGACGTCGACGCCGACGGCGTGACGCGTATATCCGAGGCGTTTGTTGTTTTGGACGGGGATTTGACATTCGCGGGGCGGAGGATCCGGCGTACTTTTCGCCTCCTCTTTGACTTTCCCCGTATAATTATTATACCGGAGTATTTCGGATTTGCTAGGTAATAAATCGAGTTGTATTTTTGGTCGCACTCCTGAGAGTTCTTTTATTATTATTATTATTATTATTATTATTATTGCGCGCGGAGCGGCTTATTTCTGACAACGTGACAGACAAAGCTTTGTCTCGGCCTGTGTTTCACTCTAATGCGCCGTTAACGGGACGCGTTTTAGAAATTTCCTCCTCGCGTATTCCTGTAATTATGCAAATTATAATGGAATTAATGCTACTACATTGATATTGCTGTGTCGTTTATTATTATTATTATTATTATTTATTATTATTATTGTAATTTATTATTATTATTATTATTATAAATGGTTTTCGTCGTGTAAGGCATTTACTAAACAAACTGTGTGCAATAATTATAATTGCACTATTGTATATCCTGTTGTAAATGTATATTTTTACTCGATTACATGTTTTATGGAACAAATTCATACATCTATTTGCTTTTATATTTCTGATTATTTCATTGGTTTGATAATTCTTTGATTTTGAGAATCTAAGTAATATTAATTCTATCCATATGTAATTTCTAAAAATTTACTATACATAATAAAAAAACTTCAAATGTAATTGACATATATATATAAAGCTGTTTTTTTCGCCATTGTTAATTTTTAGGAAGATGTTTAAATAACTGTCTTTACAGACAAAGGGTTCGTTCTTTGGGTCTGATTGGTACTAAATGGTTGCGTGCAGACAGCATGTCTACTCTGTCAGGGATTGTGTCGAAGGGGGAGAAAGGAAAATCCAAGTTTCAATCACTAGATATCAATAGCTTGTATCGGGTGAGTAGGGTAAGTTGATCACAATTTAATACTTTTATCTTCTAACAAACTCTTCTATTGTATTATTTTATCTTATAATATCGACCAATTAAAAGATAATATATGAAATAATCTATAAACAATTTAATTTTCGTAGTTTCTCATATTTTAATATTTAAGAACTAATTTTTTCTGCAATGTAAACTAGTTAAATGTTTTCAACAAATATTTGAATATAGGGCGAATCTTTGGAACCGCATCAGCAAAAAAATACATTACCGCGCAAACATGGAATGCAAAGTCTTGGAAAGGTGCCTTCGGCACGGCGTCCTCCTGCTAATCTGCCCAGTTTAAAAAGTGAAACTAGCAGCAGTGATCCAGCTGTCAGTCTTGTGCCAAGTGGAGGAAGTGGTTGGGCTACAACTAAGGATTCGACATCGTCGACCACTACTACTACCACAGTAGCAAGTTCACCTGATAACACTACTGTAAGTTATAAATCAATTTTTAGATTACAGAGAATACAATTATCTTGCAGTTAACATTGTATTATTAATATTCTATCATCATAGTCATTTAACATAAGTTAATTTTTTGATAGTTATATAAAAAATAATTTATATTTTTATCTTTGTGAATATTTTTAATAAAAAAAATAAAGTTAAAAATTAAATTTCTTAATAAGAAAAGTTTACGAAAACAATTTGTTCTTGCTAATTGTTTTATTTTTATGTTTCATATTATGTTCATAATTTTAAAATGGATACTATTAAAGTTAATGTTTCCTTGCAGACTGTCTCTTCAACAGCACAATGCGCAGCAGGGACCGCTGTTCCAACATCTCTACACTCATTACTACCGGGACAACAAAATGTATCACAGTCTCCTTTTTTGGATCAAACAAACAACAAATCATCATGGAGCGCGATTATGAGCAGATCAGGAGATGGTGCGTAGAAAAATATTTATTCCATACATTATAGCACTACTGGCATGTAACGCGTAAAATTGATTGATATAGAATGTTAAGACTTTTAAGTTACTCATTTTTCACATTCTCTTTCCATCGAAACATTTTTGAACTCGTTTATCCAGAAGCAGGCTTAATTTAAAATAATTTAAGAGACAGTCCTGAAAGTATATTCAAAATTTTCTAAAAACTCAGACGTAATCATAAGGCGTGTCTAATTATAGCTGCAACTATAGAGTGAGAAAAAAGAAATCTTTAGTTTTCCATGCATAAATGTTCGTATGCTGCCTCCTCCTACGAATAGGGGATATACAAGATCGTAGGCAGGACGGCACGTGCAAGTTATTTGCGAGTTATTATTAATAAACTTCTCAGTTATTTTATTAATACTCATTGTCAGTTATTTAATCAATTAGAATTAATTATCAGTATATTGTTTATGTACGTATTATATCGACTAATATATTCTTAATCAATAGTTGATATGATTTTGTCTAAATGATACGATATATTAATGCCAATTGGAAATATGCAGATATATGTAGAAAAAATGTAGGTAGCAGTAATTATAGTATATGATTATGTTATTTATGGATTATATAAATAATATCTATTTAAAAGAGAATTTTTATCGAGATAATATGAAACTTTAAATGTCCAGAGTTGGATTGATAAAGGATGATGTAAACCATGAGATTACAGTATAATAGTATATCATGGACAATCACAATAGGATGTGAGACAATAATTCGTTCTTCAGTTCATATATATATATATATATATATATTCATTTAACATCCATTTCTGGACGTTGGGCAGAGTTAAAGTGTAAGCGGAGCGGCGGTCTTTTTTTTTTTTTTTTGGGTGGCACAATTAATTGATAGGTACGCCCATTGTGGCAGCAGTGGTTGGTTACGCGGGGCTCGTGGGGGGTGCGAAGGGGGCAAGAGGTGCCCTTGGACTGAGTTTCCTCGCCCATCAGTCCCCGCAGTTCCAACACGAGTTTCCCAGTCTCAGCGGACAGCCCTCCGCCTCCGTCTCCACTCAGAGCCAGACTCAACAGTCCTCGACAACATCCAATGCGATCTCGGTCGCAGTCCATCATTCGTTACTACAGCAACAGCCGTACTCCCACAACCACTCAGGTGGGGTGCTGCTTGCCTGTTGCTGCTAGATTCAATTTTTTATCTCTTTGCCAGTAGTGCTCTCTCTGTGCTTCTTCCCATGGTGGCTTATTTTTACGATTGCATTCTGAAATTATTAAATGAAATTATATTATGAATAATAGAAAATATAGTTGCCCATAGATTGGTGTAAATAAATTTGTTAGTAATGAAAACTGTGTGCAACAGAGATTTATAAGAATGCGCGATGCATGCGGATTCTTGACTCTGTATCTGATCATAAATAGGTCTAGTAAATTGTGCTTTGAGAAGTAGTAATTTTTTTACATATTGAATGTTGTTTAATGAAGACTACTCGTCTGCATATGTCTTAAAAGGTATTTGTGATAGTAAAATATGCTAGAGAGATAAAATTAATTTTATAATCTTTTGAAAAATTATGTGATAGGAATCTCAGGCTCTTGTTCCAATTTCTTTTTCTCTCATTATTAATATCTTGTAAGACTTGATGCAATTATTAGAAACTATTTGATATATGTATATACTGTGTATATCTATATAATATCACATATATAATATATCAAGAAAGTTGAGGTCTTATAAATAACTATAATTAAACATAAATATTAGCAATCTTAATTGCATTTAATTATATATTTATAATTTATGTAATTTCCCCTTAAATTTCTATTTGATAACGTTTGCATATAGTTAATATGTCTATTATTGTTTAACAAATCTGAATTGTTTTACACATATAAAATGTGGTGCACAATATTATTTTACGTTGTTTACTATGGAAGTAAATTGATTTTGTATTAAGATGCATATGTATATAATATTTAAAATATTTTCTCTTAGACGTATATTAAAGAAATATTACAACTAATTATACTTAACACTAGATTCATGTAAAAATGAAAATTTTTATGAAATCTATGTTTTTTTGTCTATTAAGATTTTAAAAATAACTTTTTTATGCATCATATGTTGTAATTTTAGACATAGATGTAGAAGATTGATTTGACTATAAATGTTGATATGCATTATTATATATGTTTGTAGAAAATTGTTAGATAGTATTACAATATGTACCAAGTCTCGCATATATCATTCAAATTTTAACGTTTATGATATCATTTGATGAGAAAAACTTATAAAACATACAAAGACTCGAGATTGGTACATAATGTTGAAAGATGTGTATATTTTTTATCTCTTTTATCAAGTAAATATTTTAATAATCTAGGTTATTGTACCTGCCCATTTCTTATTCTTATATTTTTAAACTTGCACCATGAAAGCATTACATTGACATTCTGTTATACGAAAAAATGTATTAGCCTTTTTCTTGGATAAGTTCATATATGTTTCTATATGCGGAAAAAAATTTGAATAATTATATTATCCCCAAGTATAAGTAAACATATATGATTATCATAGAATTATTGTAATTTATTAAGATTGATAGATTATTGATAAAATGTGTGTAATTATTATAATTATATATGGTATATTTACATAAAACAAAATTATAATATATACGTTTTACTAGCTCGCGCGATTAATTTTTATTCTAGATTAAATGAATTTAAATAATTTATTTATTTTATGATTATTTGAAAACTTATATTTTTTTTATTTTATGTGTATTATTCAGTTTTTTTTATTAATCAGAACACACTAAACTTCTGTAAAGCATGATATATGGAAAAATTTTATGCACAGAGAGCCTCTGCGACCGCGTGCGAGCATGCGTGTATCTTGTTTTTATCATGTATCTCATAAATATCGATTCTTTTTTCGTCAATATTGATATATTACTGTTATTATGTATTAGAATACACAGCATATATTATTTGTTTATGTATCACTTATCTAACGAATTAACTATGTAGCTGGCACGCCGGGAAATCAGCAGTCAAATCGAGAGTTAAATGCGCAGTATGGTCCAGGACCGAGCCTGCGTCCACAAAGTAAGTCTCTCGCAATTTAATGACAGTAGATTGTTGTTTGTTTGTTGAAAATACATAATGATTGTATGAATCTCTTTTGCAGCCGAAGGAAGTTGGATTCAAGGAGGGAGTCGCACGGCAAGTGGCGCAGCGCCAGCAACATCAGCTGGTCCCGGAAATGGGAATACTCCGGGGGGCCAGGGCCTCCCATTAAATATACCTGTTTCAGGAGGACACACCCAAGAGGGACCCGGTGGAGGGCGGCAGAACTTGGGCCAATCGCCCAACATGGGCGCGGGCCCGGCAGGCCAGCATAATGCCGTAAATAATCAAGGGTCTGTGCCTGCAACCGGTACTCATCAAATTGGGCCGAATTTGCATCATTTTCGGGGACTTATCCCGCCGTTTGTGAGTTTGTTATTACGATTGTTTTTTGCAAGCTTGAATTTGTGTGAATTATTTTTTCTTTTTTCTTCGGTCTTGCGATAACGAAATTATCGTTTAACGTTATTATTTTTTCAGATGTATAGATCAAATTTTCCTGGTGGATTTCCTCCGCAATTTCCATCAAATTCTGGATCCAATAGCCCCCGACCCAGATTCAATCATCCCTTGGATCGATTTCCACCTCCTCAACGTGACCGTGTGGCCGAGGAAGAGATTCTGACTAGACCCATTATCAAGGAAGAAGATCTTACTCGTATGGATGATATTTCACGTGATGCAGGATGGGCTGCGCACGATGATATTGATTATAACCAAAAATTGGCCTTTAGCGACGATGAACCCGATCCAGAACCGAAAAATGACGAGAAAAAAGATATCAAGGAGAAAAAGGGCGATGATAATGCCACGGAGGAGCAGGAGAAATCTCGAGATAAAAGAGATTCTTCGAAGGAGCTTCGTCATCCGCCGCATCGTTCTTGGACTCAACCTTCTATGAATCGTGATTATCGTGGATCAAATGGTGCGAGTGGTAGTGGCGGCTACAATAATCAATCGCAATTGCACTCTGTACATTCTTTGAGAGGTTGGTTCATTTTTATTAGACAAAATTAATACCAACCTTAATAATCTGTTCAAGTTTCATTTATAACAATATATATTTTTATTACAAATAGGTGTCGAAGACGACGAGACGTGGAACGAAAGACATAGAATCAAGGTTGAAGTTGCGTCCAGTGTCGAACGTGCACGATTACGCAGGCAAGAAGAAGAGAAACGTTACCAAGAATTGACCAAACAAGCGGCAGCTAAGAAATTACAGGATTTGGAGCAAAAGATAAAGGAGAAACAGGCGAAGCAAAAAGACGAGGAACGCGCACAGTCAGGCGAGACTAAAAGCTTGATCAGCATCCCACCTGTACCTCTTCCTATTCCCGAATGGGAAAGAGAAAAGGAAAATAGGGAGCGAGAAAGCAGAGAACGAGACCGCGAAAGGTCTCGTACCTCGTCCGAAGGAAAGGATGAGAAAATTATCACGTCTGGTCGCGAGACTCGCGACAATCTCGCGAGAGAGGGTCGAGATCAAGGACTAGCGGACTTTCGTCAGAATGAGCGGCAGAATTTCTTACGGCAACAGGATACTACGCGCAGCGAGCGCGAAAGGGAACGCGATCGCGACCAAAGAGACTCGCGAGATCGCGAACAACCGGCATTTTCTCGACATTTTCAGAATAATTTACCGCCCAGGTTTCAGAAGCAACAGGCAGAGAGGAGCGGCGCGAATTTCAATCGAATTTCGCCCAATGCGGAAAGACCTGCCTCGCAATCTGTTCCATTCTCCCAGCAATATGATCCTGGTAGATGGCTTCACAATTACAATACATTGAGTAAGTTTTTGATAGAATGTAGAATCACTCAGAACAATGTGTCATATTTTATTCTAATAATTGCGATTGAACTGTAAAGAAAATAGTTATTTAAATTTTTTGTAATGAGTAAATATTAATAATAGAGATACAAAAAATAATTCTTACAATTAATTTTTGAAAATGAAAAATGCAATCCGAATCTTTAACATGGTTAGAAATCTAATATACTAGTATCTTAAATATGGATGATATCTAACGTGACATTTTTATCTGTGAATTATCTTGATCCCTTATCTTTTCCTTTTACTTGATAAAATGTTCAAGTTATTTTTAACTTGATTAGAAATCTAATATGCTAGTATCTTAAATATGGATGATATCTACTATGACATTTTTGTCTGAATTATCTCTTTGTTCTTATCTCTTCTTTTAACTTGATAAAATATTGAAGAAGCTGTACAAATATGCAACTTGCATTAGTAGATACCAGTATGAAGCAGTCCATGCCACCGCAACGTCGTAACAGAACCGATTCTGACGCATCAGTACCCTTGGACGATGAGCGACCTCCGTCTCGGGATCATCGTAGCGGTGGCGCGCCGCCAACGAGGGAGGATCGTTATCGACATTCTTCGCATCGGTCCTACGACAGTCGCAAACCGGCCGGTTATTACGACGAATATAACCGTAATTTCAGAGATTACGAGTACGATGATAGACACCCTCGTGACTCATGGGAACGCGAGAGGCATTTCGATGACAAGGAAAGAGATCCGAAGGAAAATCTGGACTCGAGAGATAATCGAGACGGTCGTGATGTCAAAGATTCTCGTCCCACCAGTCGTGACGCTCGAGACATTAGAGATATGCGCGACCGAGATAACAAAGAGAAGAAGGATTACGACAATTATTCGAAGGTAAATAATTTGAAATGATAATTTTTACACTGAAAAAAATATTTATGTAAAATTACATGATTAAGCTAGGTTTTTTCCGACCCAGCATAATCATGCAATATTGATACTTACGAGGAAGATTACAGATTGTATGTAATTTTATATGAAATATATTCTTAAATATTTTCAAGATTAAAAATATTTCACTGTGGAACATGTAATTACACATAGGAAATGTTAGGAATGTATAAATGCTATAAAATAATGTTATAAATAAAATAGATAAATACTTATGAAATAAAATGTTAATAAAGTAAAAATAATAAATTTAAAATTACATATGATTTTTGCATAAAAATAGTAATTTTACCTATATTTTACATGTATTTTTACATTAATATGTATTTTCACTTTAAAACAAATGGAAAAAAAATTACAGTAAAAGCAAGTAACTTTTCCAGATCTGAACTAGTAATTTCCATGTAAAAGTACATGGATTTTTTTCAGTGTAGGCTTTGATAGATTTGATTTCTCAGCAACATTTCCATCACTCAGCATCACTCTGATTAAATTGACAACAATTTTTACTTTCCACAGGATTCCTTCGATGAGCGAGAACGCGAACAAAGGGAGCGCCCCGAGAGTTCGGAGTGGCGTGAAGAACGCAACGCGGGACAGGATAGACAACTCGAGAGCCGCCGTGATGCGCCGAAGGAAGAGCGCAACGAGCGTCCGCAGAGACCGGATTCGCGCGACAGTCGCGCTTCCAGAGAGTCGAAAACGTCCTTGCGCGACGACGATCTGCATAAATTACGCGATTGCAATTCCTGGGTGAGCGAAGTGTCGGATTACGAGGAAAAGAAACGAGACTTGTTGTATCACGAGGAAGTTAGGGAGAGGGATAGAGATAGAAGGCAACCGCCTGGTCCAGTTACGAAAGAGAAGCTCGAAGCGGACGAATTGAAGAACGAGAAGCGCAGCTTGACTCAATTGAAGAGAGGCAGTTCTGATCTTCCGGAGAAGAAGGATCAGCCGAAGGAAGGTTCCGTCGAAGCGAAGAAAGATACGGATGTGTGGAATAGAAAAGCGGAACGCTCTTCGGAGAGCAGACAGATTGAGAGAGGTGACAATTCGCCAAAGGCATGGGCCGACGCGATATCGCCAACTTTCGAGAAGGAGGAGGAGAAGATAACGGAGACTGCTAAAGAAGGCAAGGAAAGCGATGAAATTAAGCAAAGTTTATTGGATAAGCCGACTTTGGAGAAGAGAGAAGAGGCTATTACCGAAGATGTTAAAGAGCAAGTCAAGGATGAGAAGCGAGAGAAGAATACGCGTAACAGAACGAGTAGCGGTAGCTCCAGTTCTAGAGTACGTGAATCTCGCGGTGGCCGTCAGTGGGGAGGAACCTTCAGTGTCTTCACTCGTTGGCGTGGTCCGGAGTCTAGGGGGCGACGAGGCGGACCACGACCTGCCGCTAGCAAGTCCGGACTGTCCGCCAAGAGCGGTTTCTACGGACATACCGATTCCGAGAACAGTGCCGATGAAGTATCCGGCTCTACCGAGTCCGGGAAGGAGGATAAGCGATCGGCACGCTCTCCTAAACCGTCCCAGAAGATCGAGAAGGAAGAACGTAATCGCGAGGTGTCCAGACGAGATGACAAGCGCGGCACCGAGGCGTATTCTCAAGCGCGCAGCGAGAAGAGAGGGTACGACGGAAAACCCAGTCACGAGGCTTTCGCGCCCTCGGGCGAACCATCCCGTCGTGGAAGAGGCGGCGGTTTTCGCATTCGAAACACGGCGACGGGCAGCCGTATGGAAGGCTACGGACCGCCGTCCAGCAAGAGTCCGTTCTCGTCGGAACGGAACGCGGACGAGAAGCATCAGCAGCAGAGCGCCGGACGGCAGAATCCACCGACGCCGACCTTGGAGAAGGAGGCGAGCCTCTTGCAGTCCGCGCCAGTCGAGTCCACCGATGACAAGATCATCGCGAAGCAACAGGCGCTTACGGCGGGTATCACAGGCAGACGCAATAAATCCCCGAGTCAACAAACTCAGCAATCCGCTAAACAAGAAGGGGGTCAGGTCGCTAACGTTATATCCCAAAAGGCACAAATGCGAAAGGAAGAGTCGCGTTCCAAAAGAACTCGCAGTGGAAGCAGAAGGGTATGTATAATTTTAATAAACATATCGCTGTCTAATGTTTTGTAGATCTAGAATCTATCTTCCATATATTTCTTGATATTATATGATGTAATCGCGTTTCAGGGGAGAGATAATCGCGAAGCTCGTTCACGCGGCAGTAGCAGCAACGTGTCAAAGCAGCCCCAATCGGACGTGGGTAACGAGGATTGGGAAACTACGTCGGAGAATAGCGAGGAACATATAGAGGACCACAAGGAGTCTCGTAACAGTCGCAACAAGCATTTCGGTGGCCGGCCGATTCAAGCTACGAACCAGAATGCTATTGGCGCGAATCCGCATTCCCGCAGGAACGAGCAGTCCGCGGCGAACGCCAGGGAGCAACGCGAGAAAAATCCCAAGTCTTCCAATCCGGCGTCGCGAGCCCCGGGAGCGGAGAAACGGAATCTGCAGAACGCCGGCTTCGGCGCTCAGAAGAATCACAATACCGACGGCATCCCGCCCTTGATGCAAAACGCACAGATACAAAACGGCGGAAGATCCAGAAGTCAGAGCTCGACCAACAGCGGCGCGATCTCGAGTAAATCGAGCAACAAGGACAGCATGGTCAATCGTATCGACGAAATCAAACTAACCGATCCGAACCTCGTGAATCAAGCGCTGAACGATCTCAATAAGAAGTCTCAGGCAAAGGATAAGAAGCTGATGGACTCGGAAATGGAGAGCAACAGCTGCACCGAGGACACCGCGAACGCGACAGCAGAAGATAAAGTGGACGCCGATGGTTTTCAGGAGGTACGTTCGAAGAAGAACGTGAAGGAGTCGAGACACAGTCAGAAAGAGGAGGCGAAGCCGGTTAAAAGAGACAAGGAGAAGGAGCGCGAACGCGAACGCGATCGTTCGAAATCCAAGTCGAACGGGTCGCAGCAAGCTCTGCAGCAACAGGTACAAAATATTCCGCCCTTACTCGGCCAGAATATCCCTCAGCCAGCGAATTTGTCGCAGAAGCGGGAATACGACAATAGGAATTCCAGAAATATAAGACTGGCCCCGCGCTTCCAACGTTTGGTGAAGCAACAACAACAGCAACAACAGATGTGCTCGACGGAAGCCAGCGACATAAATAAGCTGAATAGTCCCGGAAACAATTATGCCAAGGACTCGTCCAGCAATCCTGCGCCGCCACCGGCGGTCAACGCCTGGGACAAACCTTTCACTAGCCAATTGCGTTCGAATTCTCCGTCCGCGGTTCCTACGGATATTCAGCTGATGTCGGGTTTAACGGCTCAAAACGATCACAGTCACGAAGGTAACGAGGCTAACTCCGGACACAGCAGTCAACGAAATTCCCCGAGCGGCGAAAAGACGGTGAAGAATCTGAAGGAGACCCTGACGGAGAAGAACGTCGTGTCCGACGTGTCTTCGCCTCCTGTGCAGACCCTGATCTTCGAGAACACGAATTATTCCAAGACCACGAAGACGAGTGGACCGACCGATCTGGCGGTGAAGTCCAAGTTCTCGAATCACATCAAGCAGCAGCAGCAGCGAGCCGAGAAGCGCGCGGAGATGGAAGAGGAGGGCAACGGCCAGGTGCAGCAACATCCCCAGCAACCGGCGCTTTCCGTCGCGTTCCCCAATAAACCGAATGATCTGATCAAGGACAAGAATCAGGAGCCTATCCAAATGCCGCTGTCATTCAACAAGAACGAGGACAACGCCGACATGAAGTTGGACTTCACCTTCGACTCGGATCTTTCGCAGCTGACGGAGGACAAGAGTAAGAGCTTAGGCATGCCGCGTTCCATGCATATGGCCGGAGGTCAGAGCACCATATCGCCGTCGACCGCGGAGCTCAACCTGAAAATCGCATCCGTGAAAAAGGTCTGGGAGAACGCGCCGATGCCGACCGTGGTCGAGCACGAGGACGGCAGCGGTGTGGTGGGTAGCGCGACCAGCTTCCCGCAGGCTTTCGAGAGCGGCGACGTCGACGATAGTTACAGCCCGCATCAGCAATACAATCAAAACAATATGAAAAGCGAAATCACCACGTCTACGAATGTGTGCAAGGTGAGAAATCATTTTGAGAATATTTGCTGTTACTTATTATGCCGCATGCATTAAAGAATCGTTATCACTTAATAGTTTCTCCAGTGTTTATTTTTTATTTGTATTATTATTTTTGTTGTTACTCTATTGTCATAATTAATTGCTTTTCTCGATAATTTTTTTGTTTGAAAAATTTTGTCCAGTAAAAGTGTGGTGAAAATGAGAAAGGTAAGTGGCTAACTTCTTTGGCCGAAGGTGAATATTCAGTCAGCCACTTGTCGATGATCAGTAGATGATTTAACACAGTAACCATCATTGTTTTTCATCATCGTTACATTTACATTAGTGTATTATCATTAATACAGTTATCATTATCATTGCTCATTGTCATCGTTATATGTAATATTATAATATTTGTGATTATAACTTTCAATATCAGTTAGAAGACAAGGTACGTGTATTATTACAAAGAGTATAATGAACCTATTCGCATTTTCACCAGATTTTCCCAAAACAGATCTGAGAACAATTTTTCATTTTTAAAACTCGACGAAATGTGTTTATTGAAAAATTGCTGTTTACGCGATGTATGTAGCAACTTAATATTGAAACATATAATGTCCCTTGTGGGAAGACGCTGACTCTTTGCCTGATGCGCAGCTGGTTCCCCCGCAGGTGAAGCCGCAGCAACAGTCCTCGGGGAGCAGCGGTACGCAACCGGGCTCTACCGTCCCTGGACCGAGTCCCATCGGAGCCGGTCAAAGTCCAATCGGCCACCCTCCCGTTAGTCTTCAAGGTCCTCTGAGCCCACCCCCGTTCAATTCTACCGGCCAACCTTCACACATCAACTATCAGGTAATTGTTGTTTTCTTTTTTTCTATTAATTGCGAACATTTTAAATATACAGAATAGAAATCTAAAGAACGGTGTTCTCATTTTGCAGGAATTCCCGCAGTATCCTGGCTCGCAAGCGGCGCAATACGGCGGCATGTCGGCCATACCGTCGCCACCGGCTGTATTGTTCAACACAGGCTCGGGACAGTTGCCGGCTCAAGCGGGCGGTTTATACGGAGCGTTTCAATTGGATCAAAGTCGATCGCCGTTTACGCAGTACGCTCCCTATGCTCCGTCCCTCCAGAGCTCGTTCAGCCAGCAAAACGTGTACCTGCAGCAACCGCCGCCGCCGCCGCCTCACGCGCCGAATGCTCCCACCCCGGAAATGTATCAAAACAATTTGTCTCAATACCGTATCGTACGTAAATTTTATTTTTCTTATAATTTCTCTTGTTCTTATCATATATATTGAAATGAACTCAAACTGACATCATTCGACGTTAAAATGACGTATGCTTGCTAGCTGGGAAAATGAATTAATTTTTCCAATTTGTTTTGTAATAGACTGCAGCAGCTGCTCCTCCGTTTGGACAAAATCAACAACTCAGCAACAATCCTAATACGGTACTTATCAGTTCATCGTCAAATTCTTTAATGTCGGCTAGCGTCAAACCGTCGTCTCAACCAATCGGAGCTATCGGAACTAAAGCTCCGCATTTCCAGACTCCATCCGCTCCTCAACCTAATCAGGTGAGATTTTATCATAGTCTAACAAAGAGTAGTAAATCCAACGATATTTTAACAAGAATTATTTTCTTTCAGTTGGCTTATATACCATACGATCCAAATCAAGTGCTTGGTGTAAGTGGCAGTTACTTGAATAATTCACAATTAGTACAGAGACCTGGTCCAAATGTTCAAGCATCTGCCAATAGTTACTACAGTGCCACATCTGCCGGTAAATATGACATTTCCTTTCATGAATTTACATATTGCATACGTTTTATTCAACGTATTCTATTTACTATTTTAATATATCTTTAGATGTGTTCCCTGGATCGCAAACGGGTTTTTACCAATCTGGCGGTGCCACTCAACAAACTGGAACTCATTACGGTTTACAAGGATTTGGCCAGCATAATCAAAGTCTGGCAACGGGTAACGCGACCCCTGTCGGTCTACAAAATTATGGTCCCAGTTTTTTGTCTAGTTCAGGATTGCAAATAGCAGCGGCGGCTCAACAATTTCGTAATCCCACCGGTGGTTTACCGGGACCAGGAAATGCAGCGCCTACGTTTCTTAGTAAGCACCAACCGCAGGAGCAACCCAGACAGTTGAAGAGCCCATCTGGAAATCAACAAGATGTGCTCGCATCAGTTTTTGGCTCGAGTAAGTTCAATATTAATTTCAAAATAATAAGATAAATAGCTTTAGCCAACAAAAGATTGAATTTTTTATAACATTTTATTTTAGATGAATCTTTTAAAAGTTTCATCTAAAATATCGAAATTAAAGGCAAATTCATAATTTTCTTTGAAAAAAATTTCACAATTCGACGAGTTTTCTGTCGAACTGGATTAGACCAATATTTTAATTTTAGCTTCTCAAATACCGTCACCTAAATCGAGAAATTGCAAACAACAATCTTCGTCGCAGCAACCGCAGCCCAGTCCTACACAGCATCATAAGTACCCACAATATCAGGGCGCTGGCCAGTCTGCTCTGGTAAGCAGCTACAATCCCTACGTATGTACCATTTATTCATTAAAATTATCATTTCTATATCATCACATATATGTATCGTTTTTCTCTATTTTTATCTTATCAAGCTAAATATATATGGAATTATTTTTTGTCAATAAATATAAATTTAATAAAATTAATATTACAAATCTAATATTACAATAAAAGAAACATGTACATTGAAAACATCTGATTGTACTTGAAAAATAATACACAATATATTCTATGCTATATATATTCTACATTTACTCTAATGTATGCAGGTTTTACAGCAGAGCGTACGTGGAATAGGTATACCTGGTCGGCCTGGTATTCAACCATCGCAACAGCGTTACCCGCCTCCGATACAACGACCTGTTGTACCATTTGCCCCAGGTCCAAACCCGAATAATCCCACGCAGCAACAACCTGCTTGTATGCCAACGCAACAGCAGCAACAAGCTCAAATTAATCGTCACAGACCAAATTTACATCAGCAGCAGCAGCAACAACGTAATATGAAGATGCAACAACAATATTACTCATCACAAGGTTTGTAAAACGCAGATATGTGTATAGAAATTATATACACGATTAATATTTAATTAACAAATGTATTTTTTCTCTCAGGAAACGTTAAGATGGATTCAAATGACAAAGCTGATAATCATAATGACAAAATGAATGATGGCCCCTCTGGAACACAGCCTGTAGGTAACAAGCCCAATGTGAACCAGCAAGATAGTGATAACAATAAGGAGGAAGTGAATCAGCAAAACGAGTGAAATACGTGAATTTTTACGTGAAGGTGAACACACTGCTCTTCCATTTGTGTGCAAAAAAAACATCTTTCTTTGGTTAAACCTTTGATATAATTTCGTCGAAAAAAATAAGGGCAAAGACTGACGTGCTTTTTTATAATACGAAAAAAGGAGCACGCAGTGTCACAATGAAATTCGATTATCTACGAAATCACGTGCTTATATAATCGACTATAATAGTTAAATAGATGAATTAAAAATCTGATTTTTGTGCTGTATCGAAAGAAGGGAACTTATAGGAAGATAACATTATTTATACGCACCTCTACCCGTTCTTTAGTTCTAACAATATAAACTTTTCGTCTCTATGCAGTCGAAAAGACGTTTATATTAAGCATTTCCATTATTAAATATCGAATACATATATATAAATATATATATATATATTTTATAAGAATGGCAACGAGTTAATCACGAGCGCTGATTGATACTGCTACAAAAGGCTGGAAAAAGTGACACATTTACTAATGTCTTGTGTAACATTTAAATACTTGACTCAAGAAGAAATGTGTCGTCGAAATGCTAGCTAATCGATCACGAATGCAAGTCGGATAACAAAATATTGTGTATTGTTGTGTTAAGAATTCATAAGGTTGTATCTGTGGGAAGAGAGATAAAAAAATTGAGACTATATATATATGTATATGTATATATATATATGTATATCCAAAAAAATATGCATATATATAGATATATCTCTATACCCAGATCAATCTACGACAAATGAAAATGAATGCTAGGATGCCTGAAAAATCTAATACAGGTTTTCTTGATCATATAGAGATAGGAAGATGAAGCGACAAAGAGAGAAAGAGAAAGAAAACAAAAGAGAGGAAAAAAGCAATTAGTGAAGGAAACAATTACAATTATTGCAATCTCGTATGTAGCATTGAAAGAACTGAAACAAACGGTGGTAATAAAGTCCTCCGTTTATTCAAACAATAAGAAATTTACTTCGATTACTACTTCGATTATGATTGTGTATCCACGAATCGGATCTACGCATGACTATGTCGTTTCCCTATGTACGCGACAGAGAAAAGCTCTATATGTATATTGGTCGTTTTGTCGATGATGCGAGATCATGGCGAAACTTGTGCGGAATAGGAAACCGTTGTTGATAGGTATCGCACAAATCATCATGATCTGGCTTTACTCACGACGAGTTTCAATCATTAGGTATATAAGATACTGCTTGTGAAGCGTGAAAAGCTGAATATGTCGTGGATTACGTCGAGTCTTTTCACGCTTAAAAAGATTATGTTGGATCAAGCGAATCGCAACCTAAACTACTACTATCGCAACGTATAAAAAAAAAATAAAAAAAGGATTGTATATTCTCTGCTTTCGTTGCAGTTAAAGCTTTGTTATAAAGATAAAGCTCATGAAAAATAAATAGTAGTATTTACAGGAGCCAGTCGTTGCCAGATTTATTCAGCAAAGAGACAGTGGCCATGCCCATTTTGCCTGGTTTTCGTAAGAAATCTAGAGCGTCGAGACAGATAGGATGTTTAATAATTCTCAACAAAAAAAAACAAAATATACTGCCAGTCGTACTGACGACCACTATTCTTGAACTCTGAGGATTTTTCATGTCATATTCGTGATATGTCTGTATGAATAGTGAAACATGTATTAGAGAAAGAGAAGAAAGACACTTCACACATGTAGACTTGTTAAAAATTTAACACTTCAATGAATTTAGAAAATATCGATTAAGAAAGAGGACAAAGATTGCGATTTTACTCCCTTTTATCCCGAACACATCTTTTCTCTAAAAAGCAGTGTAAGAATTTAAAAAAAACAATCTAGTAAAAGATGAGTGTGTAATATGTAAATCGACAAAATGGTGAAATCACGACGCTTGAATTAGAAATGAGGCTGCACAATTCCTTGTTGCAAGGAAATGAGTACTTCGTGAGATCTCGCCAAGTAATACGGAGGCAATGTACACAATATTAAAGAAAAAGAATTATTGGAGTTTCGAAAAAAGAAAAAAGATAGTAGTAAATACTTCTCTCTTGTGTTGTCTTAATTCTTTAGTATTCGGATGACGTGCTTCCTGTTATAATTTATATCCCTAATTATTGATTTACCGATACTAATTGTGTGTATATGAGATTTTCTCATTTTATATATATATATATATATATACGTTGAAATTTTGCATGAAAATAGAATTTTAATGTATTTGAATCCTTAAAAATACTTTTATTATAAATGTAAAATTATTGGCTGTACTAAAGCACGACATACGAATACTGAAGGATCAAGTTCTCTATCATAAACATTATCGCGATGGCTCTATTACCACATTGATCATCAGCAACTGCATCATTATTAGCAGCATTGTAACAGTAGTATAGAAGAGTAGAGGTAGCAGTGGTAATAGTTGATGTTTGCAGTAATCGCGATATATAATGATAGTATTAATAATAATAGCTATAATAATAATAGTAACTTTGCACACAATGCTAGTAATAGTGGTAGTAATAACATATATATTTGCAGCAGCAGCAGTAATAGTATTGAAAAACAATTGTATCGCAAACTATTCTCCTGAATTTTTAAAACAAAATTTTCACATCATTTTTATCGATATTCTTCTATTATTATTTGTTTTTTATGGCCTTTTATTTTTTATATAATATATTACCATTACAAGTATGTACATTATGGAAGAAATGATTGTTATCATAACTATTACCATTGCTATTGTCGCTGAATGTTATTTTATAATTGTCACAACTTATATATACTATTTTGTATGCTATTCTTGCTACTGCTATTACTATCATTTGTTGTAAGATTGTTGCTGTTATTATTATTATCGTTACTATATTAGTTAATATTTGTTATTATTAGTACTATTATTATTATTCCTATCGTTATTATTTACTATTATTATTATCGCTCTTGTTAGATATACTATTACTGCCGCTGTTGTAATTACGATTATTATTATCATCGAAGATATACTATTACTACTACTATCGCTATATCATCTGCTATTGCTACTGCTGCAATTGTCACTATTACTATTAGTACGACTGCTACTATTATTATTTTATATTTTAATTATTTTTATTATAATTATTGCACGTGTACACTCGATGGATAATGAAGGTGAAGAAAGTAAGCTAACAAGAGTAAGTAAATGAAAAAGTATGCTTAATTGTATGGGTATGTCTCTCTTTTGTAGGATATTCGATAAATTTTATTGAAAATAATTAAAATCTGTTTAGTAACATTCATTATATAGCTTAAAATGCGAAGTGGATTTTTGTTTATATCACAGTATATAGATTCGAGCCGATAGTCTGTCGTATTACAATAGTCGCTCTTACAACGATATGTGTGTGCTAAAATACTTTAATATTTAATTAATTTTTACTATATAAGATCGTGTATTTTAATTTATAAGAATGCGATTATTTGTTTATTAGAGAATATTTTTGCGGATTTTTTAAAAGCGTTTATCATGATTTTTTTAGCAAGTGAAAAAGTTATTCTCATAATATCGTATAGGATTCGTTATACTTGATGGCAATATTGTAAATTGTTGATATTTTACTGTAAAGAGACGAAGGTTTATACGGTTTCCGATATATTTAATGTTGTAAGTATTAACACACGATAAAGTTATATAAAAGTAATACGACAGACCTATCGCAGGGCGCCTGTAATTATAAACGATCTGTAGTTAGAAATATGACAAACACTACTTATACACCTACGTGCTAAAACGTGAAAATAAAATAGTAAATGGCACTTTGCTACTATTAATTTATATAATTAATTAATACAACCCAACAAAACTATATATAAATGAGAAAATTCATAAAATATTTCACTATAAAAGAACAAAGTTTAAGATGTACATTTTGGCAAAAATAATATATTTTAGTGTTAAGAAAATGTGATAAATATTAAATTTGAATATATATTAAATTAGCTGAATTGATTATATTTATCAAGGGGTTGAAACGATTCTAAATGTATTGCTCTCTTTCTTTATTTAATTGAAAGAATTATATCTACTAGCCATATTTTAATGTTAATCTTAATAAAAAAATTATACAACACATTACAGTACAATAATTATACAAGTATGAAAAGCGTAAAATACATAAACAATATATCTTGAAAGAAGCATATAACTTTTTTTATCAAATTAAAAATGCATGATTGATTTAGTTAAGAAACAAAAATTTTTGTGTTTTACGAAATTTAATTAAGGTAGAGGATATGCCAAATCACGATATAATGGTAAGTATTGAATAAATTAGCAATATTATGCATGTTTAAAGATATAATTATATGCAATATTTATATATATAATTTTTGGAAGAAATAAATCTTTATAATTTATATTGTTCGACTGCTGCTATCTATAAAATGAATAAAAATTATGCATATTGTGTATATTTTATCTTTTCTTTCTTGTTTGTAGTTTAAGTAAAGGAGATATATATTCTATGATTAAAATAAATAAAAATAATTTAATCTGTGATAAAGCAAAATATAAATAGTACAATTTCTTGATGCAATAAAAAAAATTTGTTTCACACAAAAGCAAGTTCTTAATAAAATATGGAAAATAAGTAAAGGCAGATCGGAGTAAATATTTTTTTTTTTACACATTTCTATTGGTATATTTATTTATGTTTCATGACAAAATAAGATTAAATGCAATTGAGATTGAAGATAAAGAATGAACAATTTTTTATAAGTAGTGAATCGATTAATCGAAATCGAATCTTTTTCTATCGATATAACCTTTATTTTATCTCGAAAGCGTGAAAAAAAAACACTCGACAATAATTGGTCGATTCGCGCCCGGTCTAACCCAACTCAGGTGACAATCTTGAAGTGTAAACGTCAAACGTCTGCATTATCGAGATCTGTCAGCAGCTGTCGGTGGAGATTTCGTTGCTGTCGGCAGCTTGAAATAGACAATTTTTCTATATATGGACAAGAAAATCAAATGGGATTCACACCTTCCAATTTTGCATTCTTCATATTCCTGAAGAATCCTTTCCTGTATTTAACGTAATCGCCATTGGAGCAACGTTTATATGTCAAACGACTAATGGGGAACGAAAAAAGTGCTTTACGCGGGCTCGAAATCGAAGATAAAGCTGTGGAAGTTACGGATTACTGGATGCATTATGACGCGAGTATACACGACGCGAATTTACAAAAACTTTCAATCTTCATCAGCGAACCATCCTTGCATTTTACAGCGACGTTTGGAAGACCGTCACCTTTAGAGCGAGCAGCTAAGGTTGGTTCTTATTTGCTTATTAAAAGCGATAAAAACAAAAAATATTTTCTAAACTATTTATTTTATTTGACAAATATTAAAAATGAAAGTTCCTTGATGTAAAATTCATCATTTTAAAATGTTGTTTATTTATTATTTATTTATAATGTGATGTATACAGTATGTTATTATATGACTTGTACAACATATATATACATGTTACTAAAGTAAAATCATAAATTATGTTTTAGAATTTTATGTTACACCGACATCCTTGCATTTTGAAATATATCTCCTCGTGGAGCAAAGGCAGCAAGTTTTTCTTGCCACGGAAGAAGCCAGGCCATTGATTCAAGTTATTGAGAAACAGAATATATTACAGATATGCATCGGTTTGCACAGTATCCTGCGAGCTTTGATATTTCTGCACGAGACTGCATTGGCATCACATAACAATATATGCAGTAGCTCTATTTACGTTACTGCGGAAGGATATTGGAAATTGGGCGGACTGGAGTATCTATGTAAATTGTCGGATGCGACGCCAATGTATTACCAAAGGATAAAAAGTTACAGATATGAAAAAGCGATATCGCCGAACGAAGACATAGCTGATTTAATTAAAACCGCTAATCTAACTTCAATTGATTCATATGCATTTGGAGTATTGGCGGAAGATATTTTGAAAAACTTACAGGATACAGGTACACAAAGACTAAATTATTTATTATAGACATTGTATTCATGCCAAATAATATGTATACAGTGTTAAAATATACTTGAAATTTCATTTCAAGTGTATGATTTTAGATGCAGCACTAAATTTATCGGAATTTAGAGAGTTTTGTAAAAAGAATCTGCAGAATCTAGATGCATGTTTGAGAAGTAGATTATTGAATGTATTGCAACATTCGTTTTTCACTCACGAGTTTATAAGGATTCATGCATTTCTAGAAGAATTACCACTAAAAACTGATATTGAAAGGGAAGAATTTTTCACGTAAGTAAATATTTGAAGAAAATCATATTATGTGAACAAATGAACAAACGTGTATATTCTGTCTAAGAAAAAAAAAAAAATATAATATATATTATTCTTTATAGGAAGTTGAGACAGCAGCTGCAGATGTATCCTGAGGCTGTTGTCGCTGAACAATTAGGCAGAGTACTTCTTTCCAGAATTGTTTTATTGGATAGCACTGCCCAAGTAAAACTTTTACCTTTTATTTTTAAACCTAAAGGTTAGAATATATATATATATATATATATCTATTATAATTATATATTATCAAAATCTTCATTATCGTTCATAATAATTGCATAATGTGTGTTATAATTATATCTCATTTCACATAAATAAACAAGTCTAATAAAACGTCTGATTTTTGCAGATGAGAAAAACGATTTGGGGACTAGTCTATTTACAGTTTCTACCTTTAAGAGTATTTTAGTACCGAGACTTTTGCAAATGTTTTGCATTCGAGATGTTTCTATCCGTCTGTTACTGCTATCCCATTTCAATTCATTTGTACACGTATTCGAAACAGATGAATTGAAGAGCCACATTCTTCCCGAATTACTCGTCGGCATAAAAGATACCAACGACGATCTCGTGTGTGCTACATTACGAGCACTAGCTGACGTAGTTCCGATCCTGGGTGCAGCAACGGTTATCGGTGGAAACCGGGGGAAACTGTTTACAGACGGTCGGCCGAATAAGATAATGACGCAGAATAAGAACGTCGATATTAGAAAAGGTTTAACGTTCGCACAGGAAATACCTGTCTTCGTCAATATAGACGAGAACAATGTGCATTTATCGGAAAGACCATCACCGGACGGTGGCGAGGACAAGAGGGAAAAGGAATTTACGTTCGTCGAGGAGGAGAGCACCTGGTCGGATTGGGAAACGCAGGAGACGGCTATTGGAAATAGCCACTGCGATATAGCGGAAACTCCTTCGAGCACCGTCGTGCAGACGGAATTGCAAAACGATATTCGCGATGCGGAGTCATCGCCGCCTTTGTCGGAATCGTCGTCAAGTGCTATGAGAACCAAGTATACAAAGAAACTAGTACTTTCCGACATTACAGAGCTCGATATAAAGAATTCGAAGGTAATCAAATCTCCAAAGGAAGAATTTGATTTCTTTACAGATATGGAACCTGTGATACAGAAGACGCAGGTTTTACATATTCCTGAAGTGCAATCACCGAAAAGTATGTTTGATGTAAAAACATTGAATGCTACCTTGGAAGAGCATGAGGCTAACGGTTGGGGAGAAGATTTAAGTGATTTGAGCATAGATGAGACACATGAATTAACGGAACAATAAGCTGCCTCTCTGTAAAAAGACAATTATTTGCACAAATAATACATATAGTGAATTTACAATAATATTCTCATTTAGTTGAATCAATTTTTATCAACTTCCAAGCATATATATGTGATTGCTAATACATCATGTATACCATTAAAACAAGTATTTTTAATAAATGTAAAATATATATTGCATTAAGTACATACATATATATAGTCGCAATACAAAGAGAGTATTTTATATATATATATATATATATATATATATATATATATATATATATATATACACACACACAATATATTTTATTTTATATATTTTCCTATATAGTATTATAATATAATTTTCAAACTTATTTTACATATATTTAATAAGAAATCTGAAAGAGCTCAAGTAAAAAATGCAAAAAAGAATATGTGTCAAACAACATTATATATATGTCTGTATATATATATATATATTATTGATATATATATATATATATATTATAATATATATTTATTGGTATATATAGATTAATTTCATTGTGATGAAGTAATTTTTCACACAATTATATTATGCAATCCAGTCAATTATATAATTGCATTAGATACGATAGTTGTGTTTTGCCGAATTTGCACGCAAAAACAAAATGATGAAAAGCGAAATAAAAACAGAAGGAACGAACGTGCAGAATATTTTCGTTACCTCGCTTTTATTGTGAGTAAAACATTGCATTTGTATAATATATTTTTATCGTCTTTTAACATTCGCAAGTAATATGTTAAATGACTCTGTGACGTAAAAATACAACAACATAAGAGAGAGAGCGCGTGTCTTGATGCGCGCGACTTTGAATCGACTTTGATCTTCAGGGGGCGCTATGGAATGCGGCGCGTCACGTGATAGGCGTCACGTGACAGACGTGGAGTAGGGAGCATGTCACGTGAAAGACGCGGAGTGGGGAAACAGCTGCGCATTCCAGTCGCATTTCCATCGTCCCTTACTGCGCAGTACGGCGAAACGAGAGAGAAAAACATCTTTCTCTTTCTCTCTCTAAAGAGATTTCGAAGAGTTAGTTTTCTTATCAAGTATATATGAGTCACAATGTATCATTTACATGTGTGTGTGTGAGTGAAAATATTTTAATAATAACATATACATATATTTATAAATTATAAAGGAAAAATTATGCGCTACTGAGTAGTGATTTTATCGATAATCGGAAAAAAGATTTGTCATTTTAGTTTGCGAAACGGACGTGTGACAGATGATTGTCAGTGGTTCTCATGTGACTCTCCATATCCGTCCGTGATAAAATGTCAAATTCTTTAACTTTTTTTTAAATATTTCTACCTTTTAATTCTCTCATATTTTTAAGGACTGGAGGTTTTACAGGAATCTTTATAAAGGAATCTATCCAATCATAGTTGGTTCAGCACCATCAGGTATGTGCATGCAGTGCTAAATATAAAATTTGTATACATATAATTTATATATATATACATTTCTTTTTCTCATATTTTAGATGCATTATTCTTTTTAACGATATGAAGAAATTAAAACTAATACAACTAAAGGTTTTTGCAAAGTACTATGCAGTACTTCACATGGGAGCAACAACATTAGGAGAAATGGTATTATTTTAATAATTATATATTATATCCTCTTTTATATTAATAATTAAAATATGGAAAAGAAAAACTAATACAGCTACACAATATAATATTTAAAATCGAAATGCTATAATAATTATTTAATTTACATATTGTATGTGTTTACTTAAAGATTAATTAATTTATTTGTGTGTGTGTGTGGGTAAAAGAAAAATTTTTTAATTATATATATATTAATCTTAATTATTTTATATACAAAGGTAGCATGTTTAATACGAGTTTCAGTGAAAGTCACAAAGCAAAGGAAACAGGCACTGATGTATGACAAGGAACCACTTGGTCTTAAGTTATTGTATCGTGGATATTAGAGTACGGTGTTACGAGACACCTTTTAGTATTGTACAATTTCCATTATGGGAATATTTGAAGAAGTGCTATAGTTGACATGAAGAGAGAAATATATTCAGTGGAAAGTACAATTTGTGGTACAATTTCACGTTTCTATTTTGTATTATTAATAATGCATTAATAATGTGTTGTCTAGTAGATTATATTTTGCGAAGAGATAAGCACTTAAACGAGTAATAATAGCGTATTAAGAGATCCATAAGAGAAATATAATCTGTTTTAGATTAAATAATACTAAATAATTTTTACGTTTATTTCAAGTTAAATGATACTTTTAAAAAAAATTTTAGAATATTAAATTAAAAATGACATGAATATTTATATTTATCAATAAATTTTACATTATATATTTAGATATCATAAAGAAAATGTCGCTCCCTTTTATAATATTCTATCTATATTGTAAATTACATATTGTACAAATAGATTATTGTATCTAATCTGTGTATTTAAATGTGTAATTTTAGGAAGCATTTCTGCTACTGTTACAACCCCATTGGACGTTGCCAAAACGAGGATAATGCTCGCTAACAGAACCATGCTTTCATCACAACTGACAGTATATTAAATATACTTCATGAAACATCTAGAAAATGGCTTTCGTGGGTAAATATTTCTCAATGGTTTTTTTTTTATAAAATTGACAAATATACTCTAAATATTCTTAGTAATATTTTTGTAAAGATGCATTAAATGCGTTAATATTATAGTCTATTTGCTGGGCTTGGATCAAGATTAGCATGGATTATATTAGGAGGTTTCATATTCTTTGGCGTTTATGAAGAAGCAAGAGTACTCCCAGACATATTTGAAATTCTAAAAAACTGTGTGAGTTTATCTAGTCTTATAAAAATTACATTCACATTTAAGTGTGAATTACTGAATATATATTGTTATTATAATAATATAATATTATATGAATATATTATATATATATAAAATTGTATTATAATAATATATATATATTCAGTGATAGAGAGGGAAATGTATAAAGATTTTGTCTCTGACATGAAGATCCATTTTCAATTGGCATCTTTATATTTATTTATTTTATATCTATAAAATATCTAAAAGAGCTCAAGTGAAAATTGTAAGAGAATATGTCAACATATATATAATATTTATATACAGGATGTCCTATAGGATATTGCTGAAAATAATCAGCTGTCATTTTTTAATAGTTTTTAATGAATATATAAATAAAATATAGGTACCAGTTTGTTTTATTGATAAAAAGTATATATATATAGTGAGAGAGAAAGAGGGTTGGGGGGGGGGGGGGAGAGGGAAATGTGAAGATTTTCATTGACATCTGACATGAAGTTCCAGATCCGTCATCGATAAGAAAGGATCGTGATTCTCTGCGATCCTGGTGGTCTCAGGACAAAAGGAACGACTCCTGCGGGACGACATGGACGATCGAGTGCTCGATGAGAAGCAGTGGCGTCTGGAGGCGCAGGCGGTGATCAACGATGTGAGGAAACACGTGCAGGACCTGAGGGTATCCGAACAGTTGATCAGCACCAATCAGGTCATCTACCTGAACCTGACGACGCTCGAGGGTCTGCGGTTCTGCGTAGAACTATCGGCAGCCGGTTTCGCCGTCGTCGGGAATCGGCACGACGACACGTCCAACCTGGATAATGAACGCTTCGAGACACCCTACAGCCTCCTGGACTTCGTCAGTCCACGGTACAGGAACTCCTTCGGCAACTTGTTGCTGGATAAATTGAAGGAGCTGAGCGATCGACGATAAATCTTATCCGAAATTGCAGAAATGTTTCAGTATGGCTTAGGATTAATTAAGTAAATAGCATATATTAATTAGTCCTCAAGTACCTGTTTACTGTTAATATTAGTTATTATATCGCGCGATTTAGAAGATTAATCACAATTTGTAAAATTTAATTCTGAGAAAATTTCTTTGGGTATTTACACTGTTTATGCACATCAGAAATTTTTAAACGGAATTATTTAAAATTTTTACTGTTTAATTGCTCTGATAATGAAATAATAATTTGTACGTTGATTCGATGCCAAAAATAGCTAGAACATAAATTGATAGATACATAGTACGCTGTAAATAAGTAATATATGCTATATATTCTGTTTAATTATTCTTTTTCTTCACTCGTTTATTATATAATAAAATGTCCTTTTATTTTTATTTCTGCAAAAGAATAAATTCTTTTTTTCTCAAGTATAAAAGTACAAATATAAAGGTAAATATAATGTATAAATGTCACAAAAAAATTGATATCAATTCTATTTAATATGAAGAAATTATAAACTCGTAATATATAACAGCAATTATTTATTTCATGATGATAAAAATAAAAAGACATTTTGTACAATTATTTTCTTTGTCCTTTAGGAAGAAAAATCCTTAAAAAAGAAGCTGTAATTGTATATAATGGTGCATTTAATTAGTTAAATATGACAGACTTAAAAGTTAAAATTATTGCAACAATTTGTCAAGAGTAAATTTATTGTTCCAGGAAAGCCGATACAATCTTATCTTCTTTGACAAATTATGTAATAATCCTGAGTTAATCAATGGGGTTACAAAATGCAAATTAAGCATTGACACATATTTTATTCTGCATTATTTTATATATACATGTAACTGCGATACAGTAGTTTTAAAGATATGCAGGGTATAGTCACAGTATAACTTATACTGTGGAATAGTAAGAAAATGAAAGAAATATTAAGAATTTTAAATTAAAATTTATATTAAATAAATATTTAATAAAAAATTATATAAAATTTTATATTATATGTAATTATATATAATTGTTGATAAAATATGTTTTCATTACATAGTATAATATATGCAAAAATAACTTGTAGAATGATAATAAAAATGTAACAATTTTTATTTTAATTGCATATTGATTGAACTGCGTGAATTGCTATTATTTGAAACAGTTCTCGAATAGATTATCACTTATTTATTTGCAAAATGCTTTAAAAAATATTTAAATATGACAAATTTAAATATCAATATCTGTATACATAATATATTTTACTATTTTGTTTAATTTGCATATGCTAAAGACTCAAAAGGAAATTAAAATAACTTTTGAAGTTGAACCGACTACCTTTTTAACATACATTTTTTTATACGTCATTGTTTCATTAATACTAGTTTTTTTAAAAGTTCAAATTCCATGCATAAAGCCCGCCTTTAGGCATTTCTAAAATGAACGCATCTATAGTGCATCTAGGTATATTCATGCATCATGATTGTTTGGTCGAAGAGATCGAATCTATATTTCTATCAATTAATTTAATACAACTCTGCAGCTTGCTCTATCATTTTTATCTTTTATCATACATTTAATTCTTTTAATTATATTTATCTAATTTATCTCAGATATACAAAATATGCACGAATGTCTAAATATTCGCAGGTGCACCGGTGCAAGTGCATCTATCTTTATTTCCTAACGCAATATAGTTTTATTTAAATTTTCCAATAATTTTGATTAGCTTTTCGCTCGTTGCTTCCTAATAAGCAGCATCTCATATAAACCCATTGTTTCAGTGAGAAAATCGACCACTCGGCGGGGGAAGAAGCTCCGCAGTTTTGATGCACCGCGGTTTCGCGACGTCACACGACGTAACGTCAGTGTTCAGTCCGGTCCAGTCAGTCTCGTCGCTCGCGTCGCTCGATGCAGACGTGTTCGCGGGTCGCGTTTCTTCTCCGCGAAAGAATCGAGAGAGAGAAGAGGAAATTTGCAGCGAGCGGACGGTGCGAATCGACGATTCTACCTGTGTATGTATGTGTGATTGTGCCGTTGCCCCGAGGACGATGCCGAGATCGTCGAGCACCAGCTCGACGACGACGACATAACGACACTTCGCTCGAGAGCGGATGCGCCCGAGGAGAAGGACCCCAACGAACGAGGACGACGGAATCGTCGCCGATGCTACTGCACCTCTCGTAAGGTACATCATCATCGTAGCGCATCGGTGCGGCTGGCCGAGATCGCGTCGTCGTAGGCTGGTCGAGCGACGAGGTGAGCGGATCGCGAGTTTTGCGACGAGTGTATTTGTGTGTATATGTGTACGTATGTATATATATATATATATATATATATATATATATATATATATATATGTATATATATATATATATATGTATATGTATCCTATATAGTCCAGTGTGAGACTATAAGAATCGGAGTGTCGATAGGCAAAAGCAGCTGTCTGTGCGTTCGACCGAAAGTCCTGGATAAATCGCGAAGGTAACCTTGACACGCGATATTATCCTGCGAAAAAGATCCGGCGTGTCCTCGAACCTCGTGTTTTTTTTTTTTTTTTTTTTGCGAGGAAAAATTTTCGAGAAGTTTGACAATTGACCGGTTTCATCCCAGATAGCAAAGCAGTCATTGTGACGTCGAGTTGCGTCATTTTGACAGCAAAGTGACGTATTTTGATGTCAAATTTAAAAAAAAATTTTTTTGACGTCAAAATAATGACATAATAATTCCTGCAGCTACATATCTGGAATATTCGTTTACACATCGTAGGACATAGACACAGAGACACACGTTTCTTTTCGCGAAGGACGAGACGATGACTTATGACACATTGGAGAAAGTTTCGCGGAATCGCGGAGAGACGACGAGAGACGCAATTCGACACTGCGTCTATGACACATGTAGCTCATTTAATATTCTTATCACGCGCGACGAACGTGCCTGCATGATAATACACGCCTCTGTTTTTGCTCTCATCTGTGCCTCGTCTTTGACAGTTCGCGAGTGGACGCGCATTTAGACTCCTCTGACTCCTGGTTGCGATAAAATTAGAGCATTGTTTCCTTTTTCAAATCGAAGCCCCCGTCTCATCCTGTATCTGCATGCAGAAGCAGATGTCATGACACAAATAGCCGCGGTGACAAGAAAGTTAGCTAAGCGGGACTAATTGATATCGCTTTCGACGCATATATTAACGCTTGTTAGTTTTAGATCGAGCGTCCTTCCCTTTTCGATTAGATCGGAGTAAGAATACTGCGTACATTATTTCCGACGAGATACTACACACTTTCGATCAAATTGTTTTCAAAAGATTTTTTTCGCGAAATCGTAGTTAAAATTAAATTTAAAATTATTCTCATAAATATTAATGAATGCTTTCTATTTTTTTATTCGTTCTTTAGCCCGTTTTGCCTATATATTTTTTAATTCGTTCTAGTTTTCTTTATACATTTTACAGCGAAGTAATAATAATCGGGTTATAAATTATGACTAATATTTGCAGGAATGTAATAAATGTGTAAAGGGAAGGAGAATCTAGCGAGAAATCGTGCTCTTTCTCGCCGATCCTAAATAAACGCGTGATACTTTTATAACTTTTATTATTATTAATACGGAGATCTGTGTGTTTTTGCATCGATATACCGCTCCACGCTATTATTTTGTGGTTCGCATAAACGAGCGAAATCGATTCCTCGAACAGGAGAGCGAAGTCCAGAAGAGGAAGTGGACTTTGCATTTCTTTCGAGATCGCGAGTACCTATCGTAAAAGAGTGACGTATCGTTCCGCGAACGCATTTTAAAATCGTCCTGCGATCTGTCATTGCGCGATTAGGGCAAGATTAAAAATAAATCGATGTTTTAAAAATCAATTTTGTAAAAATCATAAAAGTATCGATTATATTTATTTAAAAAATCGAAAAATACATGAATTGTTTTATATATTTATTATTGACAGACTTTTGCATAACACATAATGCATAAATTATGCAAAAATCTGTACTTCGGCCCTTTCTGTCAATAATGTATGTATAAAATGTAATGTTTTATGTATATATAAGATTATATGAAAATTATATGAATATTAAGTGAAACAAATCAAATATTAAAGAAGAAAGAAAAATTAATTGGTTTGAAAATATCAATTAATTGAAAAAAAACTCGGTTATTTTGAAGGAATATCGCCGAGATTTTCGCCAACCACGTGATCAAGTGGCAATTTTAATTTAAATTCCTTTACCTCACAAATATACGAATATGTAATTTTTTTAATTGCTCGGAATGAATGACAACAGATGATTCGACAAACATTCTACAGTTTAATCTTGCTTGTATTCCTGATTTTTCCATTCTCGAATTAAGAGAAAGTCTTTGTTACTTTCTATACGTAGTTTTAATAAATGCGCACTATAATTATCTTTATCCTCAATTCTCCTGCTTCGATGTTTTCTATTTTTCTAAATTGTATTTTTTTACGATTAAAGAAGCAAGGTGAACGAGATAAATGTCTTGAAAAACCTGTCATTTAGACTTATTATCTTCGATAAAGTGTGTCATGTCGTTTTTACTACGCATTCTTTACAATTAGTTCCAGATCTATCAGTATCACAATAATTATGATAATATCAATGATTCATCGACTCATTCAATAAATCAAGAGTAGCGAGGCAAAAAACATATTACGCATTTTTTCCTTCCTCATTTATTGCTGTAGGCAGCAATATGATAGAAGCAATGTTAAGTATAAATTAAAAAATATAATTGAAAAGTTAGAAATTTAATACAAATTTTTTGAACACATATATGAACGAAGAACACTTTTGTGCTGCTTTATTACTTATGCATTAGGCAAGACAAAAATAATTTTTATCAATGCAAGTTAAGGATGGATTTATCTCTTTGACATATCTCTCTGTGACATATCCTACATTCTAAATTTAGATACACAGACCGTGCTCAATGTATATTTAAAGTATAAATTAGATAATGTAACCTCTTAGAGAGAGAAAATTGCCATCCAAGATAAGCATAGGGGTCCAGCACAGTGGAATGTTTGTTCTTGTAACTTGCTTTATATTTTATATTATTATATTGTAACAGAAGGAATAATAGAAAAGAGTATACTTGCTTGAGAAAATTAATGAAAAAATATATAATGCAGAAAATCAAGAAATATATTAATGATAAAACAAAATTATATACACATGTACTGAAATGAATCTTTGAAATTGGGATTATTTTACCTGACTTATTCTCTGGAAAAGCCTATGAATCATGGTGATAAACTGTAACAAGATAAAGCTTATCGTAGGAGAGATATTCTGCTGATACTGACTTATTTTATCTAGTATAATACCCGAGAATACCAGAAAGCACAATGACGAATCTCTTAGATTGACAATTTCCCTTTAATCCTTGATATTTGAATCTTATTTTCCAATTTATTTAACTTAAAATTATTAAATATTGATATTTATAGAATATATATATTTTTAAATAAATTAATACAAGTTAGTTATTGTGTTAATTATAATTATGTAAAATTATACCGTACGTATTCTATAATTTTCTTGTAATACTTATGATTTGCTTTGTCTAGGTTCAATGTGAACTTACTGAAACAAAGTGGATAGATGATAAACCTTCTTGGAAGAAGACATGGCAAACTTGATGGTAAACACCTCTAGTAAGAACAGCTCGCGCAGTGGATCTCCTAGTAGAGCTCCTTCGACATCCCAACTACATCAGCCATCAACAGTGAACTTGGAGCATACTCCAAGATTGCGTAATGTTTCAATGTAAGACTTTATTAAGCAATATAATTATAGGTATTATTTATTGTACATATTAAATATATAAAAACCATTCGGCAATATATATATATATATATATATATATATATATAATTTATTTGTGTATAATATTTTTATGTTAATTTCAACGTAGTGTAAATAATAGTTAAAAAAAAGAAATTGAAATAATAAGTAGAAGTAACATTTGTTAATTATTTGTTTTAGTTCTCAAGCAGGGGAGGGTAGCACAGGCAGTGGAAGTAGTGGTGGCGGTGGCGGTGGTACCGGAAGTAGCCTCAGCATGAAAGGCAGCAATAGACAAAGATCACCAGGAAATTTAATTCGCACGGGAGATACCATGGATGAATCAAGTAATACTACAAACACTGCCGAACCAGAGGAGTTTGTGCCAAATATTCATCCACCGACTGATGACGAAGGAGTATGTATTAAAATATTTTCGTTGATTCGAGGGAAAAATTTGAAGAAATCTCTTTATTCACTAACGAAATACTTTACGAGACAATACACGTTTACATCAACAACGGGCAGGAAAATTATCACTTTGTGCGCCTAATGTATATGTGTCTGAGCATAATATGACTTTGCATTCTTACATAAAAAGAGTTACATAATATTGTATATGCACTAGTGTAGTGGATTATCAACTTACATGCAGTCAGGTCATAGGTTAAATTAATATGATTATGCGTATAATTTGTCACAGTTTACAACAACACTATTAATTTCAGTTTTCAGCAAGACTATTAATTTCATATCTAAATTACTTATATTCAAAATTTACTTCAAAATTTTGCGATTTATTTATTTAACTGCAGAGAATAGAATATAAATTAATTTGTTTCTAGTATGTTAAAATTTTATTTAAAATAATTTATTTTTCTATATTTAATATTCTATACATATATGTGATTTTTATATTATTTTATACACCTTATCTTCAAATATCTTCAAATTCATGTATGTATATATGTGTATTATTAATGTATTTAATATATCTATAGGAACAATACCATCCAACTCAATCGTTCCTATCGAATGGCTCTTCTGAATTGATAGCCGATGATGTTGACTCTAGCGCAGCACGGGTTCGTCAAGCTATTGAACATATACAAAGTAAAATTGCTAAGACGCGAGAGTTGATAAGAATAGAACAAACCACGCGAGATGGTATGTAAACATTTCTCAATTTAACTTCTACGTACAAAGGCAGAAAGAATTTACCTTTTTCTTATTTTGATATGTATTATTTATTCTTATACATACAATTTATATTGTTATTTGATCTTTATAGAAAACGTCAATGAATATTTAAAATTGGCTGCTAATGCTGACAAACAACAATTAACTAGGATTAAAACGGTATTTGAGAAGAAGAACCAAAAATCGGCGCACAGTATTTCACAGTTACAAAAAAAGTTAGACAGTTATATGAAGAAATTGAAAAATTACGAAATGAATGGCGCACCTACGAGTCACAGACAACCGAGAGAAATGTTGCGCGATATGGGACAAGGACTTAAGTAAGTATTAAGTAGATGATTATTTTAAGTGTAATTTATTTTTTTCATATCTAGAGAAAAATATCTATTTGTCGTAAAGGAAAAAATTTATATATATCTTACTAAATAAGTATTAAAAATAATTTGACTAAATTTGGACCTGAATTTCAGAAATGTGGGAGGAAACATAAGAGACGGAATCACTGGTTTTTCAGGGTGAGTGTTCATTTAAAAATAGATCCCATATTTCAAGTGTATACTGAAATTATATTCTTATGTGGTTGATTCATCACAAAACTTTTTAGAATCGTATTGCTATTAATATCACTGCAACTTAAAATTAACTAAATATATTAGAAAATTTACAAAAATATTACTATATAAAAATATGCTTATTTATATTTATAATCATGTTCTCATTATATTGCAGAACTGTAATGTCTAAACCAAGAGAGTTTGCTCATCTTATTAAAAATAAATTCGGAAGTGCTGATAACATAAATACTTTATCACGTAAGTGACGATAAATAAATAAATTTTTAGTGAATTTCGTACACAATTCATATTTATATATACATAAAATATAGTATATTAATAATTAATTTAATTAAGAACTATATAAATATAATATTTATATAGCACTCAATTAAAAAAAAAGTAAGATTGGGAAGGGAATCAGAGTAATACATTTTTTTAATAATACATTATATGCTGTTATTTTTTTATATTAAAAAAGTTTATATCATTTTTTATATATATAAAAATCATACAATCTGTTCTTTAGCATTTATTTATATGTGAAATATGTTTGAATAAGAGAAAATAAATATTTTTTAACATTTTTGCTATCATGGCAGTTGAAAGTAGTAAGTAATACGTTGCTCAAGGGGCGAAAGAATTCTGTTACACTTTATCATATGCTTCCTGCACACAATATTTGTATTTTTCTTTGACTCTGCTTCTAGCTTCTTATCTTCTTTACAAAATTAAGTGATAACAATATTTTTGTCTTAAGTATTTGATATCAAAAGTTATCTTGTTTATATAATATATTTCTTACTTTTAAAACTTTTTTGCTTGTTAACCCTTTCTATTTCTTTTTTGACAATACAATTTTTTAATATAATCTTGTCCTGTCTTTTATGTTGTACATATTTATTTAATCTTATTATGTAGCGAGATTATTATGTGATTTGTATATAGTTGCTTCTTCTGTAATTACGTATTTGTCTTTCTTTAGTTACTATCAGTTATCCAATACTTAAAAAAATAATGCTAAAATGTATAATTTACAAATTAATTAATATTGTGTTGTATATATAAATTATAATAATAAACCAAAATTTCTTTACTTTTTAACATCATCTAAAATAATAAAAAGAGCTATTTATGCGTTTTGTTGGTGTAAGGAAACTAAATAACTTAAAAAAATAATAATTTTCATTTCTCGAAAGGCCAAGCTTTGGTATTGGATAACATTCTAACTTGCCACCTCTGTGTCTCTACAGATGGCTCGACTTTTTATGTAAACGATACACCGCATGCAGGTAATGGTGATAATGCTAGCGTTGAAGAAGATAAAACTCATCATGGTTCAGCCACGCTTCCTGGTGGATGCAGTCTAGGATCTACCCAAAGCGCAGCGGCTATGAAATTCCCGTCCGAGGAAGGATCGGAGTGTTCTAGTGTAACCAGTGAAAGCGGTCCTGGTAGTAGAGGACAGCCGCACGCCTGTCACAGTAACAATGCAGCCTTGAGTCTCAAATCTATTTTCGCAGAATTGCAAGAACACCGGGAAAATCTTGACCAAATGAGAGAAAAATTAGATAGTGTAAAGGTTCGTATTTAATCTCGATCTAGCAGCATTCAATACATTTGGGTTGATATTTTAAATGGATTATATAAATATATAAAATTTAAAAAATTATATGTAATTATAGCGAATTTTTTTTTGTTGCCTAGACATTACAACAGGAAGTGACATATCTCTCCCATTCCCTCCAAGAAGAACGTTTCAGATGCGAACGTTTGGAAGAGCAGATTAACGATTTAACGGAGTTACATCAGAATGAAGTGGAAAATTTGAAACAGACTATCACGGATATGGAGGAAAAAGTGCAATATCAAAGCGAGGATAGACTGCGTGATATACACGAGATGTTGGAGAGTTGTCAAACAAAAATTTGTAAAATGGAACATCAACAACAACAGCATCAGCAATACGTAACGTTGGAGGGTCTAGATAATAGCAATGCAAGAGCATTGGTTGTAAAATTGATAAATGTAGTATTAACTGTATTGCAAGTTATTTTGCTTCTCGTTGCAACCGGTGCTGGTATTATGATGCCTTTCCTCAGAACTAGGTAAGATTATTATTAAAATAACTTGTTTTGTTGTTCATTGTAACAATGGAATATTTAAATTATCCATCAATGGAATCAATGGATACTCCATTAATGGAATATTTAAATTAAATATTCTGTGTTATGTTTTTATCATTTTAATAGATAATTATACATAATACGTTAATGTGCAATATAAATAAGATATTAATATATATAATAATCTTTCTCTCTTCTTAAATCGCGATGTTATTTTCTATTATTAAATTTAATTCATCTTCATACCACAATATGATCATAAAACTGATTTTATTTTGCTCATTCATTATTCTGTTTTGTTTTTGCATGTTTGTTACAGCTGTACTAAGCCTCATTGTTTCATGTGTAGGGTGCGTATATTAACAACTACATTCGTTGTGCTTGGCATAGTATTTGTGCTAAAGCAATGGCCTGAGGTACATGACGTTGGCAGTCATCTCATACGTCATCTTAAACAGACCCTCGCCATGAAGTAGCATTGTAAGTATATTAAATCTTCAGTCACATTTTTTGTTGATGCAATTTAATGTGTCACTATAATTCAGAATTTAAAGTAAATCTAATATATAAAAATTCGCAAATAATTCATCACAGATTTATTTATTATAACATTTTTTTAATTATTAATAATAGTATTTATTATTTTAGGGTGGAATACTTAAATTTAATTGAATTTTGTGATGAAGCTGGGTTAGATTGGATACACATTGATTGAAACCTTGCATCCACTTATCAGTGTTGTAATATTGAAGCAATAATAGTATGTATACATGTAAATAAGTTTATTTGTATCTTTGGTTATTTTAAACTTTATTATTATTATTGTTTTCGTAAAAAATAAGTAATATGTTATTTCTATTTTTGATATTATTATTTAAATTGACGCAAAGTTATTTTGCTGTAAGTAAATACGCGTTTTTTCAATTAATTTGTACAAATTTTCATTAATTTATATTCACATTTTGATCTGATATTAGCTTCATTTTTTCATGATTCATTAGCGATCTATAGTGCTGGACGAATTAGAAATTAAAGCACAGAGAACAATTCAAATAGTGTTATATAGTGTGACACTGCTTGGGTATATATATGTGATACATTATTATGAAAGTTTAATTTCACCAATTGGTAACATATCTCATATGTTTATTTTTTGGCGGATAAATAGCTAAAAGAATTAGTGTAAAACAAATCAAGTGAAAAAGTGTTGTTTAAGTGATGCACACCAGAACACTGTCTTCAACCTTCACAATGATAGCTCCAGCGACAATTTGTTAATGTAAAAACGGTTCGTTTTGAATCCTCTTGGATATATATGTTGAAACTAAATGAAGAATTTGTAACATCCCAATCGTCCAATTGCTAAACAATAATTGTAAATTAAGGCAGAGCTCTTATATCATTAAAAAAATAGCTGCTGTTCGGTATTGTATAAAGTAGTGTATATTGTACATTGTTTACTTGTTATTTGTAAGATTCGATATATAAAAAGGTATAAATTCTCTAGAAAATGCAAGCTTTTTAATTATCATTGTTATGCATTGCATAAAATAATAGTTAGCGTGTAAATTAAGTCCCACATGCGATGAAAGGGACAATGAAAGAAATTCTGCTAAAAATTACGTTAAAAAAGATATTATGTTTGTGGAAAATCAAAGTGAATACGAAATTTAAATGTAAATAACAAGTTTCACGTACAATGCGCGCATGTACTATTAAATCCGATATCAATAAAAGAGGACCAATTGTCTCTTTCCTCTTATACTACAATACAATTTCCATCGCATATAAAATATCTTAAAATGTATGACAATGGTAAACACAAATTAATTATTAGCTCAGTTAGCAATTTAATCATCAAAACACATAAATCTGCATGTATATTATAATGAGCATAAAGAATTGTGAACCATGACAGTTAATTGAAATGAGAGAAAGACTGAAGGACTACAGTGCTGTAGGAATTATGTTTAATTTAACATTGGCGTGAATTGAATGTATATTATTATTTTAAGTTTTTAATATCAGAAAGAAATTCCTTGTATAAATTAATATCATATTATAATGTGGAAGAATGTAAATTTATAGAAACGCGCAAAGTATATTTGATATGCAGTAAAAACAAGTTAAAATCACAAAATAGAATTCTAAAACAAGATTCACAGCGTCTTGTGCTTTTTCTATGTATGTTATCGTTAACAGAGCATAAATATGACTTCTATATTCACCATTTTACAATATTTTTTCATTTTTTCACTATTCCGTGTCTGAAATGATCCATGTTAAAGCATTATTGTTACTCGATACACGAATCGCAACATACGATGCACATTTAAATTAAATAGGAAATATCTGTAGGAAGATTTCATTTTATTGAAATAATTTTATCACGCTGTTTCTGTCTTGCACATAAAAATTTCAATGTTTATCCTCATTTTAGGCTATATGTGTTTGAAGCTAAGTAATAATAACAATAGCTCGTATTCAACAATTCGGTGTCAATTTAATGGCATAGCAAATATAACAGCACAAAGAATTTCCTATTCAGAATATAATTCAAAATAGCTGCTTATATTGTATGTAAAAGAAATTTAGTGATGTTTCACTATGTGTCGATACGAATATTTTGAATATTGATAGTATACATTGCTGTCAAATGTTGTATTAATTTATAAGTATGAAATAAGATAAAAAAAGGGATAAGAATGTTTGATAAATGAGTATCAATTCAGTATATGGAAATTAAAAGCGTGGTGAAATAATTTATGCTAGTGCAAAAAGATTGCTATTCAATTTATTCTTGATCTCAAAGCAATGGAAATTTGCATATTCATTGGGTATATTTGGGTTTTTCTCACGAGATTATCCAGCAAAGTTCTCGTCTGTATAGCTTAGCATTGATTTGGACAATTTAACATTTGACGTCAGAAAAAAATGATGTTTAAATATTTTCAATATTGTTTTTCATGTTCCTCTAGAGTAAATATTCCATTTCGGATTTATACAAATTGCTGTGATTATACTAGGTTTATATATAAGCTTAAAATTTAAGAAGCAGCTTTGGGATCAATATAATCGCGATTGGAAAATACTACACAAAACGTACATGCTGTATAATAATAAATTTTTCGTAAATATCATGCATCATTCATATAGTAAGTAATATTTGCGACAAATAAAAACGTATATAATATATTAATTCAACCGAATATCTTCGTCAATATGTTTCTTTTGTTACATAAAATACATGTAACTAATTTTTTTAAATGTAAATATTTAATATTACATAATCAGAAAAATAGCTAAAATGTATAGGGTGTTGAATATATATTAAATTTTATATTAAAATGTGACAATGTTTGAATTGCATTTAGTTTCTTTAAATTAAATTTAATATTTAAGAAAATTATTTATTTTGTTCTATATTTTTGTTTGATAATACAAAAACATCCTATATGTTTGTAATTTTAGATCATGGTGCTTTGTAATATATATATTTAACACTATTAGAGGATTAGAGAATTTATTCATACGATCGACCACCGATTTATAACGAGGGCCCCTGCACGCTTACAAAAATATATATATATTCGAGCGATACGTAGAAGAAAATTGAAAAATTAAAATATATATAATAGATTGATGCGCTAATTCTCGAAATTATAAAAAGAGTTATTAAACAACGACGAACGTATTTTGTACTTCATTGAACTATCGCATAAGTTTACGTTTTTCTATATAAAGCCGTTTACAATTTTATATGTATTTTATATTTACGAAACTCTACGGCACAATGTCATACAAATAGTATATGCACCATATAATTTGCGATGTAATCGGTAATGAGTATTGGAAAATATAATCATTTGTCGTCGTTTGTAGCTCTTATAGGGGCCCTTTATATATGTAGATATAACGTAGACAACAGAATTATTAAATAAATTATGTCATCGATGCCTTGCGTAGGTAGGTAGTTAATGTCAAATTATAGAATAAATATTCGTTGTCAATTGTAGAACGGTAATAGGCAAAGCCAGCAGCAGTTATATTGTAAAGATTGTTACATTCATTGTATATATATAAAACAGCTGCGTATTCGCGCAATTCTGATATCTAAGAGATAATAAAAAGAATATTTCAAAAACTCTCTGAACATACGCTAAATTTATAATATCCATTTTTCGATACACCGATATACTTTTTAGACGTACATCGTGTTATTGCTGCTGGTAGAGTCGACGTACCGAGGTACGACTTGATTGAGCGAATGCTCTACGATTCGCATTATTTCGTACTGTCAAAATAAAACGAATTTTTAGTAAAATCAGTTATATTCAATTTCACTTTGACACCTTGCTCATTTGATTAATAATTCTACTCATTAAAAGTATACTAATTGAAAAAATAATCGAAATAATAAATAAAAAGAAATTAATCGAAAAAATATACAAAATATAATCGAAACATTTGTTATAATTTAACGGGTACATTTAGGAATAATGCGGCCAATCATAAAAAGCATACGTCGATGTAAAGTTCTTTTATATTTTCTCTTCCAAGAGTTTCTGTTAATAATAAAATATTACAGTCATATCGCAATATCTTACAAATAATATTTTTATTCAATTATTTTATTATATATATCACAATTTCTAGTTTGTGTTGTGCACAAAAAGCTGATTTATATCTATTAAGATATTTTCGATAACTGCACACATAAAAATATGCAGCACACATACATTCAGATTTATAATTAAATTTATCTCCTTGAATTCTCTTTCATTGAAATTCATCAAAAATCTTTATTTAGAAGCAGCGTCATTGTATAGTGTTTTGTTGTAAAAGTGCATCAGCCTTCGATTTATTTTAAATAATACTTTGCTATATGTAAGAAAATATCTTACTTTATTACAATATTAATATTTTTTTTTTACGTAATAGACAAAAATTTGGAAATATATAAAAAGAATGTATAATTTTGCAAAAAATTTAATATACACAAATGTAAGTGTATTGATTAACAAAATAAAATAGATCTTTATATATATATAGATCAATATTATAATCTTAAATACTTGAAAATATATTTTTTTATACTCTCATATTTTTTCTAATTCTTATCTAAATTTATTCTTTATAAAATATCAAATTATAAAAGTGTAAGCCATGTTTCTCAATTTATTGAAACAACGTAATCTTCATCATTAATATCATTAGTTATTTGATGTTTAAATATTACTACGGTTTTATTCTATACTATAAAACGTGTGTTCTCATATTGTTTTTAAAAGAATTTATGCCATTTAATTAACTTTTATCATAATCTTTCAAAAATTGCAAATAACGTTTGTTTGTTTATCCTCGTAATCTGAGGGACAATTATAAGAAAAAAAATCGATATAAAAGATTTATATTCACATTACCTGAAATTACAATATGTTTCTTCAAAAAGAGAGAACTAAAGGATGATACTGTTGTTTAAAGAACATATATAAAATCATATCAATTATCGCGTCATAATTCAAGTATTTTAATTGCATTTTTATATACCACAAGAACTCCTTGTAAAAATAGTTTTGTATAAAGTTTTCGAATATACAATAGATTGGTAGAGAGAATACACTATGGTGAGACGAAAGCAGTTTGTTATGTAACAAATGCGGATGAAATTTCCTTAGCACCTCGGAAGTTTGCACCTTACCGCGAAATTCGTACATTATCTTTTTGCAACTTCTTCAATCTACGCTGATTTGAATTCCGTCGTGCGAATCTCTGTCCACGATATCGGACGAGAGGATGATCTTGATCTCTCCCTCCTCGTTCGCAGGCTCGTCCTTTTGCACGGGAGTCGTAACGTGATTCTTCTTCCGGTGACACATCATTGTTGACCTGGACACGAAGCCTCTGCCGCAGGCGTCGCACTTGTACGGCCGTTCGCCGGTGTGCAAACGCTTGTGAATCGCCATCGGGCTGAACTGCGTGAAGGTTTTATTGCACACGTCGCATCTGTAAGGACGCTCGCCCGTGTGGGATCGCCGATGACAGCGTAGGGCCGCACGTCGGGCGAATACTTTACCGCATATCTCGCATTTGAAGCTCTTCTCGCCGGTGTGCATGGTCGAATGAATCTTGAGGTCGACTCGCGTGAGGAATCCCTTACCGCAGACCTCGCATAGATACGGCTTCTCGCCCGTGTGGATCCGCAGATGCGTGTTGAGATAACTCTTGCTGACGAACATCTTGTTGCACACCGCGCACGGATACTGACGATTGTCCGTGCCCGAATGTATCTTCTGATGGCTCTTACAGAGGCCCTTGGTGATGAAACCGCGGCCACAGATCTCGCACATGTACGGCTTCACGCCGAGATGACGGTTTTCGTGGTCGAGTAACGACTGCTTCGTCTTGAAGTTCTGGCCGCACGTCATGCACGGATATGGTTTTACGTCCGAGTGCACTCTTTGATGCACGATGAGATAGCTTTTGCACTGGAACCCTTTGCCGCAGGTGGAGCAATTGTAATCGAATTGACCCGTATGCGTGGCAGCGTGCTGCGCCAGGCCAATCTTGCTACGAAATGCTTTACCGCATGTCGTGCATTGAAACGGTTTCTCCCCCGTATGCTTGCGCATGTGCTCCTGCAGTTTGTAATTCGTTCTATACTGCTTGCCGCATTCGTCGCATGTTTTCGCGGTCCATTTCCGTTTCACAGTTGGCGACTGTTTCTTTTGCTCCTCTTGATTACCACTTTTCTCTCGCGATGGTGTCGCTGTTGCAACGTTCAATTGCGTGTCCTTTTCCTTATCGACTAGTTGATCTTTATATACAATGCACTGCTCTTTATGTAAATTTAATCCCTCGACACTGGTAAAGTACAAGTCGCAGTAACAGCGACAGAAATGTTGTTCAAAGTGTGCAGCCAAGCTGGTCGTTTCCATAGTTGCCTCGTTGCAGAATGGGCACATGTACCAATGAGAACCAGTTTCGTCCATGGTAGGATTGTTGAGCGTAGATTCTAGCAACGCGTGCTTGGTTTCTTTCGTATATTTAATTATTTCGCAAGACATGTCATTTATCTGACTTGTAGATGGTAAAGCGTTCACTGAATCGACGTGTTCACGAATTCCATTTTCATTTATACAAGATTCTTCCATTTCAATTTTTGCATCAGCCTCAGAAGAATCAAAATTATCTGATACCTGAATTATAAATTTTAATTAGAATTTAAGTCGTGTAAATATTATATAAGTAATTTATATAGTTTTACTTCTGTTAATGTGTTTTAAATTGTAGATTTTTTCTTTATACGAGTTGCTCAAGTGCATTTAAAAAACTATACTTACATTATTTTCAAGTACATGTTGCGACTCTACTGTAGTTAATCTATCTTGTAATCTATGATATTCTTCTTTAATTGATCTCGTCTCATACTTTTCACAATAATGCACTATCTGTTCTTGGCTTTGATCTTCGGAACTGATAGAAGTAACATAATTAATTCCCAACTGACTCAAATGACCATCCAAATTTTCCACTACAGTCATATCACCCTCCAAATGCATTGCAATCTGGTGATTTGATACCTATAAAATATAATTTACAATTTTTAATTTGAAAATGAGAAATTACATATTTTACGACTCAATTTTTAATTGGGTAAACTGTAAGAAATTATCCGCAAATTATTTCACTTTTCATATTCCATAAGAATTAGTGTTTTTTAATTACAATAATATAATCACATCATGTACAGAAATACTTGTATAAGCTATCAATTCACAAACATTTACAGAAAACCCAACATGTGAAATTTACAAAAAAGTAAATACAGGTTGTTTTAATTACTTCTCTTATGTGTTCATCGACCATTCTCACAGTATCGCCATCTAAACAATCAATGCCTGTTACTTGAATGTCTGCATCTTGTTGACCTATCTCTTCTTGAGTAACCACTTGTTCACCACCAGCTAGATCCATTTCATCCATTACTTGCATTGTATGCATGGTGGATTCCGCAGTCTCATGAGGTATAGCCGAATGGCTTTGTACATCTTCATTATTAATCTGTATGTCATTCAAATTTCTTCGAACTGTGCCTATATTATTCACATTTGCCAAATCGTGCTCCGATATATGCATTACCACCCCTTTACCAATTTCTTTCAACATTTTCATAAACATTCCTTCTGTATGTAAACATTTTTCACGAAAATCAAAGAGCTGATCTAATTTAAACGCACATTCTTCACAAACCACTTTGGGCAACTGATCTGTCAAGGATACCTGAAATTTATTACATACAATATATTATTCTAAGTAGCGTGATTACTTTTATATCACAAATAACTTAATACTTTTGTTTTTCATTCAAGTAAAAATATTAAAATCATAAGAGATATTTCAGAAAAATACTCGCATCACTATTAATCCTAGGTGAACAAATTAAAATCTTTTTCGATCTATATTATAAAACTTTAGAATATATCAATTAAAATAATTATCAATAAACTTTTATATTACAAATAACTTAATATACTTTTATTTCACGTTTTAAGTAAAAATATTAAAATCATAAGAGCAGAATTTTCTATGTATTTCAGAAAGATTGCACCATTTTTTAGTAATCCTAGGTAAACAAATTATCTTTTTCGATCTACATTATAAAAATTTAGAATATATATATATATATATATCAATTAAAATAATTATCGAGATCGATGATAAAAGCGTATGCTTATCCAAAAATAAACGTATATTCGTTTTACTCCAATATAACTTTTACGTGTGGAAGATCAAGAGATCGGAGAGTAAGAAAAAATAAAAAATCCGAGAATATACACCGGGATATCTCTGGTCCAGATTGAATTTACCTGAACCGGCAGACAGGCTGCGATCTTCTTGTCGATGTTGCGCATCTGTTCGCCGGCCTCGAAAATCGGCAGTCCCATCAGGATGCCGGTCTTGGTCGCGCACAAACGACACAGATAATCGAACTCCTCGACGACGGCCATATCGTACAAGGAGGAAACCCTCGTCTCCTTCTAGGGCAGCTTATCTTAGGACACGGAGGGGTCCGAATTCAGAGAGCGCGATTGCGATCGCGATTCGCTGCTCCCGCAACAAGCATAATCTCTCGTAATTTCGCGTTCCTCGTTATCCGGAATCTCCAGGATATCGCGAACGACACGTCGAAATGTTTTGTCAAATCGCTCGTCCGTAATATAACATTTGATACTGGTCGTAACGCGATCTTGAAGCGTTTGATCCGGGGGGGAAAAAAGAATGGGGAGATTTGCTTCTCGTTACGATTCGCCATAGATCAAAGAGACAACGTAGAAAGGAAACTCGCGATTCGTCAAATTTTACCTGCTCAGTCGTGCATGATTTTTCCTCTAATTTATAAATGCGTATATGACATAATATTAAAATATTTTCACTCACACATGTAGATGACACTTACATTCTTGATAAGAAAACAATTTATCGAAAACATTTTCAGAGAATAGGAGAGACAGAGAGAGAAAGAGAGATGCTTCTTCTCTCTCACTTCGCCGTGCTGCGCACTCGAAGACGGTGGAGGGGAGACTGACGCGCGCATGCGCAACTGTCTCTCCCACTCCGCGGCCATCACGTGACACGTCTTACGTGACTTTCATTTTGTCCCTAGATGAAAGTCGAGTTAAAGTCGCAGGCGTGAAGACGTGCTCTCTCTTTCTCTCCACGATAATGAGGTATTGTACGAAAAATTCTTTAATTAAAACAGGGTTGCGCGGTAACATTAAACGCATTGAAGCATGCGAAACGTAATTATAAAGTGCAACGCATAGAATACTTTGATCAAACCAATATTACGACTCGTAAGCGAGAGATGATATAGTTTTTCGTCAATTCGCTTTTATCAAATTTTAAATGCGCGCGTGATTTAAATATAGAAAATATTTGACGTATCCTAACGCCACGTAGTGGCCGACATCGGCGTCATTTCGTAGTCAGTTATGAACTTTTGTATGTTTTGACACGTGAATTCTTCGATTATTTGAGTGATTTGATTGATAGGAACGAAGAGGACAAGGATTTCTCTATCCCGATTGTGTGATCAAATGCTTTCAAATATTTATAGCATCGATTTAAACGCGATCCTTGCATATCGAATGCATTAATTGCATTTTGTATATACCGGTGAGCGAAGTAAGGTTAATATTTGTTCGAATTGAAGTTAGCGGTTTTTGTAAAAATACGAAATGGAAAATCAAAACGCACCGCCCATCAAGAGTAATAATCCTGCTCCGACTGTGGAACAGATAAATGCAGACAGGATCACTCAGGTAACTTTCATTTTACCGAAATTTACAAGTAATGATAATATAAATATGATCAGATAAATTGACGTTTCACGTTTTTGTCGATTAATATTATAAGTTTGTTTTCTATTTCTGCACTGGTTGAACTGGTGCAATAAGTTAGAGTGAGACAAATATATTTTGTCTTTAATTTATTGCAAGTATATTTTTTGTACAAGTTAATGCAATAAGTCAGAATGAGACAAATATATTTTGTCTCACTCTAATTTATTGCATCAACTTGTGCAAAATATTCTTGTTTTACTCTGACTTATTGCACCAACTCTAATTTATTGTACAAGTATATTTTGTCTTATGATTATTTTATTATCTTGCATTATAATTCTGTGCAGCTTGCAAATAAATACTGGGCGCCACACACTACAGATACTCATCTACCGTTCAAGCCTCAGATAGTGGAGGACATTTACGTGCAAGAGATATGTGCATCCAAGTTCTCCATTCGAAGAATCATGATGCTGGAATTTAGTCAGTACCTGGAGAATTTTCTCTGGCCAAACTACAATGCGGAGAATGCAACACGAGCACACACCATGTCCATTGTTGTCATGGTGAATGAAAAGTTTAGAGAGCGAGTGCAAGTTTGGGAGGCATTTGAGAAGAATTCAACTTACTTTCCTGGTTTTTTTCAAAACGTTCTTGAAGCGTGCTTAGAGGAAAGCATAATGGACTTTGATTTAAAGGAACAGACAGCATTGATAGTATTCTTGAATCATTGTTTCAATTCTATGGAGATATTGTTAGTTAGGGAGGAAGTCAAAAGATTGGTATCTCTGTCTATGTGGATTTCCTTGCAACACGGTAGAAGGGAACTTGAATTTAGAAAGTATCCAAAATGGAGGAAATATTGGAAAATTATAAGAAAGAAGGATAATCCGGTGCAAAAGGAGAAGCTCGAGTGGGAACGCAGATTCTTGCACAAGCTCATGATAAAATTTATGACAATATTGGAGACAGTTCCTGCAGAAGGTACATATCTTTGTTTTGTATATCATTGTCTTATGTAAAAAAAAATTAAATTTTGTTATATTTAAAAGAACACAATTTCTATAAATAAATACAAATCTTATTAAACAGTAGGATAAATTAAATATATAAAATAACAACTCCAATAATGAATATATTTTACAGGACCTGTACTTCCAGACAAAGTGCGATACTGTGAAAGATTTTTGGAACTGATCATCGATCTCGAGGCTTTACTTCCCACCAGACGTTTCTTCAACACTGTTATGGATGACAATCATCTGGTGGTGCGTTGCCAGTTATCTAATTTATTACATCGACCAGAGGGAAGTTTATTTGGACAGGTAAGTTTTTGCACAAAATATATGTTGCAAACAAGATGTGTTAAATAATTTAATCAAGAATACTGATTTGAATTCAGTCATTGAATCTAATATTTTTTTCATACAAAAATCGAATTCTATATATGTACATACATGCTAAATAGATATAAATACTATGCAAATATCATTAAAAGTATAAGATCATGTAAGGCTCAGTGACACATAATTAATTATATTGCGCAATACATTGCATAACAGACTTGTCTGTTAATTTAATAGTGTCATTAATATTGCACAATACAATCGATTTTATATATGTAACCTATTGTCATTTGTGTGATGACATATAATGTTATAAACATCGATACATGCAAGATATTAGATGTAAAAATTGCGAAGTGTTAAAAAACCGTTTTACATATATTTTCATAAGGCAAGAGATTTAATTTCGTTTAAGGCACGCATCATCACCAAACATAAAATATCAGGATACACAATTTTATCAGTGCCGTGTCATTTGCATATCGATTCGATTATGTGTATCTGATATATAATTTTCTAAAAATCTTTTAAATTTCTTCTAAGTATTTCTTCAATGTGTGAATTTGTCAACTTTTTCCCTGCCTTGTTTGTACTCTTTCCACATTGATTCGATCACTCTGATTTTTGCATCATTATTTACAATATATTGCCGCATTTTTTTATCCCAATATTGTCTCGAATACATATTTCTTTTTTTATATATACGCGCATAATACTGTTTTGTTCTGGAATAAAAGACATATCCACGCATTTTTTACACTCTATGAAGAATATCTCTTTTGGTTTCAATATATATGCATATATATTTATATATATATATGCATTTGTTATATGTGTATATATTATATATTGCATATACATACACATATATATGCTAAATGTAATATATATATACATATATGATAATAACGCGCATATATATATATATATATATATGATAAAATTCATGCGTGAAAAGTATGAAAGAGCTATGACTTTAAGATAAAAATCTCAAGTTTGATCTCGCATGAGGAATATATCCTCAATATCCTCAAATCTTGAATGTACAGAGTGTCCTATAGGAAATTGCTGAAACTAATCAGCTGTCATTTTTTAATGCATGCAGTTATTGAGAAAACAAAAATTGTGTTAGAAAAAGGAAAGTGCAATTTTTAATGGATATAAATAAAATGTGTTTATTTTACCAGTTTATTTTATTGATAAAAAGTAATGAAAAAGTGCTAATAATTACATAAAATCACATAAACTAATGATAAATATTTTTAATAGTGCCAGATTTAATAGCAGCTATTAAAAGAATTGTCAATAACATTAAAAATGACATGTTAAAAAAAATTTTTTGTAAAAGAACAGAATTTTGTACAAATTCAAATGGTGCGCACTTCGAAAATATTTATCATTAGCTTACATATGTGATTATTAGCACTTTTTTCATTACTTTTTTTCAATAAAATAAACTGGTAAAATAAACATTTTATTTATATCCATTAAAAACTGTAGACTTTCCTCTTTTTAACATAATTTTTGTTTTCTCAGTAACTGCATTGCATTAAAAAATGACAGCTGATTAGTTATAGCAATTTCCTATAGGATGCCCTGTATTTATACTCTAGCGATTGTATACATAATAATGTCATTTCGTGTGTGCATACATATATGCATCTCCGATATTTTACGTATTGCTCACTATGGCCGTGCGCACAAATACACATATTCAAATATCGACGATCTAAACGCACGGAGATCGTTTCATTGCTCGATCACGATTCCGATCGGGATCGCTACACGTCCACAGATTGTAATATCTAATATAAAAGATGAAAACGCCGCGTTAATAGCCTGCGTTGATGGCCGTCATTTCCTCGCCCCAATCGAGACCCTCGGTGTTGTCGCCTGCGTTGCAACAGTTGCACGTCTTCCCGAGGAGAAACGTCACCCTGCGCTGACCGAAGACGCACACGTGGAGCACGAGCAACGCTTGCAGCAGGTTCACCACGATATGGCAGTATATGAGAACGTCGTACTTGAGCCGCGACAGTAGCAGGGAGAACCAGCCGGTGCTCAGGATCGCGTACAGCAGGACGAACATCCGGAAGCTGTACTTCATCTTGTGATGAATCCGTCCGTACGTGCTCATCCGTTTGATCCTGTTCGCGGTCGTCAGTACCAAGCAGAGATCGATGATGACGGTGAAGGCGATGCACGTGAACATGACGGAGATTCCGAGCCAGCCCACTGTCTCCTGGGCTGGATACGTCGTGCCACCCACGATGGGCTTGTTCGTCTCCAGGGCGAAATGCGCGAAGATCGCCGTACCGGCTATGCAAAGGGTCAGGCACCAGACCCAGGACGAGTAGTAGCAGTACTTCCTGCCGTCGGTCACCCTGAGGAAAACATTGCGCGACCTGAATGTATTCCACACGTAGTAGCCCAGAGCGCTGAGCCAGAAGAAGGCGGCCATCAAGGAAACGTACATGACCGTATCTGAAAAGAAGAAGAGGATGATAATATTTTTCAGTGTATCGTCGCAATTTGTCTGGCAATTTTTCTTTCGGAGCAAAAGAACGTTTATGAATTATTAACGCTTATTAATTAAATGATTCTTTTGTCGTGAGCGCGTTGAATCGTGTGACTCATCCGACTCTGTTTCGCTAGACTTTTGCGTGTCTCGTAAACCGTATTAATAGACTTGAAAAGGATATGACCGTAAATTTCATTATCTCAGTATACTTGATGTTCGAGCGAAAATAACGTGTGATAACTCCGTAAAACAATTTGTGCAGAGTGTCTCGCATTAATTTATCAAGCATGACTGTTTTAGAATTATTAAGATATTTCTTTCTATAGACAGAACTCGTTCTAACTTGATGAGAAAAAATATATCGTTGAAGCGCTACGTCAGCATCTGTAGGACATCAGACACACTTCGCACACGTGAAGAAAATAATAAAAACAAACATACCGGCGATCATGAAGCTGATATGACTGCCGAACTCGGTGAATATCCTGACGGTGGAGGCGCACTGGTTGACCACGAGACAGAGGCTCATGCTGGTGATGATGTTGCCGACGAGGTCGCGCAGCTGCGGCAGAACGAAGTAAATCACCGCAACGATCAGATAACAGGCCATCGACGCTGCATGGAAAGCGGGATCGATCGCGTGCCTCATCAGGTAATTAGTGTCGGTCCAACGCACGGCGACATCCGGCACGCAGAGCATGGCGTACGTCGCCACCAGCTGATTGCCGCTGAGAACCGCCTTGTCGGCGCAATAATGCCCGAACGGATAGTCGTAGTGGATGGTAGCGCGTTCAACATCCTCATCATCATCAAGACTCGGTAGCACGGCACCGTAGACGCCGCTGTTTTCCTCCGCTCCAGATCTGACCGCCAGATCGACGATGTAGTGACGTAGCACCCCGGTCGGCAGAATCACCAGACGATCCGGCCCGGACGGATAATAATACACGTCCCACTGGTGCTCATCGGAGTTGCATCTTGGTTGTCCGATCTTCAGCTCGTACCTAGGTCGTACGACGACTCTCAACGTCTTCCCGGTCGCCGGGTCTCGCGCTTCTGTCACGAACTTTGGTCGCCACTTGGTCTCGTTGGTCTCCGACAACGGCGTGCACCGATTGTCCAGCAGTAGCTCCTCAGGCTCGCAACACTTCCCGATCTTCACGGACGTCGCCGCGGCACTGTCTGCCTGACCGCTTCCGGTCGCTGATCGCGTCTCGGCATCGGCCAGCGCATTTTTCAGGCTTGAGATACCGCAACCGATGACGACGAGCAACAGTAGCGTTCTCTTTGGATACATGACGACGCTAAAACACGCGCGCGCGTACGCGGGTCTTCCTCCTTACGTTCGCATTCGCGTAGTCGTCTTCTGTGCTGCTTCTTCTTCTTCTTCGAGGGAAAAGTGCTCACCAGGTTGCCGGTCTACAGGACTGTTCACTCGCTATTTCGCGAACTTTCCTTCCGTGATTCACTCAGCTCATCGCGGCGTGTATCACTCGTTTCGCCATACCTGGCCATACGTCGCCCGCGGCTGTCTATCTACCTATCTACCTAGCTAGCTACCTATCTACCCCTGCCAGCGTCCGCCGCCATGATATTCCCATTCTCCGCCGTTCGGGGCTGGTCAGAGGCCCCCTGATCCCCTCCCTGACCCCTCGACGACCTCGAACCAGTCTTTGCGGCGGAGCTGCGGCTCCGAAGACACAAAAGCGCGCGCGAATGCTGCGCTGACACATGTCTCTCTGCGCGCGCTTTGATGACGCATTCTTTATACTTGAATACTTTGATACAGAAATTTTTTTTTTTTACATTTTTGTAAATCAATTTAAAATACTATTGTAAAATCTTTTGTGTGATATAATACAATGAGTATTAATGTAGGAGTAGGTTCAAAATAAATGAAACACACGCATGCATGTATATATATATATATATATATATATATATATATATATAATTTTTATACACACACATACATGCGCATGTATGTATATAATTATAATTATATTAAATATATATATATGGAGAGAATTTTATCTTAGAAGTTACCCTGAAAATTGTGGTAATCGTGGGACAATATGGTATTGAAAGAATTTTATGAGTTTTTTTGATTAATATTTACCACAATAAAAAATATTAATATGTACATTGTAATCTTATATCTTGTTGTGATAGATATTAATATTTTTATAATATTAATAATAATATTAATAATTATTTTTATGGTATATTCTAAGAGAAAATTCTCCCTGTAATATAATATAATTATAATATTAAATATAATATAAATATATAATATAATATATAATATATAAAATTTAAAAAAATATATAAATGCAGTCTATGATATTTAATATAATAATTTTACATCGCGCAAATGGATGTGTGTGTTTGAAGATGAAATAAATATTATTTATTATGGAACAATATTGATATAATTCGAAATTTTGATGAAATGTTGAAGGATTATTAATATACGATGTACGCGATAACGATATCAATAAGTGAATGACATGGAAACTAAATTATCTCTAATTTATCAAGACCATTTAATTTATTTTCTCATTTATCAACGTATAAGAAGGGAACAAAGTTTTTTAATCTGATATTTTTCTTATCAGGAGAATATTTATAACTTCACACAAAAATTATTCAAGACACTTTTTAAACGCAATCTATCTTAGGAAATTACTCCGATCAAAGTTATCATTTTTTAACCCACAACATTATATGAATATTTCTCAAAGATGATCCTCCGCACGTGCGTGACATTTTTATCTATTCAAAATGTCACAATCAACGTATGAAACAAAACATTATGAAAGTCGATAATATTTATTCCGAAATTAACGTACGTAATATGCGAGTTCGGTATTTGTGCGTACTTTGTTTTCAAATTCATTATTTTTCCTGTTTTCGCCATTTTTTTCCTTTTTTTTTACCTTTGTGTGTTTGTCTTACTCATCCGCTACTTCGATGAACGCGCGTTAACTTAGACTGCAAGGGCGTATAAATACAGCACGTGTTCGTCTTGTCACGTACTCTAAGAAAACATTGGACGAGTGTAGTATTACAGCTGTATATATGTATATTCAAGACTTTCCGGTTTTAGGCTCAGATGAAAAAAATACTTTTAGCTCCTGTGTCTTGTGGCACAGATTTTGTACACGACAAAAAATTAGCTACCACAACTAATATTTTTTAGCTGTGGTTTGGCGGAGAATGCTAGAGCTACAAAATATTAACTATCACAGCTAAAAGACACGATAAGTAAATTTCATGTTTAATATAGGGACAGCTAAAATTTAGCTATAAGAGCTAATTTTTTTTCCAGAGTATCGACATATTATAAGGTAGGAAAAAAATAAACTGCGTATTTTCTGCCTCGTATATAAATAAGACGATGAAAGGATGTGTGACATTTTCATTTTTAACGATTATCGTTATTGTTATCTTTATTTTAAACTCTCAAGAATGAGTGAACAGTTCAAGTTCTTTGAAACTGACCTTAGAATGAATTAAAAAAAAATCAATAATGACTCTCTCCCAAGAGGGACAGACAGTTTGGTGCCGGACGTCTTTCCAGATCGTCGAACCGCGGTAATTTGTGGTGGATTTCTCCCCTTCTGCGTGTAGTTTTTTTACAGCCATTCTTTCAAGACATGCAATATATGTTGGCATAGCGAGCGGTTCTATTTACACTGGTAATGCATTATACATGACAGTCGTGCATCATTTCTCTTTTGTACTTGAATGCAATCGAATGGTTGTACACAGAGAGAATTTTCTCTTACTATCGAATTTACCCTGAAAATTATGGTAGAACTTTATAAGAATTTTTCTGATTAATATTTTTACTACAATAAAAATATTAATGTCTACTACAATAAAATATAAAATATGTTCGATTAATATTTTATTTTTATTTTACATAAATATTTTTATTGCGGTAAATATTAATCAGAAAAACTATTATAAAATTCTTCCATATTGTCCCACGATTACTATAATTTTCAGGGTAAACTCTAAGAGAAATTTCTCTTCATGTATATGTATAAAGTTTGTATATATCCACTGAAAAAAAATTTATTCGATTCAAATAAGTAGGTATTTATTTCAATACTGCCAAATAAATTGCTTATTTGAGACTAATAATATTGATTTTATGTGAAAAATATTTATTTGTTTTAAATAAATGATTTAGGCAACATTGAAATATAAATATTTATTAATTTAGTCATTTTTTCAGTGCAGTAATAACACACATTTTTAATATATTTTTCATAGCGTGAATTAGCCCCCATCCCTCCAAAATTAGTCCAATAAAAATTCCGAGTCTTAATTTCTTTTTGCACTGAAAACAACTAACAACTGTCAGGAATGTAAAAATAATTGCAATATCCTCTTTCGTCACTTCTCAACCATTTAATGGTATATCTTATTATTAACGCAGTTGCCATAAAGTTCCGGGATTGTCGTGTATAAATTTTTATACCTGTCTGTTATTATATTTCTACCGATCACGACGCAGTATAGACGTATATATAGTCTCGCATAATGGAAAATCTGCATACATTTATCGATCGTCTGTTTCTCTCTCGTTTCTGTTATGTACTCCCGATTTTTTCATCATATACGAGCGAATGAAAAAAAAGCAAAATCACACAAGCGTGGAATCCATCACTATATGAGTATCTTTCATCTCCGCATAACAACATGAATCAGCATATTAGTTACTAACAAAATACTTGGCTCTTGCAAAGAGTTATGAAAGAGAAAAAAAATCTTAATATGAAGGAAACATGCTATTTGCACAGCGATGTTTTCAGCGTAATTTATCTCATAAATACGCGATCGCGTGAATAATATTAACAAATCGTCATTCGTTAAAAAAACGCACTGTTAAAAAAAATTATTAAATTAATAAATATTTATTTCAATACTGCTTTATAAATCATTTATTTTTTATTCGAAACAAATAAATATTTATCTGTTTTGAAAAGGATTTTCTTACATCAAATCAATATTATTATAGTTTCAAATAATGTTTTATAAAGGAATATTGAAATAAATATTTATTCGAATTCAATAATTCTTTTTCAATGTGAAAAATATACTTGCATGCTTGCGAATACTTTGTATAGGAAATAATTCCGCGTACCATCTTGCGCCATCGAGCTTCGAACGTGAGGTGCACCTCATCTTGCATCCAACTGCATCGATTGTCACGGGACGATCCGATTTGCTTAACAAATTTCGTCCACGTCACGCAATCGTGACCTACTATCTATCTGCGTCCGTATCATGACAAGCCTGTCAGTACCAATGAGCAAATATATAAGATTCGTTATATTTAGGTTGTCGTTCACATTCACTTTATCGACAAACTGCAACGTGATAATAAAAAGATACGAGATTATCCATAGATTTTTTGAGAATCGATTTTTTTTAACTGAAAAAAAGAACTGTCAATGGAGATCAATAAGTTGCTGTCATAAGCCTGTCCTTGACATTTTCATCGAGAAATATCGGAAATGGATTTCGGGATTCAGATTAATTTATATAGGTAAAGGTTGATTCGCTAAGTGGTCTCTATAAAAAATATCTTCTCATCGATGTCTATTGAATTTAGGATGATGAATTATGCGCAAAATATCAATGAAAGTAGGACAGATGCGACTTGTGTTTACAACACTCGATGTCTACTTGCGGCGATAAATTTTACGAATCTGTTTTCTAAACTTATATCTTACATACATTATACATATGTACATTATTGAGTAGATCGGATTTTAACGAGAAGGATATAGCCAGCACGTGTCATATGTACATAGAGAGAATTTTCTTTTAGAATTTATATCCTGAAAATTATGGTAGAATTTTATAAGGATTTCTCTGATTAATATTTTTATCACAATAAAAAGTATTAATATCTACTACAATAAGATATAAGAAATATGTTTGATTAATTTTTATTTTACATATTAATATTTTTAATGTAGTAAATATTAATCAAAGAAACTTTTAAAAAACCTTATTGAATTCGAATAAATATTTATTTCAATACTGCTAAATAAATCATTTATTGGAAACTAATAATATTAATTTCATGTGAAAAGTATTTATTTGATATATAATAAGAAAATTCTTTTCACAAAACAAATGTAGATAAATATTTATTGTATTTGTTTCAAATAAATGATTTATTAAGCAGTATTGAAGTATTTATTAATTTAATAATTTTTTTTCGGTGTATAAAATTCTTCCAATATCATATTGTTTCACCATAATTTTCGAGGTAAATTTTAAGAAAAAATTATATCGTATATATCGCGACTATTGTTTTGTTTGCGGTGAAGTTACGTGAAGTATTAGCCTTCGAATTTGAAGTGACAAGCGGCCTTTGCACTTGCGGCCTTTGTAAATTATTTCTCAACAGCTTGTTATATATGTTTCAATGCCAGAGAGAGAGAGAGAGAGATAATCAAGTTTGCCTAACTCACGGCGAATTCCCTCTTACGTAATTCATTTATCGTGTATGCAAAGATTTAGTCTCTGAATCACATCTGCACGTACAACGAGATAAACGAGAGCACATGTGAAGGTCGATAATCGAGTGAAAGACGTGAATACACGTGAATGAATCGCGGATTTACGCGGCTTTTCGCGGGAAATCGTAGACACGTGCGGATGAAACTGATGACTCGTCGTCGTCACGTTTTCCACGAACGAGAAATTGAATCACGAGCGCAACAAAATGACATTACGCATCGGTGAATAATTATAATCTTTGTTATATATTTTTTTTAATTGCTCCTCGCGCACACAGTAATTCGATCTAGTAAATCTATATATATATATATATATAATGTTTGTGGAGATTCTTGTACAATGCTTAATAATAACATATTCGACTACGTTAAACGTAAAAAAAATATAAAAAAACACGATAATTCACAATAATCGATAACTTATATGGAAACACGATATATTTATTGTTTAACCCGCTATCAGCCAAATGTCTTTTTTGTGTGTGAATTTACATGAATGTACATGTTACAAGAATAGATAATGTGTATAATAAGAGTCGAAGTAGCATTGATGATTTCGCGAATTTTAATTTTTCGACTGATAACGGATTAACATAGTGGAGATAATTTATATAACGCGATATTATAATATACATATATATAACAAGAATATTCGTACAGAAAATGAAATACACTTACAAATAATCTCTAGAATCGTATGAATTAAAGCACATCACAACAATCACGTTATCTGTCCTTGTCAGATAATATACAGATAATCCGAGATTGTATTTTCTCTTTTGGACGATATTTCCTTACATCTAACCCGCGTGTAATGATCGTGATGGGAAATACATTCTGGAAGGGAAAGAAAGGACGTGTCAAAGTGTGCCTTATGCCTGTTGAGACAGTTCTAGTTCCTCGGGAAGCACTTCTTCGCATTCCTCATCTTCATAGGCCGCCCAGGATTTTGGGAAAGCGATACCGCAAGGTCGCTTCTTCGCCAACAGCTTCCGCACTCTTTTTCTCGTTGCGACCAGAAGCAGAAATATGATGAATCCTTGGAGACCGTTCAGCAGATCCGTCGGTATCCTGACGAGAAAATATTCCATTATTTTATTTAATAATTTATTTTTATTGAATAATTGATTTTTATTTGCCAATTTATTTTTGTTTAATAATTATATTTAAAAGTATCGCCTACCAAAACTCGTCTATCTTCGTATCGATGGCGAACGACATTAGCTCGAAGATCCAGGTGATGCCCATGACGAGCATCAGTTTAATATACAACAGACACTTGAATCGCAGGACTCGCAGCTTGCTTCCCGTGTAATCGCGATATTGATGCCACAAACGCCAGCTGGTCAGTCCCAGATAGATCATATTTAACGTTAGTAAAACACCGACCGGTCCGTAAAAGTATGCCCAGGTTTGCGCGTATCCTGTAAAGTGAGTGAAGTTAGAGAATGAAGAAACGTGAAACAATTTTTTTTTGCCAGAAAGAACAGAGGATTATTTCTACAACTCACCGCCTAACCAGCAGTTGTAGTCGCCGAAGCCAGGTTTTAAATGGTATCCTTCCTTATGATGCAACAACAACGCGATGATCGTTAAACACGTCGGGCCACCCCATCCCCAAATGCAATAAGCGTAATAGAGCGATTGATCTCTGATTCTGAAGTTCTTGAACCTATAATTAATAATATAATTAAACTTTGAGAATAGTTTCGAACGTGTATTTTATCGATTGACATTATTAGTACGATTTTTTAATGCATGCAGTTATTGAGAAAACAAAAATTGTGTTGAAAAGAGAAAAGTCTGCAGTTTTTAATGGATATAAATAAAATGTTTATACTCCAGTTTATTTTATTGAAAAAAAGTAATGAAAAAAGTGTTAATAATCGCATAAAATCATTGCATTATTAAGTATTAAAAAATGACAGCTGACTAGTTTCAGCAATTTCCTATGGGATACCCTATATACTTGTCTGTCACTTACCATACAGAACGCCACACGTTGAAGGCCACGATGTTCAGCCAGAAAAACGCGGACATGAAGGAAAAGTACAATATGAATCCTGAAATAAATATATATATAAATATCAGCTGATTATTAATGAGAGACTAAAAAGAAATGCGAGGGAAAATTTAATAACTATATATATTTTCTGGTATTGTATAATGCATAATTATACGTACCGAAGAATATGCAAACGGTATAATGCTCCTCGATTTCGATCGGTTTCACGTGCTGGATGGAGAGGACGGTGTAGCTGACGGCCAGGGTGGTGACGGCGGCCATCATCGCCTTGTCCTGGAGCTCCCGTAATTCCGGGAGTATGATGTAAACCGCAAGGGTCGCGATTAGGAAGACGGCCGAGATAATGCTGACGATGCAGACGAGAGTGCTCTTCCACATCGTCGTCAAGCCCTCGGTCAACAGCCCCTCGTCGAAGCACACGAGGGCGATCTGGTCGCCGCTTCGCATCGATTTTGCGGTGCAGAAACTGAATTAATTATGAAAAAAGATTTATTAGAGTGATTAAAAGCACCATTCATCGATCATTATTGTAAATATTATCGGAGGATTCTTTAAGCAAAAATTAATCGCGTAATAATAACAGACATCACTACTATACAACTGCAGATTTCTATCTTCTCTTTTGAACACGCGAAAAACGAAAGTAGTCCTGCGTGATTACGGAAGCTGTGGGGATGACCTTACCTGTCAGCCGAGATCTTCTCCTGGTTCATGTTCAGCCAGGCGGTATCATCCTCGTGAATGACAGTAAACTTATCATTCTCGTTTATCTCAGGATCGATGAGGAAGAAGCCCTTGGGGCATTGCAGGCGAATCTTCGTGCCATCCGAGCAGTTGGCCGAGTGTTGCCATACCGCACCCTCGGGGCAGCAGGATATGTTGAAGGACAGGCTCGGGGAGATCGTGCTCGCGAGCAACCAGACCCAGAGCAACCAGAGGGAGCCTAAAAAAGTGTCGTAATTAAATCGACAGGCAGTCTTTAGCGTTAAAAGCCACGCCAAAAAAATTAGCCTTTATATCTAAATTTTAGTTGTTTTTATATTACAAACTGAGTTATGATGCCTAAATTTTAGTTATGATAGCTAATATTTTTTAACTATAGAATTCTTCGTTACACTATAGCTAAAAAATATTAGTTACCATAGCTAAAATTTAGGCATGAATATTAAATTTCAAATTGTAATATAGGGGCAACTAAAGCTAAAATTTAGCTATGGTGTATTTTTTATAAGCGCGGAATTGATAAGGAATTTTTTCTTTATTCACTGCGCATGTAGTAAAGTTGTATATCACGAAAAAATTAGCTACTATAGCTAAATTTTAACTGTCTCTATATATTACACATATGTTTAAATTTCAATTATGATAGCTCATACTTTTTAGCTATAGAATTCTCCGTTAAACTATAGCAAAATAGCTAAAATTGAGACATGATAACTAAATTTCAAGTTGTAATATAGGGGCATCTAAAAAATTGTTTATTATCGTTTATAAACGCGGGATTGAGGAAAGGAATTCTTTCCCTCATTGATCACGCACGTCTGCAAACGTAACTCTTCTCAGAAAGATTATTTTAACAGTCTTGTATAGTGACATTTTTTTTAATTCGCAAAGATATATTTCCTTTCTTAAAATATTTTTTTTCTGGATAATTTATTTATATGATATGAAGTGTTGTGAAGTAATAAATGATTAGGTATTAATATAAGAAGAGAGAAAATGTAGAGATAATTTAATGATAATATTTAATGAATGGTACGATAGAATAATCTCACAATTTTCCATGTCACGTTTCTAACATTTCCTAGTAAAAGCGTTTGTCGCGGAGTTTCCGCGTGCGTCACGAAATCGTTTCTTTTATCTTTGATGATACTAGGCGTTATCGCTATTATAGAGTTCGAGGATACATGCGAAAGATAGAGATTTGCAACGAAAAAAAAACAATATAGAACGGATCGTATATCGCCAATATTTATGTAATGCGGCCACGATTCTCCTCCTCTGCAAGAGATGAGAAGTGAGCGCGATGATCTAAAGAACGCAATTCGCAATAAGAAACGCAATAGGGATGGTAACCCAGTTTAGCACTTAATGGCAGATGTGCGATATGAAACAATCGTTATGAAAGAAGGGATATGACTCTCTCTCTATTAACTGTGCACTAACTCTTCATTACCGGAGCTGGACCAATGCATGTTGCACTAGATGCATGTGCAAATGTGCACGTGCATGCGTATAGCTCCTCGGTTCATTCGCGATACCGTTCGCACGCGATTCTATATTTAATTCAAATTGCTGAATGTCTTTCCGGCAGTGAAAGATGCAAGAAGCGAGAAGCAAATGCAGAAGCTGAGATGTGCAGCGAATAATTTATTTTATAAAAATTGCAATAGCGTATGTTATAATAAAAAAAATTACAACGCTTCTTAAAGTAAAATTTGATTTATAAAAATTTGCAATTTTGAGATAAGAGAAGATTATATTTTAATTATCCGTACGCAAATTTTTAAATATATACTTCCGGCAATGAAAGATGCAAGAAGCGCGATGCATATACTGAAATGTATAGGGAATACTTTATTTTATAAAAATTGCAATATCGTATATTATAAAAAATTACAACTCTTGTTAAAATTTGATTCATTAAAATTTGCAATTTTGAGATAAAAGTAGATTATATTTTAATTATCCGTACGAACTCAAATTTTTAAATGTACTTCCGGCAATGAAAGATGCAAGAAGATCCAAATGATCCAAATAGATCCAAATGTTGAAATGTACAGTAAATGATCTTCTAAAAATTGCAATATCACATTTTCGCGTATTATGAAAATTGCAACCTTTGTTACAACAAAATTCAATTTGTCATATTCGCAATTTTGAGATAAGAAAAGATTATACTTTAATTAACCATACGATATATACTATATATATATATATATATTTTTTTTAAGAGTCGTGTGTTTTCTATTTATTTTTTTAAATGCTCTCCAGAACGAGGTTTATTATCAATATCAGCTAAGTTAAAGTAAACGTCCCAGTTATTTTTTTCACCTTTTATTTAAAATGATATCGGTCTCTTGTAATCTTGTCGGATAACATTATTTTTTTGCAATATGTCGTTACATGCGTTCTTACTCTCTCTCTTTCCACTGAAAGAGTACTCTATTCGAGTTTTCTGGGTCAATTTTTTGACATCGTCAGGATCGCACGCTTCGAGAATGTGATCACATATCGTAAGTCATTAGCAGAGTTGATAGGTTGTATCTTACCGGTATTTTATCGAGCACAATAATAATTATCGAACTCGTCATAAATTCGCATAGTCATAGTTTCGCATAACTTCTGGGAATTCTTTCTCGCGAGATATTAAAATAAAAATTTCTCATTTTTTAAATGATTAACGTGAATCGCACATATTCCTATCACCTTAGATACTCGTTGTGACGACGATTTAATTAACGCAGATGTAAATGTCGTCTGTATTTTTTTCCTTTTTTTTTAATTAAGCCCAATTTGTACGATGAATGAAATAATGAATGAATTAAAATAAAAATTTCTCATTTTTAAATGATTAACGTGAATCGACATATTTATCATTACTCGTTGTGACGAAAATTAACGCAGATGTAAGTCGTCTGTAAATTAAAATTTGTACGATGCATATAATGAATGAAATAAACGCGCTGTTTTCGCGTCGAATTTATATTGTGTGAAAAAGTGGAAGTGTCTGAAAATAAATTCCTGTTTTATTCATTTACAAGTTTAATCGTCGCGTAAACTTGATACGACAAAGGTCGCTCGTATACATATACGATAAAATTTTTATATGGGGGCAAAAAAAACTCAAAGGCATAAAAAGCGTTTGACGTTTTATGATTAACGCGGAGCGAGAGAATAATCCGAACAGAATAAAGACATATTATTTGAGCAGAAAACGAACAAGTGCTTTGTTGATAATCAAAGATGCTCTTGCTTAATGTACTCTGTATCTTTGTATTAAATTAAATTTTTATGAGAATTATTATGAAATGTCACATGAGATAAGATCGATCTTATCGTTTGCATTTATTTGTAGACTTTGGTTGCGACTCTTATTTTTTCTATCAATTTACAGTATTTGCGTTGTTTTTCAACGCAACTTTTTATCTGATTGACGTTTCCCGAGTGGACAACGAAATATTGTTTATACCGAGAAGCGGCGCAAATATAGGAGCCATAATATTTCAAGATTGATGACAAGACGCGTATATAATTTATTCATTAAAATATTTGCAAATTAATTATCTGCTAATAATTTTCCGCGGTATAGCGTCTTCCTTGTCGAAGAAATATTGTCAATAACGATTAAAGTTGATTTTTACGGACGACCGTGAATTTTCCTATATATATACATGAATCGAAGCCGTTGTATAACGTTAGGCCAATCGCTCGTTCTGATAATTGATAAGTCGTATAATTTATTATCAGTGTTCGAGTGTTCTATTCCCAACATATACATGCACAAACATACAATTATGTGTGGACAAAATTTACATCGCGAAGGAATACCAATGAGCAACGTTTTACATTAATGAAGCAATTCTCTGATGCATGCGTCGTGAATAGAAAATCGCGACACAAACCGGAGACGCATTTATGAAATAAAATAATATGTGATTAGGAGAGGCGATAAATATTATTAATTATAGCCTTCTCGGCACGAACTGATTTTTTTTCTCTCAACATTGCCATTGTTTACATGGATACTTTTACGTGACGGAGCCATAATATTTCAAGATTGATGACAAGACGCGGACTTTACAACGGTACATCATTATAATACTATTGGAATTCTGTTGATTGACGCGAGGTGCACATCTTTTTTTCTGCCACAGGAAGATTTCCACGCTCTCGAGTCTTGGGAGACAGAATCGGACAATGCCAAAATAGCTGGAAGTGACTGATTTTGGCTGATTGACGGATAATTTCAATTTTGGCAAGAACGGAAAGCAAAGAGGGATTTTTGCAGAAACAACGAATAAATGGAGCACACAGATGAGGAAGAAAGTTTTACTTACCTCCGATCGACGACTTGTATCTCAGGTCGGACGACATCATTTCTCGTTACCGCATCTCTTCGTTCCTCGTCACACGAAGCGAAGCTGTTCCTCGCTGAAGTCTAGTCGTGGAGGTGATCAGCTGAGTACGAATTTTTCCAAGGGTCTCTCTCCTGTCGACGCGTCCCGCTAGATCGGGGTCAACGGACCGGTTCGGCTTCGTTCTGACGTTCGCCAGAAAGAAGAAACGCTGCCGTTTTCTGCAATTTCCGTGGGAAATTGCTCGGACGATAATGACCTGTCACCTTCTTCTTTAGTATCTTCTCCTCTTCTTCTTTTCTGATGAATCTGATGAAAACTGACACTCGAATAAGGTAACGCGAACCTTATCGGTCTGAAGTTTCACTAAAAAAAAAAATTCCGAAAACTGACAAGACGGTCGAGCAGAAAAGTTAGGCTTTTATTTGTGCAGAAGGGAACGTTATCGAAATCACGAGAAAAGTCCTCGCGCGCCAAGTCTTTACGAAGAAATCGTATACGTGGTTTATATTGCCGATACCATCAAGCACCGATAAGAGCGAATCAGAATGACGGAGCTACGAACAGAGCTGAACGCGACAACCAACTGCTCACCGGAGTCTGCCGGCAACGACGAAGTGCGCGACCGAGGAGATATCTTCTCCCACTTTTTTGCGTTTCAACCGGAGTCCGTGCGGAGATCGAGCACCGTGTATTTTTTTCTTCTTCCTCTCGTCCTGTCTCTAGCGCCCCATTCAGCTGCATCGGGAACAATGGTCAGAGGACCATTCGCTGAATCGTCATCAGATTTCTTCGTTTCTTTTTTGAGAAGCCGAGGCGTCAAATGGATATGCGAAGCTACCGAGGAAAAGGAGTAGCACCTGCGTTTTTAAAGGATGGACTTTAAAAGGAAAAGAGAAGTTTATGTTGTGAATATCATGAATGTGAATAGGAATGCGCAGAAGTGTATTAGACATAAAATGAAAATGTCGATGATGTATTGTATATTACTATACAAATGTAATTTTTAAGAGAGTCCATATTTGTAACATATGAATGAAGGCCATAGATGACGACAAGTTCTGATAACTACGATTAATTACTATTAATATTTACTACGATATGTTGCTTTCAAATGCAGTCAATTAATCGCGTTTGAAAAATTGCTTGGTATGTGGAACATGCGAATGAGTTATGGAGCCATAATAATTGGCTCGTAAGCTCGTAGTTTATTAAGTACACTGTTGTTCCGCTGATAAATTTACCAATCTTCATTGAGAGAGAAAGAATAATCATTAATGAAAATATTTTATATTACAATTGTAAAACAAAATATGCGTTTTGAACAATAAGCGACAATTGAACAGTGTATCCTCACTTAAATATATAAGTATTCTCAAAAAATGAAAAGTTTCCTATTTTATGTGTAGTCTCTTTTTTTTTAGAGAGATTTATGTATTTAAAACGATTCAAAAAGTATAAATCAATGAATGAAACGAGTAGAAAATAAATATCGATGCCTCTTGATAAACGAATCTCGAACTTCTCTAGAAGAGTAGATCGTTGAAAGAGGAAGAAGAGTTTCATCGAGAAAAACGATTAACATACCTGGTCCTCTCGTCGGTTGTGACGTCGAGGAACGATTATAAATGCAACTACTGTTGAGTCTGATTTTATCGATGCGCAATCAACAGTTTTTTCTATGAACAAAAGACCATACGTAACACTTCGTTTTAGATTCTATCTTCTAAAAATTAACAAACACTTCTGGTTTTGATTTCAGCTCCTGGAAATGCTTAAATTCTACGCCCGCTTCGAGATCAGCGAGGAAACTGGAAACCCATTGACGGATCACGACATGACGCAGTTACACTACGCTAAAATCACGTCTCTTCAAGTACATAGACCTTATAAATGTATCCAGTATCTCATTAATGTACATTTAGTCAATCATAATGATTAGAGTAATTAAAACTAGGATATATCAATTTTAATATCAATCTTAAATCATCTTCATGTTATCTATTGGTCTTTGTTTTTCGCATAAATATAATTTCCACAAACCGGTCGTTGTTGATCGGAGAAAAATATTGCGATACAGGAATTTAAAGTTCTATAATTAATTCTGCGGCCGGGGTCGCGTCATGAATTATACGCTAGAATGCGTACATTAAACATAATTATATATTCTCGAAATCAAGGAACTAACAGGTGTCATTTAAAACTCTGTTTAGAATGCGGTCTTCGCGAAATTTCCAGACCTAAGAAGCTTCGCGTTGGCCAACGTAGCCAGCGTCGACGTCAGGGACGCTCTTTACAAGCATTTCGGCTCACTCAGGTATTCTATAAATATAACATTCTTTATTAAAGTCATCGGCAAACACTCGCGGATCAATGGAACATGATGAGTGATTTTTATTTTCAGTCAGGAGAAACTCAGATCTATCGCGAGCTACTTGAATTTAGTGCCACCGCAGGAGCGAGAAAACGAAGAAAATTGGTACCGTCTGGACATAGAGTTTTTGCGCGAGCTGCTGGTGAGTAGTCTGAGAAAAAGGGGGTGAGAGTAATGTAAATTCGTGAGGCTGTCGAGATGCTGGATTCTGAGAAAACGTATTTTAATTTCAGATATCGCGACACGAGCGTAGGCCGTCGCAGCTCGAGGAGTTGAATGAGATGCCTCTCTACCCGACCGAAGACATCATCTGGAACGAGAGCATTGTCCCTACCGAGTATTTTTCTGGCGAGGGCTGTCTGGCTCTGCCGAAACTGAATCTGCAGTTTCTCACGTTGCACGATTATCTGCTGCGAAACTTTAATCTATTCCGCTTGGAATCCACGTGTAGGTAGAGCTGATGAAAAAAAAAACATTGTTGCTTATCTATTTTATTAATAATTATATCTATTTAATTAATGATTGTAAATGCGCTGCATAATTATTTTATATTTTTGCAGATGAAATACGACAAGACATCGAGGATGCCGTAAGCAGATTGAGTCCTTGGTACGTTAATCGTACATAACTGCCTTCCTTTTTTCGCGAAAATAAGAGTAAGAAAATAATTTGCTTTTCTTTTAGGCGGGCGGAGGATGGCGGCGTTTACTTTGGAGGATGGGCCCGAATGGCACAACCTATTACGCAATTCGCCGTAGTCGAGGTAGCCAAGCCCAATGTCGGCGAGAACAGACCGTCTAGGGTGCGCGCCGACGTTACGATAAATCTCAGCGTTCGCAAGGAGATCAAATCCGAATGGGAGAATCTTCGCAAACACGACGTGTGCTTCCTCATCACGGTCAAACCACCGAATCCTATTGGTAAGATAAACATTAAAGAGAAATGTATGTCATCCTTTAAGAAAGATGTTTCTTGGCATCGCGTATTTCATGTTGGAGCAAATTTCATCTTATATAGAAATATAGAAAAAATATCGATTAGAGAAATTAATTTGTCTGCAAATTTTTTATTATGCAACAATTTATATAACAATAACAAATAAAAAATCATATAAAAATATAACATAATAATATAACAAAAATAACAAATGAATAAAATAATCAGACAATGTATACTATTGGATACTATTGCAGGCACGAAATATAGTCACAAGCTGCCTTTTGTCCCGCAAGTCGGTCTAACGACAGTGCGAGGATGCGAGGTCGAGGGTATGCTCGACTCGAATGGCAGAGTGATAGAAGACGGCCCCGAGCCGAGGCCGATTCTACCAGGTGATTCGCGAACCTATAGAGTATGGCTAGACTGCAATCAATATCGGATCGACATGGACAATGCAAGCCACGGCGGCGAGGATGTGTACGAGGGATTTAATATTATAATGAGGCGTAAACCTAAAGAGAACAACTTTAAAGCCGTTTTAGAAACTATAAGAGAGCTCATGAATACTGAATGCGTCGTGCCCGACTGGCTGCACGATATAATACTCGGATACGGTGATCCCGGTGCAGCTTGCTATTCTAGGTAATTTATATCATCTAACTATAAGCATATCTATATGTTACTACAATAAAACTGAGTCTTTATGTCTTTTTGATTGCTTGAGAAACAGTATCAATTGACAACAAATCAAATCTGTCTGATATTTTATTAGCAGATGCAACGTAGCCTTTCGTAGTTATACATCGTTAACAATATTTTAGTATATATAATTAAAAATAGTAATTAATCGTTCATTTATTATTTGTTTATTTGAAAGTAAATTAATATTATGCTATTTTTCTGCGTGATGATATATTAAATTCAACACATAATTCAATTAATTGTTAAAAAAATGCTAATTCTCTGTCAGAATGCCGGATGAAATTGCGACAATGGACTTCAACGATACATTCCTCAACATAGATCATCTACGAGCTAGTTTTCCTCAATATGAGATCAAAACGGACCCGAAGGATGAAGGAAATCTCGTGCGGCCATTCCAATTGACCTTCGAGGATATTTTAGCAAAGCGCAAAAATGAAGCGATCAAGAAAATTATCAGAGTTAAACCACATGTACCGCCTAGTAGAGGTCCATACAGAGCGAACGAACCAAAAAAGTTAGTATTTGCTTTATTTACTTTCTTTTTTTCTCGTAGCGTTTATAAAGCATTTTATAGAACGTGTTATTTTTCGAACAAAGAAAAAATACATGTCGTTACATTGCAGAAATCAAATTCCCTTTACACCGACGCAAGTCGAGGCTATACGAGCTGGAATGCAGCCAGGTCTGACGCTGGTCGTCGGTCCACCCGGTACCGGCAAAACGGACGTCGCTGTGCAAATCATCTCGAATCTATACCACAATTTTCCCAATCAGAGAACGCTGATCGTCACACATTCCAATCAAGCTCTCAATCAATTGTTTGAGAAGATAATGGCTCTCGATATCGATGAACGGCATCTACTGCGTCTCGGACACGGAGAGGAGGCTCTGGAAACTGAGAAGGACTTCAGTCGCTACGGCAGAGTCAATTATGTTCTCGCTAAGCGTTTGGATCTGCTTCTGGAGGTTCAGAGATTACAGGTATCGATTTATTTCTTCTTTACCTTCGACTCAATTGGATCCAGTTGTGCTTACAATGTGTTTCTTTCTCCAGGAATCTCTAAACGTGAAGGGCGATGTTGCATACACATGCGAAACAGCAGGATACTTCTTCATGTATCAGGTATCCACGAGATGGGATCGCTTCGAGGTCAGAGTTAAGCAGAGACAGCACACGAGTGATAAGTCCATTTTATCTTCCATAGTCGACGAAGAGTTTCCATTCCACAAATTTTTCGATAACGCTCCGCAGCCGCTTTTTAAGCGGAATTCCTACGAGGAAGACCTCAAGATTGCGTACAGCTGCTTCAGGTAAGAATACTCGCGATAAACTCCTATTTTAAATGAATAATTGTGGCAGTTTCTAACGAGACATTATCTGCGCAGGTATATTGAAAGGATATTCGCACAATTGGAGGAGTTTCGCGCTTTCGAATTACTACGATCGGGTCTCGATAGATCAAAGTACTTACTCGTGAAGGAAGCCAAAGTAATTGCTATGACGTGTACGCACGCGGCGCTCAAACGACGCGAACTCGTTGATATGGGTTTCAAGTATGATAATATCCTTATGGAAGAGTCCGCGCAGATTTTAGAGATAGAGACTTTTATACCTCTGTTGTTGCAAAATCCTCAAGACGGATACAATCGACTGAAACGTTGGATAATGATAGGAGATCACCATCAATTGCCACCTGTCATTAAAAATATGGCCTTCCAGAAGTATTCGAACATGGAGCAATCATTGTTTGCGAGATTCGTGAGACTGGGTGTTCCCACGGTCGATCTCGACGGTCAAGGTCGTGCTAGGCCTAGCATCTGTAATCTCTACAATTGGCGGTACAAGAAATTGGGCAATCTGGCGCACGTGGAACATAGTCCTGAGTATCTCGTAGCGAACGCCGGTTTCCTGTACGACTTCCAACTGGTGAACGTCGAGGATTTCAATGGCGTCGGCGAGAGCGAGCCCAGCGCCTACTTCTATCAGAATCTCGCCGAAGCTGAGTACTGCGTTGCGGTGTTTATGTATATGCGTTTGTTGGGATATCCGGCCGATAAGATCAGTATACTAACTACGTACAACGGTCAAAAGCATCTGATAAGGGACGTGATAAACATTCGCTGCGCGAACAATCCTCTAATAGGACGGCCGAACAAGGTGACAACCGTCGATAAATATCAGGGTCAGCAGAACGACTATATCCTGTTGTCTCTGGTGAAGACGCGCGCGGTCGGTCATCTCAGGGACGCGAGACGTCTGGTGGTAGCGATGTCGCGCGCTCGTCTAGGTCTCTACGTTTTTGCCCGCGTGTCTCTCTTCAAGAACTGTTTCGAGCTCACGCCGGCGTTCGATCAGTTGATGCAGAGACCGTTGAAGCTGCAACTACTGCCACAGGAACTGTATCCGACCGATCGACCGAACGATGCCGTGCCCTCGACGGTCCCGATGGAGATCGAGGATATGCCGCACATGGCTAAGTTCGTTTACGATTACTATATGGAAAAAGTCAGCGGAATGAAGGTAAATTTCTCAGAACTTATTATAAATAAATTCGTATATTTATCTCTCCGGTATTGATTATCTTTTATATCATTTTCAGGGGTCGCAGAAAATGTGGCAAAAGCCAGGAACCATGCAAACATCAGGTAGCCCGACGCATAAGATTCCCGCTCATCCAGGTGCGGATGACGACACCGATGACGAAGAGGAAGAACTTAGTCAAGAAGACGATGAAGTGAAGGAATCTAAAAAGGAAAATGTAGAGAACAAATACGAGCCCATACAGAATTTAGTCGAAGATCCTCCGAGCGAGGCCGAAGATGATCGCTGAGAATGGATTACGCCGTGATATACTTATGCTTGCGCAAGGACTGATACGAGTTAGTATGAAATAAAATAATTGTACAGCTTGGAAATGAAACGACTATCTGCTTCGATTCCAAGATATTGATTATATATATCGTAATTGCTCATAGATAACGATCAATCGTTTGATACAGTCACATTATATCAACAATAAGCATTTTATTATAGATTATTATTAGTATAAAATAATATATAGAAGTATTTTTTACATATTTGTATTAAAAATAACGAGATAAATGTTCAGTTAATGGGTTACCTCACTGAATTTTTTTAGGCTCGCATATTTCCAGATATGGAACCTAAATCTTGAAGAAATTGTCGCTCTTATCTTTTTTTAAATCGTATTTAAAATGATTTTACACATTGCTATGAGGCTGAAGATATTAATTTTTTATTTATAGTATATCTCGAAGTAAATAAAATGAGAGATGAGTTTAAAAAAATCAGAGATAATCTGAACATTTATCATATAAACTATAATTTTCTTTTTACAAACATCAGTCTCATATACATACATACTCGATACAAAATTTGTTTTCTCTCCTGCGAAATTTTCTTCGATCGTCTTGCTTGTTATTTTATTACCGAATTTCGCATATCGGTATGTAGCTTTACGAAAAAGATTCGTATATCTCACGAAAAGAGATCCATCTTCTTGAGCAATGTTCCCTTTCGACGCGATTTACTCGGATTCATTCTTTTCGAGTTGCTACTCTGTTGCACGCTCGATGGCACGTAGCTATCGTCGAACTTCATCAATTTGCTCGAGGACTTGAAACCAGGCTCGTACTTCTCTACGGAAGGCTTGGCTCCTTTGGAATTGGGAACGTATTCCTCGAGGATGCCTTCGGGAATCGTCGTGGTTGCGCGCGGTTCGTAAGTCTCATGAATCGTCTCCAGCTTCTCGATGGAATTCGGCACATAGCTCACGGTTTCCGTCATGGGTTTGCTATCGCAGAGAGTCGGCGTGTACTCGTTCAAGGTCAAACGCATATTTTCCAATGCGCTCTTCTGGCTAGGCACGTAGTTCAAATCCGTACATGATCTTTTCGCTTTCGGTGCGTCCGGGATGTATTCCTCCAACGGCGCGTTCTCCAAGTCGTTCGAGAGCACGTATTTCCGACTCTTTTTGATCCTCTTCGGGTCCTCTTGCTCCGTCGCGATAGCGCGCGAGCTCTCGATCTTCTTCGGGGAAGTTTGCAGCGACTTCTCCAGGGTTTTCCTCGATTGATCGACTTTCGGATCCGTCATTTGATCGGGAGATTTTTCTTCTTTCGTTCGTTTCGTTGTATTGTCATTATTTTCTAGTGTTACCACTTTGTTTCTCTTTGTGACCTTCGTTTCTCGTTTCAGCGATTTCTTTCGAGCTGGTGACACGTGTACTTTGATCGTGGGCAAAGATGACACGTCGCTCGTGCACTCTGAATATTCAAAAGTGTACCTGTTATACAAAATATGTATTATTTTCTTTTATGGTATTGTCTTTAATAGAACTTCTTAATTATATTATAAAATATATGTTTCTCGATTTTTTAATAAATTTTTCGCTTTGCTTGGAAAGTTAATAATTTATAATTTATAATAATTTATTAATTAAAAATATTTTGTTCACAGATATTGAATATTTGGACTAACAAAATTAACAAGAAGCAATCAACTAAAAAACTAATTAGTGCGAAGTCGTCGAATCGATGTTGCCTTTCTTACGTGACTTCCAACTGGCGAGTGGACTTTTTCCATTCACATCCCCGATTTTCACAATGCGATTCATCAGTTTGACTTCGACAGTTCCGCAGGATCGCTCGCTCCAGTATCTTGTAGAGAGCTGCCCAATCTTCGACCTGCAGCCACTTGTTAGTGATGACCTTTTGCTTCTTGATCTCCACCGTTTTTTCTTGAATGGTCACCACGACGGTCGCCAGACAATCATCCGAAGCCTGCAAAAACACATTGTTGTAGAAGAATACATACATACTCGATATAAATTGCTATATCGTTTCGAAAAAAATTAATGAGAGCTATTTCGCGTTGGCGATCATATTAGCAAAATAATTATAACAATACAGTATAAGTAGCATAGTATTTTAATATCGTATTTTTTTACGTTTACCGATTTTGAAAAATATATAAAAATATACGTACGCTAGCTCCCATTATTTCGGCAGGCGATATTCTTCATTATTTTTATATATAATATATATTATTTTTAATTATTTTATTATTTTATAATATATAATATTGTATATATAGAGTAGATTACGACATCATTTTTATATGTAAAATTATATAAAATATATATAAAATTGTATAAAATAATTTTATCTAAAATTATTTAAATATTTTATATATAAAATTATACAATATATATATATATATATATATATATATATATATATATATATATATATTTTTGTAGAGAGAATACCGCTGCTATTTTGTTTTGTCACTCGATCTTCACAGATGTTACACGTATTCTCATTGAATTTATACGAGCGAGAGCGGTCGAGTGCGCGCGCGCGCACGTCTGACAGCCAGCTGTTGACAGCTGTTGCACGCGGTACCTTGATCACTTCCAGATACTGGCCATCCCGGAACATATTCGCGCTCTTCTACGTTGGTTGGTACGAAGCCGCGACAACGCGCGAGTGTCAAGCATCCGCGGGAGCTCCTCCTCCGTCTGGTTCTGAAAAAAAATCGCGCGTGCCTGCGTCGCGATATGTTTTCGAGCCGAATGGAAGTCGAACGCGATCTGATGTCGCACGCTTCTCCGGCGCACGCTCCGGACGGCGGCGCGGAATTGGAGTCCTGATCGAGTCATATCTTTTTTTACGCTCGAATTTTCGGCATAATATAATACGTAATATACGACGTAATGATAACTCGAGACGTCCGACCGACCGAAGTATTATATTTTCTCAGTGAGTTCTTGGTATTCAATTTTTTGCTATAAAACGAACGTGAGATAGATATTTAAACGTGCTAATTATAATAACAAATTATTTAAATTAAGTCTGTAATAGTATGTGGTAAGTTCTTAGATTCTTGAAAGATAAAATTAGCGCCCGCGTGTCAAATTATAGGTTTCTCAATATTTTGTCATTGACATAAATAGGATATGAAATAATTTTGAGAATAAATTAAGGAGCGTTTAAGTCAACTATAAAAAAAATAAGAAAATAAATCTTCCGCTTATTTTAGAAACTTTACATTCCTTCGGCAAAGTGATTACATAATTATTTTTCTATTCATTTTTAAGTTAATGTTTTGAAGTTTTTACTTCTTTTTTTGTGATCTGAATAAATTATTTCTTGACAGCTCCAATATGCAAAGCTTTAATTTGTTAAAGTTGATAGACTCATATATGATAAGATATTAAATATATCTATTTATATACATATATGAAAATTGTTAACACCATATAATTATTATTTATTATTTCGATGTTTAATAATCATAAAATAATGTTTAATTTTTAAAAGCGCCAAAAGAATATGAGTAATCAGTAAGACGCGTCAGTAAACGCGTGACCCGAACGACCGTGATCGGTGTGTAAGAAATATTTTCGATCGATCGCATCACGAACGACATTTTTTACTAAAATCGAGTCAATTATGACGTGCGAAAAAATGCCTACAATTTTCGAGCGTTTCCAAGGCCTGATGGAGGACGAAATGGGACCAGGCAAGGTATATGACACTTTTCTAACCTATCTTCATGTTGTCATATGTAAATTCATTGGCAATTTCTTACTTGCTCTTTTCTCTTTCCAGCTGATTACTTATGGAATCGCTAGCGCCGGTTTATTCGTTGCTCTGTACAAGATTAGACCTGTAAGTATGAATTGTCTCTCTCCCTTGCATCTGTCGCTACCAAAGTTTTGTTTCACAAATCTCATATTTGCTCCCTTTTTTCAGTTTGCCAAATTCAAGAAACCGTCCGACGTTCCGTCTTACTTCTTGCAATCAAGAGTTCCACTCCAAGGCACTGTAATGCGTGTGGAACCGAGTCATGGTGCTTTACTAATGATCAATCACCAACCCCTATTGCCTTCTCTTCACTTTAACAATAAGAGTTATTTACCTGTAAAGATCAGTGGTGTTGACATCACAGGTAATGGTATGTATCAAACCTAATTATGGTTCTATAACTACTATTGAGAAACAATATAAATTGATCTTCTAGGTATAAGTTGGTTGCAATGTGTAGTCAATGGAAAATTTGTAACATTTATACCTGTGGTCAGAGAAAAGGAATATCTGGAATGTATAGTTACAATGTCACAGAAAGATCAAGTGAGAGAATCAAGAATTATTATTTTTAACATGACAAATACGTATATATATTGAATGATATTTATACTGTTTTATTTCTATAAACAGGATTCGTTAAAGATTGGCGAAGAGCTGATCAAATTAGGTCTAGGTACAATACGTGAACCTTGGATAAAACTAGAAGATAAACCTATACTAGCATATAAAAATCTTTAACAAGTGCCCAAAACTGGGCGATACGTAGAAGAAATGGATATTGGCATTTTATAAAACAGCCAACAGTTCTGTGGAAAATGCAAATGTTCATAATTGATAAAATGAAGACATTGTTACCTACATACATAGTGAGACGACTTGATCTTTAAAAGTGCCTTTGATAATAAATGTACATATAACTTTATTATAGGTATAGATTTTAATAGTTCAAATTCCACGAGAGAAATATTGTGGTACTTAAGGTTTATTTATAATAAAAGTTAATATTTTAGTAATTTCTCCTGTGTTTCATTAAAAGAATGCTAATATATTAAAAAATAAGTTTATCGATTTTAGAAATGTAAAAATTTCAATTCTTTTTGCCTCAGGTTTTCTTTCTGAATTTCTCAATTGTTTTATAAAAATTTTAAAATTTAATATAAACAAGTGACATTATTACAAAGCTTTAAATATTTGCACAAATGATACAATTATTTGAAAACTTGGTTTTATTTAATATTGCCAAACTATACAAATCTTATAATTATCTTACATTTCGCACCTGACACCATATATTAACAAAATTATTATAATTCATAATTATTATTCAACTTAACAAAAATATTTAGTTATCAGTCCTTTATTACAAAATATAATTTCAAGTTTTATTCACTTATGCATTACTTATATTCTGTTTTTACGAATATTTTCCATACATTGTGAAAAAGATAAAAATAATAAACAGATTCAATAGGCAATAAGATTGTCTATTGTACGAATAGAAATGCAAAATAACTTTGACGATATTTAATATATCATTATCTTATAGATTGATGTTATGGGCTATTTTAAGATTTGATATAATTTTCATATTTACGTCTAAAATTGAAAGACGATATAAAATAATGTCCAAAGCAATTACCACCACAAAGAAAATCATACAAGAATTTGGTAATAATATAAAATACAATCAAAATACATAAACATAAAAATTAGTGTATATACTATGAAATCAATGTCGTCACAAAAATATATAATAAAATTTGCAAGAACAATACTTTCAACTTTATATATATCACTTATTAACATATAACACTCTTTAAACTTTTATTCTCATTTAATCACTATATAATAAAGCTGTCAAATTCTTCTAATATATCGCATTATCTTCTATACTGGAATGCACATAAAATAAATAGTTATTGATAATACAATCGGAAAAATCAAATAATTTTACATAAAGGAATAAATTCAAAATGTATAAATGCTATTTATACAAAAATATTTATTTTCAAAAAGTTGAGTTGAAAAATCGCAGAATTAGTAAAAACTGATTTATGAGTAATTAATTATGTATTTTTATTGCTTGTTTAGACTTGTATGATTTTTACTGATATATCATCAGTTCAACAGCTGATTTCTTTATTTTCATCAATAAAATACATGTGTACAAATAAAAATAGTGTTCTATTTGATAAAACAAGAACAGTTTTGATATATTTTTTGTAATACGTATATGTTAAAGACCCTCTAGGGAAAGGGTCTCTAATACATGTAACTTCAAACTTCTATTTATATATAAAACTTTTATTTATTTATTATAATAATGTATTAATATAAATTAAACAATTTATGTTGCAATGAAATTAAAAGTTATGTTAGCTCAAAAATGTTTCACAAAGATAGTTTTCATTTCTTGAAAAAAGATCAAATCTTGTAAAAGATGTAAAATAATTTGTTACATTTTTAAATTTATTTTTCATATGGAATTATTCACATGAAAGTTATATTCCCGATTGTGTTATCAATACTTAATCATTTTGTAAATACTTGTATAACTGATTGTGCGTGACTTGAATATAACAACATATTTGATATAAATGTATATAAAACAAATTAATGTTACGAAAATCGATATAATCTATAATCATCAATTTATTTTGCATTGGATTATCTGAAAAATGGAATGTACCGTTTTCAACAAGTGTTGATGGTATCACAAATATTAATTTAGCGTTAAATTTTTTTATTAGAGATCGTCTTTTGGACGATTTGCTTCTATGGTTTTAACCTTCTTAGGAGGTGATTTCTGTACTTTCTCTTTAATAGAAGCGTCTTGTTCCACTTTTACATTCTTTGCAGCACCTTCTTTTTTATTATCTGTTTCGGTTTTCGCATTTGGCGAATTTGATTTCGTATTAGGTTTCGCGTCGCTAACTGTTTCTGCATTCTTCTTGACTTTGGCATCATTTGCAGATTGTGAAATTGGTTTAGTTTTCGACGGTTTCGCATTGCTGCTGTCTGTAGTAGTTGGTTTATCAACTTTAGGAGTTGGGGACGGTTTTGGTGCGGTTGGCTTAGAAGTTGTGGAAGTAGTTGGCTTTGGCGTTGTTGTAGGAGTGGGAGTTGGTTTAGATGTGGTTGATGCAGATGCTGATACCGTGTCTCGCTTCGCTTTTTCTGACTTTACATTTGAAGCGGCAGCACTCTCTCTTGTACGAGAAGATTGCTTTTCATTATTAGATAGATCAGGAAAAGCTTGTTTCAACGAAACTCTCCCAATATAATTTCGCCATGGACTGCCAAACCATACAAAGCCATTATGTATATAGGCTTCAGAAATACCATAGAATGCATCATCGTCCGAAGAAAGAAGTTCCATAATGTTACCCGATGCATCTATTCTTAAGACAAAACTTTTCTTATAAGTGTTAAATATTTCTCCTAATTGAAATGATCCAATTGCATGTATAACTTTCTCCGTAAAGGTATTAGGATAAATGTCTTGCAACAGTTTAAAAGGTAATTCCATCAACAGTGCCAATCGTAAAATCATCTTTCTTAAGTTTGGATGTGGTGTAAGACTGAGACTAAGTAGAGGATGTTCAGGGGTGATAGTAAACACTGTAGTGACGAGGAAACCAGTTTGGCCATCGCTTTGAATATTATCTGGTATACCTGGCAAGCCATCAATGAAGACCTCTTTCTGACCTGCTTTTGGTCCTTTCAAGTGATACTTCAAGATACGGCATTCTAATGATTCTGACACAAGTACGAAACTTTCATCGTCGCTTAATATAACTCCGTTTGGAAATCCAAGATTTTTCAATAATACTTCGTTCTTCTTTTTAGCTGCATTATAACGTATAAACCTAAATAAATAAATATATATATTTTATATACATAATACATAATAAAAATGTAATATAATAAGAATAAGACAAGAACGAGCCGAGTCTAAATAACGCCTTAATTGATAAAAGTTAAATTAGCCGATTTCATAAAATATCAATTTCGAATTTCCCTTGCTCTTGTCCTTATCTTATATTTTTGCCTCCACAAAAAAAAACCATTAGAAATATTTATTGCTTTTTGATAAACAAGTTTGCACTTTGATTATATAATACGACAGATTTCCGATAAGAAAAAATTATATAAAGTCTATTTTTTTATGAACTGGTTGCCATTAGTTCAAAATTTATCTATTTCCTTCAAATATGGAGTGAAAAAGTAAACTCTGAACTAGCGCTGCAAGTTTAGCTAAAAAGAACAGACTTGCAGTGTATATGAGTGTGTGTGTATGTTTACACATACAAATAAAAATTAAGAAAAAATGTATATTATATATCATATATATAATATATTGTGTATATATGTATATTATAAAATAATTGTTGTTACATTATATTTATATCTTTATATGTATATGTTACCTTCCCGTTGGATCTGCTAAAAACGTTAACGCTCCATCATAAAGAGCAAAGTCTGTAGAGCTAGTAGTCCAATAAAGATCTCCATTTTCACTGACATCTATACTATTAGGTATATGTGGAATTTTCCCATCAATCGGTTTCGATGTGTTCACTATGTTTTTGTACTCTCCACTTTCAACATTTACTTTGAAAATTCCATAATAAGAATCCACTACATATAAGTTGCCCTTTTTATCAAATCTCATTCCTAATGGTCTGCCACATTTGTGCTCTTGCCATAAGCCATCTGTAAAATTCATGAAAAAATGTTAACCTTTTTTAAATATAAATTACATTAATTAAATTATATTAATAAAAATTTTGTATATATGTATAAACAACATACATATACATATGCGTGTGTATGGTGTGTGCTACTTAAAAATTATATTATATCAATTAATACTGACATCGCAAATATTAGTTCTTAATAATCTTAATAGTGTGATGATTATTATTATATAACAGAAATTGTTATCAATATATATTATGTTTAATTAAATTTTTTAATAGATACAAAATTTTTTACATTATCAAGAAGTATATATTAAAAATTAAGATTACAGATAACATAAAATAAAATATATTTAGAATCGATTCTAGTTTATAACAATTCTTTTTATTGGCAACAATATTAAAATTACAAAATGGTTGATTAGTCTTTTCATGTATACAGTTGTAAGAAACAACTCAATAATAAAAATGTTCCTGTGAGAGCTTTTTTATTCTTTATTTATTCCTTCTAGATATACATGCGTGAAAAAATTAATCAAACAATTTAGAATTTACATAAGAAATAAATACATTAATAAGTTTTTTGCTTTTATAAATGCAAATAATAATTATATAAACGGATTTATTGGCACTGCAGAAAAATTTATAAAAAAGTTATAAAAGACAACATAAGAAAAAGAAAAAAAATAACATAAATTAAGAGAAAAGATAACAAAAATTAAGATTTTTTTATAACAAAAATTAAATCATTATGTTATTTTATTTAAACCTATGTCCTCAATTCCTTTATGGAATTATGAAGGATTTACATTATTAAATTAAATAATAATTGTGTTAAAATACAAATAAGATTTATGTTGATCATATTGTTTTATGTAAGATTTATGTTAAACCGCTTATTAAATAATAATCATATTAATTAAAGTAATATTTATATTGATCATATGTTTATCTAACTATTAATTTTACGTTTGAAACATGATTTTTATAGATTTGTATGTTAATATTTTTAATAATAAATATAATTTTTTCACAAATATTTATGTAATAAATCTAATAAATATTTTCTATAATAATAATTCTATAAATATTGTATACATTTGTCGAACTTTTTCAGAAGAGTCGCACGGAATACTGTTTATAGTTGATTATGAATACTATTGAATTAAAATATACTAACAATATATACTATCTAAGTTATTAATAATAATTTATCCTGAAAATAATTTATTGTGTAATTTATGTATAAATGTATCTAATGAAAGCAATTTATCAATTTATTTGAATATTGTGAATATTGCCTCTTGAAAATTTTTACATTGATAGAAAAATTTAATAATGCTTACAAAATTCAAAAACTACATATCAATCGATATTTACTTATTGATATGTTTGATAATTTATAAATAGATTATTACACTTAATGGAACTGATAATAAGTCAACAAGATATCGTTTGTATTTATTCCTTTCAAAAGATTAAATATTACTAAATATTTCATGCAATTTAAAATATATTTGTCTCTCAATGTGAATGTATATAAATAGAAATTATTATATATATATTTTATTATTATAGACTATTCTATAATTTCTAAAGTTGCAATTAAACTAATTCTAGCACAAATTTTTATTAATTTAAGACGACTTGCTTTCATTAGATACATTTGCATAATAAATTATTTTCAGGATGAATTAATATTAATAACTTTGGTAGTATATGTTGTTAATATTTCAATTTGTGTGTTTCTATCTATATTACCTTGATATTTATTTTGTGGAATGACATAGTAAACATATTTATTAATTCAAGACGTTTCGACCATCTACTTGTGGTCCTTATCAAGTATACAATCTTTGGTAATCAATAAAATTATCAGCATTACGAATGCAAATCAATATATTAAAACATATCAAACATATATTAAATTTCTTAGTTTTTAGAATATGTTGAATTTCAATATGTTTGATTTGCGTTTGTAATGCTGAGAATTATATTGACTACCAAAGACTGTATACTTGATAAAAACCACAGATGGTCGAAACGTCCTGAATTAATAAAAAATTTATGCTTGAATTGGTTTTTAATTGCAACCTTTGATTTTTCTACTAGTCGTTTGAATAATCGTCTGAATAATCTAATTAATCAATAATTTCTATTTATTTATATATATTCTATTCATTATTAAATTAAATAATTGTGTTAAAATTGAAATACGATTTATGTTGATCTATGTAAGATTTATGTTAAATCTCTTGTTATAGAATAATCATGTTGATTAAAGTAACAATTTATATTTTTATATTGTGATCATATTTTTATCTAATTATTAATCTTGTTTGTGTGAACACATGACGTTTAGATTTTGTTTATCTTTTTAACAATAAATAGTTTTTTAATAATAAATAAATATTGTTATGTGATAACAAATATAATTAATATTTTCTATGATATTTCTATAAATTGATATTTCTATAAATATTGTATATATATACAATATTTATAATGTTTACAAACTAGAATAAATTCTAAAATGTTATCTTTAATCTTAATTTTTAATTTATACTTATTTCATAATGTATCACAAAAAAATAAATTTTGTATCTATTTAAAAATTGAACATTATAATATATATATGATAACCATTTCTGTTATAATAATCTGTTGTAATAATATTTACAATATTGTATACATACAATTATATGCTATATATGTATGTATATATATATATATATATATATATATATATATATATATATATCCAAAAAAGAGAAATATGGTCGAATCGACGTCGGTTTGTTATCATTTCTCGCTGGGTTAAATTATTTAAAATTATGCGCAATTTATGTATGTGTATGTACACACACACATACATAAATTGCGCATAATTTTAAATAATTTAACCCAGCAAGAAATGATGACAAACCGACGTCGATTCGACCATATTTCTGTTTTTTGGAATTAAGAGATCAAGATTTATCGATAAGTAATATCGGAAAACGTATACAAATATATATATATATATATATATGTATACAGGTATATATACGTATATATATACAGGCGTAATTTATCGTCCGATATTTATCGAGAAACCTGGTGTATATTCTTTATTAAATTTCAAATTGTGCAATTTATTTTGTGTGTGTGTGTGTGTATACACATACTTACAAAATAAATTGCACATAAATTTTAAATTTTATATATATATATATCTCACAATTGTATGTATACACTATATTGTAAATATTATTATATCTCTTTTTATATATATATAACAACTCACCGCACTTTTTGCCAAACTTGGCAATCGGCACCAAGGTATCCTCCTCGATCCTGAGGACGTAACCATCGTGAATGCCGGTGTAGAGCTGACCATCGTAGGAAGCGAATGCCTCGGGACCAACAAACCTCCCTTCGAATAACTTTTCGACGTTATTTAGTCGATTCTTTGGGCCTATTTTAGGATCGACATCGCGCGGTTCCACTATACTGTAAAAAATCAAGGCTCGCGAAAGGCACAAAAAACAGTTGACAGAGACAGTCGCGATAATCCGCTCCCGAGAGAGATAACAATACACATTTTAAAATATATAAAAATACGCATAAAATATAATATATTTCCATATAATATAAACATATAAATATACCTGTACTCCCGGAATTCCGTGTTAGGTGGCAAACCAGGAATGAAGGTGACGAAGGCCAGAAAGAGGCCGATGTAGATGACGGCGGTGCCGACCGACTTCAGGTAGCTCATCTCGCCGACGAAAGTTCTTGGTTTCGACTACGACACAGTTTCGTCCTCGAGTTATCCGACCCGTCTAAAGAGGCAAAAGATCACCACCACAGAACATATAATTACCACTATCTCGTTTCTTTTATCCCCTCCTGTGGTTTCGATTTTCAGTCCTCGCGTGTCACTCAAATAACAGCGGTGTTTCGGGAAGCTGTCGTCGTGGAGAGCATCGACGTAGGCGGCGGCCCGTCTTTACGGTTTTTGACGTTTCACGTCCGGCTCCGCGAGAATCAACGAACCGACTGAATTTCCGCGTAATGCGCGAATAACGGCATTTATGATATGAAGTATCTAATGGCGTTACGGAATATCAGGTTTTTTATTAAGTTGTAACGTGAAGGTGAACTAGCGTAAAAAAAAAATCACATGACTCAAATCGCATAATTTTACATTAGAATGCAAACTCATCTATTTCGCCATTGTCTCGATCGAAATCTACGAGTCACTGCACTGCATTCTTGAATTTTGACAAGTTTCGAGTCAGCTGGGCTGGGACGCGCATCCGTCATTCGATAAGGTTTTCTTCAGGACGAATATATATAACCTCGTATAATGAAAAATGTAAAATCAATTATATATAATGTAAATAAAATAGTAATATATTTTGCTCGCTGTATATAATTACTTCTGAATAACGTATTTGCGGTATTTCACAATTATGTAAATTAATTGATTAGTTGGAATAATTTACATTTAATTATTGATAACAAGATTGACTGTATCATGTTTCAATATTAGCGCCTCTAGCTTCTATTTGTCGAACTTCTTTCTCATATATACATATAGAAAATGTATCCTTCCTATCTAAATATTCGTGCACCATGACTGATGAATATTAAAAATTTCAAAATTTGTTTTTTTCGCGCTCGTCGATTTGACAGATCCTGTATTTTTATATACATCAGATTTAAGTATAAAACAAATATCTTATAATATTAATGAATTCCGCGGGATAATCTATAATCGACACTTGTTCCCGAAAAGAAGCGGGATGTGAAATGAGTACATTGAAAATTTTTCAACATTAATTATCTTGTCGGATAATAAAAGCTCCTGTGCATTGTATTAAAAAATTTTTAAATTATTATTATAATTATAATAAAAATAAAAAAATTATAAAATTCATAAAATTTATCAAAATTTTATAAAATTGTGAAATTATATTATTATTTTGTTATACATATATCCCTGATATATTTGTGCGTCAAGTTCAAAGGTGCGTTTCGTTTCACGCATATGCGCGCATTTATCTATAATATACGTCACATGTACTATATAGAAAATGCGCGCATATGCGTAAAATGGAACACATCTCAAGCATCTGTCACGATTGCGCATGCGTGACTTTTCTTGGCGCCGCCAAAGAAATTTTACTGTCCATGTATATAGGATACATCCCTCGGTTTTCTTGATATATTTCGGTATTTGTGCAAATTAGTTACAATTGTGATGATATCGACGATTTAATCCCGCAAATTCTCGATTACAATTCATATCACGTTCATTTTATGTATGTGATAAATCGAATCAGTCAAAAATCTAACCTAACTTTTTATAATTTGACGAATTCTGCGATTACTTTCAAGTTGATAAATGTCGCTGCGTGTAATTGTTTTTATCATTACGTAAAAAAAAAATTCTAATTTCGATTTATCATGTCTTCGACATGTTGACTTGTCTAAAAATAAAATTTTGATTTATCACGTCTTTAACATATTGACTTGTTTTTCATGTAGAGCTATTTATCAGACTCTTATATTTTTGTTTATGTTTCTCTTTTTCAGATTATATGAGATTTTTAAATATAGAATAATAAATGTCAAATGTGAAGAAATAACTATATTTAAAAATGGGTAAGTATTTGGTGCATTTTATTATATTGAAATTGAGAATGACTTTGTTTGATTATTTACAATGTTATTGACTTTCAATTCAGATGAGCTTGAACAACAGTGCGAAGATGCTGTCTTTGAAGTCTGCGATGCTCGGGAAAGATATCCACTGCAATGCGCAAAAGAGCTTGAGAAGTGCATCAAACTCACTAACGAGATGTGTGTAAGTATTGTTTGTAGAATTATTATTATTATTGCATATTTTTATCTTGATGTTAATGTATTTTGTTACAGATGACCAAAGTTCTTGTAAAGCCAATAATTTCAAATTTGCCATCTTTTACGAACAAGCACCCTACAGAGCTTGAAAAAAACCTTTCCGAAGCGACTGAATTGCTAAAGATACAAGAACATAAATTGCAAGTAATGATAGATAAAATTGATAATTTGACAGCTGTTGTAGAGCAGATTAAAAGTGACAAATTAAGCGATGTAAATAAATTATTGTGGGAGTAAGTGATGTTTCTCAATTGTAATATTACCACTTAAATTCTTACAATTCTGATGTATATACATACTATACAAAATATTGCATATTGCAGTTTACATAAAAATCTGCCATGCATTTTTTACAATTATATTAAGTAAATATGAATAAAGAAATCATTTTTCAAATTTATATTATTCTATCTCTACTAAGTGTTTTATTAAGATTTTGCATTTCATAAAACATTGCATTTCATTAAGTATTAGTTTCTGATAAAAATAGAGAAATATAAATAATAATAAATTTAAAATACATTGAAAATTTCATTAAATATATCAATTTGAAATATTGCCTTGCGTCGTTTCCATGACAACAGATCTCGTAATATCAAAACAATGACCGCGAATGGATGCTTTATCAGTTTTATGCACAGTTATGTTTCACATATCAAACAAGAAATAATACTAAATACTTGTTAATGTTTCACGTCTTTTTTTTAATTTTCACTATGTCTACATTCATAGAAAATGTGCATATAAAGGATGGAGAATACACGAAAACAATATACTCCATGGTATATAAGCTATGTGTTGTTATATATGCATAAATTTATGTGTATATATATATATATATATATATATTTAATATTTTTATCAAACACATATTAAGCAAATATGTAACTTTAAATGAATTGAAAATTCGCTAATCCAAAACGGCTTCAAGACATCTTATATAAAATGAACATTGTGGTATTTTTTATTTAAATAATTATATTGAAATTACGATTTTTTGTTTTAGATAAAAGAACAGCGATATACAGAAACTATTAAAGTTTTGCTAAATCTTTTAGAGTCACATCTTGATGTATGTATAATATATTATGATGTATTAAGATCATGTATTCTTCAATTTGTGCAAGTATTATCGATAACGAAGAAAATTTTTTTCAGTCTAGACCTTGTTTATCCCTTCTGGCTCATTGTTACTTTTACACGCAAGATTTTATAGCTGCAGCTCAATGTTATGAAAAACTGGTTCAGTTATGTCCAGAAGAAAATTTGTATAAGCTTTATTATGCCCAGTCGTTACATCAAGCTTGCATGTATCAGGAAGCGTGGACAGTCTGTGCAAGTATCATCAATCAAAGTAATTTAGAATTTAAGGTAAGGAAATTACAGGCAGCTATAAAATATGGACAAGAAGATATGGTTGCTGCGAAAAATCTCGTTGATCAGTGCCCCGTCGATGACGTCGATACAGAAATCAATCTAGGATGTCTTTTATACAAGGTAGATAGATAGCTAATAAGTTCAGTTGATAGATGTATAAGAATTGTATCTTTTAGGAGGAGCAATACGAGCAAGCTCTCAAGAGATTTGCAAATGCGTTACAAATCGCTGGTTTCAAGCCTCATCTATCGTACAATGTTGCTCTCTGCTATTTCAAGCTGAAAGAGTACGCAGCATCGTTAAAACATATAGCTAGTATTATCGAGCATGGTATAAGAGAACATCCGGAACTAAGTGTGGGAATGACTACTGAGGGTATTGAAGTTCGAAGTGTCGGAAATACATTAACTCTGCACGAGACAGCTCTGACAGAGGCGTTCAACTTGAAAGCCGCCATAGAATACCAGTTGCAAAATTGTAATTTTCTTCATTACTGTAGAATTTGATTTGGAAAGTGAATACTTCTTTTACACATTGTTTTTTTTCGTTGATATTACAGATGATGCGGCAAAAGAGGCATTAACGGATATGCCACCGCGTTCCGAAGAGGAATTGGATGCTGTTACCTTACATAATCAAGCATTAATAAATATGGACATAAAACCAAGTGAGGGATTCGAGAAGCTACAATTTTTGCTACAGCAGAATCCATTTCCTCCTGAGACTTTTGCCAATTTGCTACTTTTGTACTGTAAATATCAGTACTACGATCTGGCTGCCGACGTTTTAGCTGAAAATGTACATCTAACTTACAAATATTTGACACCAGTAAGTTTTAATTTTTACAATTGACCATTTATTAGTTGAATATCAATAATGATTGAAATGCTTGTAGATTGATCACATGTTGTGTAAGTCAGAAGTTGCATGCATGTAAAACATTAAAATCAAGCTGCATTTATGAAAAAAGCATTTTTAGCTGACGTCAATTAATTTGGATGCTTGGTTTTAGAATGTTTGCATTTTCTTGTACGAGTTTCATAATCTTCGGAGTGTTTTCGCTTATGGGCTTTTACGTCGTGGCTGGATGACGAACTATCGGAGGACTCACTCGAGCTGCTGCTATGTTTCTTCCTGTGCTTCTTGCGTTCCTTGGAAGATTTTTTTATCTTCTTCTTACTTCTCTCTTTATCTTCCTGGTCACTGTCATTGGTAGAATGTTTGCTCTTCTTCGATTTTTTCTTCTTCTTTTTCAATTTGTGCTTCTTTTCTTCCTTCTTTTCCACCTTCTCCTTGACAGGGTCTACAGGAATACTCTCCTCCTCAATCTCCGGAATCAATTCGTATTTCTTTCCATCAGGAGACATGAAACAATCCTTGGACAAGTGTCCTCTAGTCCCACACTTCGAACATGTTGTATTTAGCACTGCCTCCAGCTGTATGGCTTTACGCTGAGTCGTTCCTGGAGTTTTTCGTCGCTGTAGATCCCGTTGTAACTCCACGCCATTGGGATCTAAATCCAGACCATTTCCTTGATTCACATACTTCATTGACAGTCCTATCTTGCCATCCTCCGCCACAGAGATCACTTTACACCAGATGCGTTCGCCCTTTTGCAAAACGTCTGCAACATCCTCGACATGAGTCGCGCTTACCTGATAGAATTATATAGATGTTAATTGTTGTATAAATTATGTTAATGTAGAAATATTGATATTTGACTTATATCTAATAATACCTGTGATCGATGTATTAAGCCTTGTTGCGAGGTACCCGGGATTCTGATAAAAGCTCCATAATTTTGAACGGACGCGACTTCGCCCAAGAATATCTGATTCAATTCGCACTTTGTCATATCGTTTTTCACTGAAGCAATATTAGTACATTTCGTCGCAGTCGACAAAAAATATGGGTTAGGTTTCTAACAACAAACTCAGGGCTGTATAATAACATCAATGTATCCACTGTATCATTTTATCAAGAATGTTCTCTCTAAATATTATTCACTGACAGGATAATTTAATATGATATTATTTATCGAAATATATTATTTATTAATAATAATATATTATTAATAAATAAAAGCATAAATATAATAATAAATAATAATATATTAATAAATAATATATTTCAATAAATACTTAATAGATATAATTTATTAATAAATAAACAATTTACTATATAATAAAATAAATTTATTTAATCAATATTTTTGTTAAAAATATTTCAGATAATTTTCTTCAAATTATTAATTTTTTTTCAGTACTTGTATGATTTCCTGGATGCATTAATAACGCAACAAACTTCTCCGGAGGAAGCATATCGCAAATTCGACGATCTGGCGAATAAGCATACAGAAACATTGCGCAAAGCAACCAAGCAGGTTCAAGAGGCAAGATTGAATCATGATGATAATGCGGTGAAGAAGGCTGTAAACGACTATGAAGAGGCCTTGGACAGATACGTTCCCGTCTTGATGGCGCAGGCGAAAATTTATTGGGATCTGGAGAATTATACTCAAGTGGAAAAGATCTTTAAGAAGAGTGTCGAGTTCTGTAACGAGAACGACGTCTGGAAATTAAATGTGGCTCACACACTCTTCATGCAAGAGAATAAATTCAAGGACGCGACCCGGTTCTACGAACCGATCGTCAAAAAGAGATTCGACAATGTTAGTATTAGTTACAAATGAAGATGTAGTTCTATCAATTTTTCGCGCAATTTTAATTTGTTATTTGTCCACATTTTATTGTAGATTTTAGATGTAAGCGCAATAGTTCTTGCAAATTTATGCGTCAGCTACATCATGACTTCGCAAAACGCGGAGGCCGAAGAGCTGATGAAAAAGATCGAAAAGGAGGAAGAGGCGGTGTCCTTCGAAGATCAGGATAAGAAACTCTTTCACTTGTGTATCGTAAACCTGGTAATTGGAACGCTGTACTGTTCCAAGGGTAATTACGAATTTGGCATTTCTCGAGTCATGAAGAGTCTAGAGCCTTATAATAAAAAACTAGGCACTGACACCTGGTTCTACGCTAAGAGATGCTTCTTATCGCTTCTGGAGCAGCTGGCAAAACAGCTGGTGATTCTAAAAGATTCTACGTTGCAAGAATGCATCCAGTTCTTGGAACATTGCGAGGGTATATACATTTTACAATCAATGTATTTGCTATATATATATATATATATTTTCATATAATTTATATTCTTTTTTTTCCCAAAAATTTCAGTTTACGGTAAAGACATAATGACAGTGATTGATCAGCCATTTGACATACAAGATATGCTCAATGTTTCACCTCAAGGTAAAAGAACAGTTGTTTACGAGGCAAGGTATTTGAAAGCGTTATTTCTGAAGTTACAAATGTCTTAGAGTCATAAAAAAAGATATCAATATGTATGTACATGTATATTAATATATGGTAAATATTTATAATATATATTTTGTCTCTATAATATTTCATTATTTTATTATTTCTAAATATTAACATATTGAATTTTTATAATTATATATAACATATATTAAATAATATATTACGTACAATAATTTTTATCCGATTTAACAGTATTTGCGTTTCATGACATTCTTAATTTGTGTTATCAAATATTTCATTATTTTATTATTCTAAAAATTAATATATTTTAAATTCATATATATCTATATATAAATTATATATAATATATATTAAATAATTTATTACATATATAAATTTATCCAATTTAGTAGTATGTGCGTTTAATGACATTCTTAATTTATGTTATTATTTTTCCAAAAATATTAATATAATAATAATTTATCATGTGCTATTTTCTTCTGACATATAATATAACATTATATATTTTATATTATTATTATATTATATATTATTATTATATTATATACATTATATATATATATATATATAACATCTGACGTTACGCAAACACGTTTGAATTTGGCGGGTGATTTTAATTTGTTCGCTCTCCGCGCAAATCGCGATCGTCGCGATATCGCACGTTCGATATCTTTTCTATCTCGATACATAATATATTCTTGAGATATACATATACATGCACTTTACTCCGAGAGAGTGTAGGTCCGAAAATCGTCAATCATCGTTGGTCATCGGTTTCTATCGTCGCGCGAGAATATATAAAGGGATATACACGTGTCTGCCTCATTCATTAGTGTGTGATGACATATGCGGCCATCGTGTGAGATTGTTTGTATCCGTGTCGAGGTTAATAATACTACCTTGATATCGCGGAAGATCGAAATTTCTAGTAACGTCCAGTTGTAAAATCTGCATGAAATTTTCTCTCACGGACGCTCCTAAAGATCTATATTATATCTGAGAGTAAGAGAGAGAGAGAGAAAGATAGAAGAAAATTTACACGATACCTGTCCTCGTACTTCTTCATTTTGGCTGAGTCAAGGTATGTGATTACGAAATTAATTATTGCATTATTTCTTCGCGCTTTCTCTTTTATTACATTTATTATAATGCTTTTTTCAATAAACGACTTGGATCGATATTAAAAAGGATGAGAGTTGACAGAACTAATTTTATCAAGGAATGTAATTATTAAAGTAAAGATACGAGTTTTTAATAAAATGTTCGAATCCATCAAGGAGATTTATTTATGCAATAGTTGATTTCTCTTATAATTAAAGCAAAAATTGTAGGCTCACCAATTTAAATCACTTATTAAAATATTTATTTTAAAAGAAAGTATACATGTGACTCATTGGAAAATAATAATTATTCTGATTTTGTTAAATTTTTTTTACAGAAATCTCACGGGATTATAACACGATCAAAATGGAATTTCCAAATTTGGGAGAGCATTGTTCCGAGAGCACATGTAATCGTTTGGATTTCTTACCATTAAAGTGTGACGCCTGTGCAAGTATCTTTTGCACAGATCATATATCTTATGCAAGTCATGGCTGCCCCAGTGCATACAAAAAGGATGTACAGGTGCCTGTGTGTCCATTATGCAATATACCTATATCGATAAAACGTGGTGATCCACCTGATCTGGCTGTAGGATTGCACATAGATAATGACTGTAGAGAAAATCGTAGAAAAATATTTTCCAACAAGTGTTCTTCAAAGGGATGCAAAGTCAAAGAAATGGTACCAGTAAAGTGCAGCGAATGTGGTGCCAATTTTTGCTTAAAGCACAGACACCCGACCGATCATGCTTGCATTGGAGCAGAAGAAGCACTGAGACTACATAGGCTGGAAGCATTAAACAAAAAAGCTCAAACGACAATATCGCAGAATAGCAGCAACAGCAATTCACATTCGTTCCGAAGTCTTCAAGGAACAATGAATGAGGATGAAGCATTAGCCAGAGCTCTCCAAGCTTCCTTAGAAGAGGAAGAGAGAAGCAGAAGGGTGTTGCAACCAGTGCCTTCTGGAAACAGAGATAGGTGTAGACTTTCGTAACTATTTATACATTATTTTATAATTATAGAGAAAAATATTTGTTTCCTGAAATTTTATTAATGTAAAATACATATAATTTACTTTTATCCAATTTACATAGACAAAAATTCTAAACTTAAATGATTACATTCTTTGAGCTTGATTTTTTATTTTTGAGCTTATATTTCATGATAAGAGTAATCACTCTGTTACATACCTATCTATTATTATTATGTAGAATATACAGAAATTATAACATATTTATAAAATTGCTCACCTAGTTAGCACATTGTACTACAGCATTTTATGAAACTTCTTAGTAAAATTTTGTAAAGCTAAGGTTTATAAAAAATTCAAGTGGTGAAAAATTGATATATACCTAATATTGTATTTTGAAATATTGGACTACATACATATGATAAATAAATTAAAGCATTTGTCTTATAGATTATATTATTATATAAAATTGTAAGTTGCAATTTAAGTTACAAATTTATATATTCATAATTTAATATATTCTATAAATCAAATGTGGATTATAATATTTCATTTAAATTATACATTTTTTGGCTTATAGGCCAGGAAATATACTCTGCCGAACTATCGTAATGATTCTAATGATGTATTACACAATAAAGCTTCAATCTCTAGAGTGCCTTAGTAGATGAAGCATATAATCTACATTAGAATATGCGCTCATAAGAAATCTCTTCATTTTAATAATAAAAAAATATGCTTAAAATAATTTTTAAATTCATGCAGATTAACATTTATAATCAATTTGCTTTAATAAGTATTTTCAAATAGTAGCTATTGTATAGATTTTCACCGAAACAAAAATGTACATTTAAATTTAATAGATTTAATATTATCCCCTAATATAAAATTGTCAATTATCAATATAATTATATCATGTGCATAAGAAAATACATAATTATTATAATTATTATCATTGTTATCATTGTACAATGTGTTTCTTATCAATGGGATTTTAACAAACAATATAAAAAATATGCATTGATTTCTTAACACAATATCAAAAACTGTGATGATTGAAGGAAATCGTGTACACTGTTTGATATTAAGAGCATTCTCATATTATATCTTAAGCAAAATTTCAACATAGAAATTGCACATATCATGATCTCACAGGCTTAAAAAATTCTTTACAATATATCACTATTAAAAATAAGAATGAATGTATAAGCTGTATTCAAGACATTGCATTGATATTGAGAAAATTGATATTCATGTGAATTCTGTGATAAACTTAACTACCATATTTTTATAAATGTATATAATTTTACAATATATACACAATTCAGTTTTCTTTGGCTTATTTAATTTTGATGGAAGTGTATATAATAAGCATTTTCTTTTAAAATAAAATTGACGTATATACATATAAGTTTTAAAATATAATTATGAATATAAATATATCGACAAATATCTTCTGATACATACAAATGCATTGACAATTAATATAGATATATATCAGATGCATGTTTTTGCCACTATCATATTTATATTTACCGACGAATAATATGCGCTTTTAATATTAAAAAACCTCGAAAATAATATAATTCTTGATAATATGTAACTATTTATATATATATATATATATATATATATATATATATATATATATATATATATATATAGAAGTACGCTTTTTACTATTCCAAAGTTTGTTAATATTGTTATAATATTGTATTCGCCTATGATATATCCGAGCTACTGAAAAGTAAAAAGTAAACGAATATTAATTTTTTAAATCATGAAATCGTTATATTTTAGAGAGAAATAGAGTACTTCCTCAAAATAATTTTGTTATTTTATCTTTGTAAGTATTTTTCAAAATATTTTTTCACAAATTGCTTTTCAGTATTTCTGATAAATCTTTTAAAAAATTCGAAGTATAAGGAGAAATAGTTTATTATATATACATTCCAATATTCAGATATCTTACATAGGCATATTGTAGCAATTTATATTTAATGGACTCTCTGGTATTACAACATACAATGAAATGTGAATAATAAAGGCAAGAAGATGGCAAGCGAGTAATGTCAAAATGTATGGACAAGCATATACATATTTTTAAAAAAACTCGTTTATTGATAATAATGTACAATTCGTAATCTATTTATTTATCAGATTTTATTCAATTTGTGCTTTATAAAATTACATCATAAAAAATGTGATTAATGCGATAATTTTTTAACAATTTTTTTTTAAATTGAAATATGCATTGTATTAAAAAATATTTCATGCTTTTACAATAGATCTTATCAGTAAAATGATAGGAGGCAGTTTTTTCTCTTGCTCCCATTCTCAGGATTTTCATTATTATTTAACTATAATATAAAACTATACACATCTATTGATATAAATCAGTTTGGAATAAGTAATAGAAACATTACAAAAAAACTGAACTTATTTTCAATTATCCAAAAAACTAAACTTATTTCAAATTAGCCTAAGTAGCTTGCATTCAATATATATATGTTGTACATTGAATAAATTATATGTACATTGAATATATTTTATTCTTTCAAAGAATATTTTTAATAAATGTAGTATAGATTAGTTGGATACTGATATAAATGATTTGTAGAATAAAATAACTTTTTATATTATAAAAATTTAGCACAATTTTTCATCGATTTTTAAATAAATTAGTAGAATTAGACTTACAAATATTTATTGCTCGCTATTTATTATTATATATTATGATGTGACAACTTCTTATCCAATATCCTCAATTTATTTGTGCATAAATAAATTAATGGGATAACTTTTATTTGTACAAAAGCTGAGTATTTTGTTACAATAGCAAAAGTCTATGTTTATTCATATATACGAAATATCGATTCTATAAGAATAAAAAATGAGTGCTATTTCTTACCGAAATCGACATATTACCAAATTTGGCACAAAGTAAAAATAAATTAATTTTTTTATCTTATTCTATTTTGATAAATATCTCGTTTAATCGTACGATTAATAATTTCATGGTATTTCCAAGATTGCTTTAATACGCATATGTAACAAGGAATATTTTTCCAATTTGATATACTCCATGTTCTTCATTCAAAGTATTAAATACATGTAATTCTAGAAAATAAGAGAATATGACACGAATAATCGTTTATTTACCAACTTTTCCTAATTTGGTATCCGTTTTCGGATTAGCCGTTATATTTTGTACAGTAACTATCGTTTCGTTAATCTTCGTTTGAAGATTCCTGAGATCTTGTATGTACAGCAAAGAAAGGCCTTTGGCAGCATTGTCTAGCATTATGTCACCCATATTAAAGCCGGATCCTATAGTCATTGCCGTCAGGGATTTATCCTTGACAGTTATGGTATTATTTGGTTGCTTAATCGCATCTGCGTTCAATTTATTACATATGAGTTTGCTACATGCTTGTAGCGTTACAAGATGATCAGAATGTTTCGGTACTTTTAGCAATTTTGCTATTGAATTAACCCCAGTCTTGAAAGCATCACTATCGACTGAAAATGAAAGAAATGCAAGATTTAAAGTATCTTCTTATACATGATCATTTTTACAAAAGATATCGCAAACTGTTTACTTACAATCTAAATTGTCTAGAGGATTTGTGGATTTGATACAAGGTACCTTTACTTCTTCCTTAACTTTTGCTTTACTTCCTACAACTTGTTGATATTTCTGACCTATAAAATATATATTTCCTATCAATGTGTTCTTATACGGTAGACTGATAATTAATTAAATAATTTTTATACCTATATAGATATTTATATGTTATCTAGAATATAAAAAACTTTAATTTTTAGTATTTATATAATTTAAATACTTACAATCATCTTCAAATTCGAGCAAAACAGCATAGCCTAGGAACCATTCTAATTGATCAGCCTCATTCTTTGTTATTGGACACTTCATGTCATTGCAATATTTCTCAAAAGCCTTGGGCCATTCTAGGGATGTGATGTCCCTTAACTGTTTACGATCCTCTATTTTATAATAACGTATCTTTTGATCTTCTAGCCATACAATTACTTTTCTAAAGTGTTGAGTATCTAAAATATTTGCATAATTAGTTATAATGGTATTTTTATATTTTAATGGTATTGATATATCTTTATTAGGAAACACTGTCCATTCCATAAATTACAGAGTAAAATATATTTTGCAATAATTATATACAATAATTATAATAATTGCAATATTTTTAACAATATTTCAATATTTAATTATGTTGTTTGTTAAAAGTGCAAAATAAAATATGAAACGAGATATTAGAAGTCAAAAGATAAATGATGCGACATGTATTATTTGTGAAGCAAGTATTGAGGTTTTAGAGTATTTCATGATGATAAATTTACTTGATTAATTAAAATTCGAGGTGTTTTTTTCTCTTTTTTATTTTTTTCTTTGTTGCTTTTTATTCAAAGTTACATATTGGAAAAAATACTCAAAGCATCGCATAGGTTATATGACATGTGTCAAAAATTACTCACTATTTCCATTAACTTTATCCCACTCCATATAGCCAAGGGCCTTCAATTTTCTTTCATACATATTGATTATTCACGAGGAGCACTATTTTCAGTGAACAATAATTTTTGACGTGATGTGCAGAAAAATTGTGGAAAATGAAATTAGTCTCGAGCGGTTCCAGATGATTCCGAAAGAATCTCGTACACAGCCACACATACACACATATACCTATATATAAATATGTATATCTATATATATTGCACTTTCTGACGGAACAGCTGTTTAGAAATATGACGTTTATCAGATTAACGTTATATGATAATCAAATAATAGATTTTGTTTTAGATTAAAAAAAATAATTTTTTATTTTTATATAATCTGTACAATATTATTTATATATTTAAGAATTCTAGCAATACATAATAGAGCATAACAATTTTTATGCTGTGCAGAGGAATAAAAGGATTTAAGATATATATATATATATATATATATATATATATATTCTTTTAGAAGATTTGCTCTACAATATTCTCTCAAAAATACTTTTATAATTTCTCTCTCTATTTATTCGAAAAAAAAAAAAAAAATCATCTCGTTTCGAGTGCAAAAAGCGTGACATGACGTAGCTAAATAAATATCTCAGAAAATAAATTCTCAATTTTGATCGCCGATTTGACGCATTCATGCGATACCACGCATAACAAAATGGACCAATCGCGCGTCTCGCACCCGAGACGCTTCGACGCGATTGGTCGAGGCTCGTGCGAATCGGACCTAAGGGAGAGTCGGAGAGGGAAGCTCGCAGGTGGCGGACGCTCGTCTCGCTTCACTCTTCGTCCGCGGTTCTCGCGGTGTCGTCACTCACGACTCGCGAGTGAGACTCGGCTCGAGTTGCGCGTGCGACGTGCGCGTAGGGGCATTCTCGCAGTCCAGGCTCGCACACAGAGACAGGCAGACAGGACGGGACGGGCCGTAGAGAGCGTGAGAGAGTGGGGCAGCGGATGACAATGATGGCCGCCACCAGCGATGAACGGAGTGTTATGGAACCTGGGCGAAGGAATTCGGGGCAGAGTCAGCCCGTGGACCGGCTGAAGCTGCTCTATCCGATGGTGAACGAGGACGATACGCCGCTGCCGCGCTCCTGGAGCACGAGGGACAAGTACAACTACATAGGCCTGTCGCAAAATAATCTCCGCGTTCACTACAAAGGTACGTGGGTAGCCCGAGTACGCGCGCGCGACCTCTTCAACGCGAGGCGAGAGATGCGTGTCTCTCCTCCGCGACGCGACCACGTTCTCTTCTTCCTCGGGGAGCGATTTTTCCACGGGGAGTCCTCGGTGTCGAGATGGTCCCGGGGTTCCCCGGGTCCCTCGCGGCCGAGGCAACGATCGGGGGCTGCTCCCGGGATACGGAGTATCGATTGAAAATGGCAGGGCGCTTTTTCGCGTGTGTGTCAGCGACCTAAACAAAGGAATCAGCTGATCCAGTCAGCCAGTCCCCCGACGCTCTGCTCTGCTACGCGGGCGTCATCGGAGATGTCAGCGGAGGAAAATTAGGTCCCCGACGACGCTCCACGTTCGCGTTCGTCTTCCCTACATTTTTTTTTTTTGCGAAATCCTCGCGGGACGCTCCTCCTGGTGCGTCTGGTAGGGAAAAAAAAATGAGAGGGAGAGAGAAGATCGAACAAGTCGGAGTATACTTAAGTGAAAAAGAGAGAGAGAGAGGGAGGGAGATGGAAAGGGAAAAGAGAGAAAGAGACAATGTGTACGTATATATGCATGCACAATGTCAATGACAGCTGCGTCGTACGAACGTGGACTGATATGTGGACTCGACCTCGCGCGTCAAGTCCGATTCTTCGTGTCGAATCTTGTTCCTTTGCATATGAATTTTTGACGTTTTAGAATTGCCCACACGTGTCAGCTCGCTATACAAGGTGTCCTACTTTTGCTGTAACTAGCAATAAGCTACGAGTCGTTTTCGAAGTCAATTATTTTGGAAAAATCTTAGGTGAAATGATAAATCAAATATTTAGAATTGATATGAATGATAATTATTGATATAAAAATTGATAATAGATTGATAAATAAATAAAAAATTATCAACGATATATATCAGAATTTTAGCAGGACGGATAAATGAACAAGAAATAAATTTCCGAAAAATGATTAATAAATAAAATATATATATAATTGATATAAATAATAATTATTGGTATAATTGATAACAATTGACTATTAATAAATATATAAAAAATTATCAAAAATATGTCAGATTTTTAAATTTTGCAGGATAGATAAATGATCATAAAATATCTTCAGATTAAAATGAGGTCTATTAGGTGGGAAAGGAAGGAAGACACAGACTTGTTGAAATATTTGATGGTGAAAAATAGAGAGTTATTTTAAATTTTAATTACAGTCTATTGAAGGGTGGGGGGGAGGAGGGAGAGGGAGGTTATCGGACAGACTCTCTTCGTTGTTGAAATATTTGATGATGAAAAATAGAGAACCGTTATTTTCCATTTTAATTGGCCGTTGCCAAAAACATCTGTTATAAGTCCCTCGAGGAATCTGTCATTAACATTGGATATAGGAATGTCGTTTTCTTAAAAAATAGGAGGTATCATGGTACATTTAAATACCATAAAAAATTTCGCCTTTTAAAACGATATAATTTTTTGTTCCATAATTTTTTTGTCACAACAGATCTCGCATCTGACAGTTAAGAATGCCAGGAAATAGTGGTCCTTTATTCTCTCCCTCTGTTCACCCTCGGAGTCCGTTACAGAGTTATAGCCCGGATCTTCCGTAAAGCTTCGGGTTGCAATAATGACGACAATGACGACTCGGTGCTGCGGTATTGACGATACCGCCGAGCATTTATCGCTGCTTCTTTGCTGCATGTATGCATGAAATGAGAAAAATAAAACGTATTTAAAACAAATGTGCGTTATATGTATATCGGGGCGAGCGTTCACGCTCCACGAGCGTGATGCGTCTTGTGCGACGAACGAAAATATTATTTTTCCACGTTTCACGACGAGACACGAAACTTGCGCCGAGAGAAACCATAAAATGAAAGACACAAATAAAAATAATCGCGTCCGCTTATTTATCTATTATTATTATTGCAAGAAAAAATAATGCTAATAATATTTTCTTTATGTAAAATATATTAAATTAGTATGAGAGTAACACTTATTATACATATACATATAAGTATATCAAACGCAACGACAAAATATGGATTTTTTAAATGTAATTTAAATATTCACATAAAATATTAACAGAATAATATACATTCTATATACACTAGCGGATCCTGACATCGATTATGGGGGGTTTGCAAAATTATTTAATATTTTTTGTTTCATGCTTATAGGTTTTACTCAAGATTCAACAATGAATTTTCTTAATTTGCAAGGGGGGTTTCACCTCTCCCCAATATATATATTGTATAATGTTGTAGCAGAGCTGTAAGATGAATATTGAGAAAATTACGTGTACAATTTATTAGATTATTCTATCTTTTGACGCCTATGAAAAATATCTATAGAACATTATGATTAATCGCGATAAAATTGTTAAAAATTGCAACTATTATGAGTGGAAAGCGTGAAATAAGATATCGTGATACGTGGCAGATACGATGAAGCATAATGCACACTCGACTTTAGAGCTATGCTGCGCGTCGATAATATCCGTTGCAGGCGAATCCTCTTTAATTTAACTTCGATCGTTGTCTCTTCTACGGAGTCTATGTCATGTAGCATTTATTTCGAATCGTTCGTGCGGTTGTCATTTGCATATAAATATTTCCGTAGTTGTAATCTCCAGCTTTCTATTAAATTATATTTTTAATTAAACAAAGAATTTAAATATTTTCTTTATTTTATATTCAATTTCTTATGTATATACATTTATTTGCAGATATTAACCTTTATTACGAATGTTTATTATTTATTATTATTTGATATTTCTTTCTTTCGTATTTCTCATCCATCAAACTCCGTAATTTACAAGTTGATCTTTGATCGTCTCTTTTATAAAGAAAAAAAAGATACAAAAAATGTAAAATTAAAAAAATTCTAAATTATTAATTAAACAAGCCATATTTCTGAAACACATCTGTTAAAAGATGGAATAATTTTATTTTTGCGATAAACGCAAAAAAAGTAACTTTATTGTGACTCATAAACCGCTGCTCTTTCCGATTAAATCGCGCGATTGTTGATTGCGAATCTCGAAGACTCGCCTCCTCACAATCGGATCTGGGCTTCTCCTGCTTACGCGCAAGTCCACGATAACGATTTCGAGGAGTAAACGCTGCGTGGAACCCGTCGTGTCTTGCGGGCTGCGCTTCGTGTACGCATCTGTTTACGAAGCGTAGCTCGGATGCACGTGATCTTCCTTGGATGAAGCTAGTACCCAAGAAAACGGAAGATTGCCCAGCCGTGCATCTTACCGTTAGCCCTTAACTGTTCTTCTTGTATTTTCCTTGCACTTGCACTTGCATCACACTCGCGTTCTCGTAAACGCGTACTTATTCCGTCTTGATCTTCTTCGGATCTTTTGCTCCCTGAAATTTCGACAATGAGTACCGATTATCATTTTTGAAATGTGACAGTCATAAATTATATCTTATAATTAAAGTCACAATCGAGAAAATTTTCTATATCTCTTTCTGACCATAAAATGAAATTAAAAGTACTTTATCTTCTGTAATAAAAATCTAATTTACTGTTTAATATTATTATATCATTTTATAATTTGTGATAATTATTTAATAGGGAAATATAAAATGTAAAAATCTTATTCTCGTATTTTGATTTAATAAAGCGAAAATATTTCTCAATGACAACATGAATGATTCTATGCGAAGTTAATATATGTTTTACTTTATCAGAGAGAGAGAGAGAAAGAGAAAGAATCCCGATATATCCAAGTATTCTATTTTCTCTCTAACAATTTTAGAATAAAACGGATGCACTAATGTTACATCAAATGCACGATTACTTACAACAGTTTTATATATAATTTACGTAACGTTGTTTGCACGAACAGGAATATAAATCTTATAACGACTTAATAAAAGCAATATATCCGAAAGCTATATAAATGATATTCGATGGAGTAGAGATATATACGGTATATATATATATATATATATATATATATATATATATATATATATTTTGCATTGTGTGCAAGGGCGGGACATGCGCATAACATATAAACTCGTAGATCACAAATCGGCAGATAAAGCTTGTAACATTGCATCGATGTGCCCGCGCGCTGACCTAATGCTCTACTTACATCTGCCCTGCTAAATCGTGCATTTCCACGGATCAATTCGTGCTTTAGCGTCACATAAGTAGCTACATTAATTATTATTATTATTATTTTTTCATAGCAATGAAGCTTTTACTTTCACCCGAATGAATCTCAATACTCTGTTGAAAGAAAAATATATGTCCAATGTTTCGCACAATATTTTATTACGTAAGATGGATGTCGAAAAAAAAAATTCCGCGTGAAAAGTTTCTCGAGGCGCGCGCGAAAGTCGCTTCCTAAAGCGCGCATTCTTCATCATCACCGCGTTGCGGTGTTATGCACCAAAAATACATTCGCTCGCGTTTCAAGTTACAACGGACGTGAAAGCACTCGGTCGCATTTCACTTGTTTATAATAACCTGGGCGTCTCTAGATCGCGCGTTCTTCCGCGTAGAGCACTCGCTGTGTGCGACTCGAAATCAATATTTCGCATCGTGTCCAAGGCGCATAGCGTATCTCGAGAAGGGGATCATAGCTTCTCGTTTACCTCTATCCTGATACGAAGCCTTGTTTCATCTCTGCTCGTCCAAACTTGCTTCACAGCAAGTGATTTAATAAAAAAAATGACGAATTTCTTTTCGAAGATCTGGCATTCTAGACTTTTTTCTATAATATCTTGAAATAGATAAAATATGAAATATTGGAATTTAATTATAATAAATTAAATATATAATAAATATATTATAATTAAATTATAATTAAATTATATGATAACTAAAGTAAATATTTCTATTCATTTTTTAATCTGACTACTTGTACACGCATGATGGTAAGAATCGATTAAACGCAAGAAGAAACATATGGTACAGAAATAAGTTATACAATATAAACGTATCTTCAATAACGTAACTCTCTCTATCCATACGATAAATCATTTCCGTGTTTTCGCATACATTCGCTGCGATAACTATGCGTTTATTCTGCAGTCCGATAGCAAAGCATCTAAACGCGTAGGTAGAAAAAAGATATGATCTGAACGCGTGGCATTTCGTCCTTGCATCGCCGGACCACACGATGACCCTGGTTTTAATCTCAAGCGACAGATACGTTTCTAACGTTTCTGTTTGTAAAATGTATATACGTCCTTTTATATTTGCATTGCTTGCGATCCTTTGTACATATGCGAATTGCCTATATACAAGTTACGGATTCGCCGATTCCTATAAAGTGAGTCGGATCCGCATTCTTTCCCCAGGTTACGGCAAAACTCACAAAGACGCTGCCAGCGTTCGCACAACGCACGCGATACCGGCCGCCTGCGGCTTGTATTACTTCGAGGTGAAGATCGTGAGCAAGGGACGGGACGGTTACATGGGCATTGGCCTCTCGGCGCGCGAAGTCAATGTAAATAGATTACCAGGTTGGGACAAGCACTCATACGGTTATCACGGTGACGACGGTCACAGTTTCTGCTCAAGCGGCACCGGACAACCTTACGGGCCGACCTTCACCACCGGCGACGTAATCGGCTGCGGCGTAAATCTCGTTGACAACACCGCCTTCTACACAAAAAATGGTCATCACTTGGGCATCGCCTTCACGGACCTTCCCGTAAGCTACTCGCTGAAACAGAAGATTGTATTACATTCTAAAAGAGCTAAATAAAAGGCCTAAAAAAAGATAAGAAGATGGAAAAACATTGGAATAAATGTAATATATCTTCTGCATATTCTTCACAGTTTATCAATCTCACTAATGTGTAATAATTTCCTTCTCGTGTCATTTTTATATCAGAAAATAAAACTGATTTTTGTTTACAAGTTTTAATTTCTTTAATATACTGTGTATTTGATAAAATTATAAGATTTATTATTCAGAGATTGTTAAATTAAATTCACAAGTTGAATATAAAGAAATATAGAATATAGATAACTTTATCCTAGATATCGAATGTCTTACTTATAAATGCAATTCGTTTTCGCAGACCAGTCTCTATCCAACGGTCGGTCTGCAGACTCCAGGTGAGGTGGTTGATGCCAACTTCGGACAGTTACCTTTCGTCTTCGACATCGGGGATATGATCAACGAATTGCGTGTAAGAACGAGATTACAGATCATAAACTATCCCACGCCGGATCACGGCCAGGGCCAGTGGCAGGCGATTCTTCACAGGTACATAAGCAGAAAGTGAGACGGGAATCGAATGCATGATTCTCTACTAGTCTCTTTCTTTCGTGATTATTTTTCTTTCTTCGTTTGTCGTTGTTGCCTATTAAGATGATTTGCGAGAGTGTCTTTCGAAAACGCGGATAGATCAAGGAAATTAGAGGGGGGGAAAAATCGCCAACGGACCAATGTTCACAATATCTTTCGAGAGTAACAAATTACTCTGTACGAATTCGACAGAATGGTGTGTACGTATCTCGTCCATCACGGGTATCTCGACAGCGCCGAGGCATTCGCCAGCAGCACGGGCCAGGTGTTCCAGGAGGACTACAGCTCCATTAAAAATCGACAAAGTAGGTGCTGCTCATTGCCGCTCTTCCCAAGAGTACTAGAGATAACAGAGAGATAAAGAAAGATTTTTAAAAGTTAACAAAATCTTGTATCAATTTTAAAGAGTGGTAATTTTTTTATCACATCCGTATGTGTGACCTTTACATTTCAATGATGATCCGTAGGGATTATAAAGCTGGTATTGTCCGGTCGTGTGGGCGAGGCGATAGAAGTGACTAATCGGTTATACCCCGGTCTGCTCGATGGAAATCCGGATCTACTGTTCGCACTCAAGTGCCGTCAATTCGTGGAAATGGTGAACGGCAGCGATTCGGAGGTTTGTCCGAGTGGCAATCCAAATCAAACCAGTGTGATACAATCGACCAAAGCATATGTGAAGTCCGCAACCGGTACTGTAGAAGAGATGAATATCAGTAACGCAATGAACGGCACCAGCGGCCCACAGTTCGTCAATGGTCAAATAGAGGATGATGTAGACATGGAGGAGAGCGGTGTCAACGCTGTGAACGGCATCAAGAACAGTAACGGGTATCAGAATGGTAATCTGAGCTCGAATGGGTACAAGTGTCAAAATGGGGAGGATGTAGATATGGGTGAGATCTCAATATAATTGCTATTGTGATATGATTAGTTTATTGTCTTCTAGATATAAAACGTTTCTATCAATATCTTAGCATTTATATGATTTATATGATAGACGCGAGTAAAAGCGAGTTGATTAAATAAAATTAAGAATATAATAATATGATTAAATATATAGCTAATTGGTTTTTTATTTAATGATTTTTATGTGATAAATGTGATTTGTTATCTTGGAAAAACATACCTGTTTGCAGAAATCGACAACAGTGCCAATCAAAGTCAGCAGCAGAGCAGCAACATTACCACTACCACCGATAGTGCGACAAATAAAAGTAACAAGAAGCAATTGTGCGGCGGTAACAAGCAGGCAATCGAGAAGATGTTGGAGTTTGGCAGGCAATTGTACTCGCAATCGATGCACCTGAGACAGCAGTGCGAAACGAACGACATCAATAAGAAGATGTTGCAGGATGCTTTCAGTCTATTGGCATACTCCAATCCGTGGAACTCACCTGTCGGTTGGCAACTCAATCCACAGGAGAGGGAAACAGTCTGCCAGAGGCTGAATTCTGCTCTTCTCCGTAAGATCAAATTTCTGCAATGATATGAAAAAGAAGTAGCATGTCTTTTTTCCCTTTAATCTCTTATATAATGATTATCCATTAAATTATAAGCGAAAATGTCGGAGACAAATTTTAATTGTATTACGATCAACAGATTCTAGTAACTTAGACTCTCAACCACCCTTGGAAGTCGCGGCAACCCACACAAGAAAGCTTGTCCGCGCGATGTCGACTGCCAACTTAGGGGCTTGCGGATTTGCAGTAGTAGATAATATTATCCAATATTGACGGTGCCTACCTCTGCTACCACGTCCGCCTCTTCTACCAGCGCGAGTATGGTAAGTAACATTTGCTTCTATTCGCACACAAAATCGCGAAATTGTTCATTTATCGGAAAATATCCTGTTAGAAATTTGTTTCCGTCTAAGATGAGACACGTACGAGTAGTTAAAGTCCGATCATTTTTAAAGGAGTAAAAAGTAACGCGTATTTATTTCAATAAACTTTAAATTGGTTGTTAAGAATCAAATGTTTAAGGAGTGTGCACTCTCTTCTAGGTAAATAACGCGGATTTTCCTTTTTATCTAGGTATGGAAACTCCATACAAAGAAAAATTAAGGTAGGAAGTGCTCAAGAACGCACCACTTTGAAAATTGTTTTGGTTTCAAGCGCGGCGATACAATCATTATTATTGTGTTTAACGAGTGTCTCTTTCTCTCTTTTTTTCCTCTCACTATAATATGCATGCACAAACTGTTTCGAGATTATAAAAGATACTTAGCGAATGAATCTTGTAGGACGCGGAGGCGGAACGTGGAGCAGATTGTTCTGTTAACGCAGCAACATCGCGATGTCGCGTGCCTCTTCAGCTAGAGCAGCCGGATTCGTCGGTGCCTTGGCTCGATCTCACACCACAGACACGAATATGCAAGATGAACGCTCAGACCTGCCAACAAAAATGACACCTCGTAAATTTCTAGCTTAAATCGGAGATGGACGGTTACCTTGGGATTACTATGCCGACCAAGAGCGAAAAACGGCAGTTCATGATGATGCTGGTCCCCCGTTCCCGGCGATCATCCCACGTTTTTGACATTATTGTGACTATTTATATTGATTTTCTGTATCTTCCTTTTTCTCTTCTTTATACTTTCTTTTGTCTTTGTATCTGACATCAGTTTATCTTGGAGTTCGCGATTATCTCTCGGTCGTTTAATCGCGTTTAACGCGTCATCCCCAAATGAACGCGCAACATCGGCACGTCGTCACGCGAATATCTCAAATTGCGCGTAGTTATTTAGCCGCAAGTATTGTGCAATACGACGATTTCACGACACGAGAACGTTATCGGTGATAAAAAAAAAAACGGAATGTAGCCAAAGTCACTCCGCGCAAAGCGATGTTACAGAACATCGTCCTTGTCATCAAAGTGGAAATTCGCGTATCTAGAAACGTAACGCGCGTTATTTGAAATTTATTTATTTGCATTTAAATGCGGGTTGTTTGTATTAAAGATGTAATCAGTAATGGAAAATTAAATATCAAACACTCAACCTGATTAGATGCACAAGCCAAAATTCGAATGATGAAGGGAAATAACAAAAGTGGGACGCGTATTGTTACATATCGCGTCTCGTTCGTTTCGTAAAAATTTAGCCGTGTTAATTTTATCCATTCGCATTGGTTTAATAATTAACTTCTTATATAATATTTCACACATCCTAACGATAAAATATTACTTGCTTTATTTGGACGAATCGGCGCGATGATTTCTTTTTGTAATTCGATTTTCTAATTCTGGGAGCGGCGGAAGCATGTTCATTTTAGAGATGGACGACATCTTACGTTTATATATAAATAGTTGCGAAAAACAAAAAAACCTGTAAACTTAACTAAGGAGCGATCTTGTACTCTATACTAAGTAATTGTTTTTTATATGCGACATAGTATATTATTATATTATATATTATTAAAGAGTAAAAAAAAACGAGAGAGAGAAGAAAAATCACAAATAAGAAAATCGTATGCAGCTAGGCGTGCGTTTAAATACAATAATTTTACTATATATACACGAAAAAATCATATTAATTAAAAAATAGAATTATCCGAATCAAATGATTTTTAGTGTTATTGTTTTGTGTACTATAGATAGAGCTATAATATGAATATGTGCGAATACAGCATGGATTTGGCTAACATGTTTTGATAAATTATTTTGTTTCGTCGCACATGTTGTTGTTATCGCGATTATCCCGCCACCTTTCTGTAAATTCATCTATAACCTATTGTTATTAGGCTGATTGGACATTGATTTTCGGGAATAATCGTCATTGTTACTTCAAGATTTGTTAAAGTTTTCGTTTTATTTATCGACGTGACCGGCGACAACAAATTGACAACCTGCTCATTCTTGTACATCGGATCGCGTACTCGCCGGTATACGACAACAATTTTAGCCGAATCATCGAGATGCGCTCGGTAGAGATCGTCGATCTCACGCTGGTTCTGTCCCCGGACACATTTTTTGTTTCGCGCCTTTCCGGTGGTTGGCTCTCGAATTGTCGTTTTGCCCCCTAGCCTGCCTTCTGAGTCTTTCGACACCGATACTTTCTCAAAATGCATATATATTTTAGGTAATAAAGATACATTGTAATATATACATATATATATTTGTGCCTATATCTGAAACGTAACTTTATTTGCGTCTTCGTTCGATTCTAACACCCGCGCAAACATGTATATATATATATATATATATACGTGCATTTTACGCATACGTTTGATAACGCATCGTATACACCTGCTTTTGTTTCTCTCCTCGTCCAAGATTCACATCACAGCGCCGAGGAAAATTAAAACAGCGCATTGTATTCCCGTATATCGCGTATGTCTGCGATCAGAAAAGCAAGAGAGAGACCGATGTTCTCCTCTGTTCTCGAGTAACGAGAGCACGATGACGATGATGATTATGATTATGATGATGATGATGATGATGATGATGATGATGATGATGATGATGATGATGATGATGATGATGATGATGATGATGATGATGATGATGATGATGATGATGATGATGATGCATATGATGCGTGTGTAGAGTATGCACCAACAACCACGTCGATCGTCGAAAGATAGTAAATGTTCACACTCTCGGAAAAAAAATTAAAAGAGCCAAGATTTCTCCTCGTGATCTTCTCACTCAAGCGATTCGTGCACAAAGTGTAGGCTAGCTAGGTATACAGAAGGTGACTCGTTAAGTAGAGAAGTACGCAGTAACACACTTTTTCGCTTCTACCTTTAACTTTGAGGGACTACTCGCACTTGAACGCGCTCGCACACGCACGCACGCGCATTTCCGGTTACGATATTCAACGATATTCTAGTCAATCCCGAGGGTGTTCTTTTTCTCCTTTTTTTTTTTCGTTCTCGTGACATTTGACGGGGAGATGTATATCACGGCAAATCAAATCGCGTATTTTTATACTGGTGGTGATGATAATTAATCCTTATATATCCGGGAAGTCTATTTTCTAAAGACATAAAAAAGGAAAAAAAAAGAAACGGGTAACGCGCGCTATTTTTTCTCTGTAAAAGAGAGTCCCACAAAATATATTACACACACACACACACACACACACATACATACATACAAAAATATATATATTTGTGTCTTTATATACTATCATGAAGATCGTATGTAATATCTTATGATGCTAGGAATGTATTTTAGGGAAAGTAGCTGTAAATTTCGAGGAATTGAGAGAAAGATTCAATTTGCCCGGATACGAGAGTTGCAAATAATGTTGTTGATCAATTGATTTCTATATATATAGATACCGAGTATTTATATACATATATATGTAACACAATTCCGCGATTATATATTCTGTTTCGCATTTTCGTATATATATAAAAAAACCAATTCACACGGTGTATACGTCTTGCGATTATCTATTCTACCCTTTTTTTGTTACATAATATACGTGCGCGCGTGCGTGTGATATGTACACACACACACACACACACAGTAAAAAAAAATATATATATCTATACTATGCTTTTTTTATATATGACGAAATATAATTGTAGTTTATGTATGAGAGTATCAAGTATCTCTCTTTCTCTCTCTCTCTCTCTCTTCTCTCTCTCTCTCTCTCTCTCTCTCTCTTGAATCCAATTTTAAGAAAACGAGCGAACACACAGTGGCGACGAATATTAGTTGTTTCTAACACGCTCTGAGTACGTTGAAACATATTTTAACAATAGAAATGTTATTTTTATACGTGTACGATGTAGTTATATTAAAATGAGCTGTGTGGCGTCGTGTGTGTAACGAAATCGTGACATGTTACATCGTATATAGTAGAAAACATTAACACTCTGTCGTCGCTATATAAGTTTTCCGCATAGGGAACATGTACAGGGTGATTCAGGTGAGCGGGGATTCTCCCCGGCGAAACACTCTGTATTGTGAATAAAAAAAAAGAAAGAAACCAAATCGAAAGTTCATACTGTTAACAATGTTTTACACAGCAATACTTTGTAATAACGAGGGAAAAAAATGGAGAAACTGCGAGATGTATAAATAATAAGCAACGACGTTCTGCAAACAGCGATGATGTTGCCGTGCATCTTTTTTTTATTATTCTCATCAGCACTGAACGTCTCTATTAAATACAGGGTGTTTCCAAAACTTTGTCACAGATTTTAAAGGTGTATTCGAGGAGTCGAAATATGAAAAAAAGGTCCTATAAACATAGATTTAAAAATCCTCTTTTCCGAGTTATAAAAAGATAAAAAATGTAGCTTTCGGAGATTTTTTCAATGATCATTTTTCGATTCCCTCCTCATCTTTAGAGGGCTATAATTTAGAGTTTTTGGACCCATATGTTTATAGGACTTTTTCTTTTATTTTGCTCCTTTAAAATCTCTAACATAGTTTTTAGAAACACCTTATATATTTTTTTCCACGAAGCTTTCGAAGATGCGAATCCTCGGCAATCGCGACGAGCTTCGAAACACGAAGGTGTATCGGCTATGAGCTTTCGATTCCGATTACTGTGGCAAACGCTTCTGAAAATGTTTCAAGAAATTTTCGAGTGTAATAAAACGTACACCAAGTATGTACATGTAAATAGGCGAGATACAACGCTTGACAGGCACTTTCTAAACAGGGATCGAAGTCGCGAACGTATAAATCTCGATGACGAACCGTGAAAGCACACGTTGGATGTTTATTGCCTGATTCGTCATCTTGAACAATCGAATACTTTTTTATAAATTATTCGATTGGCAAATTTACAAATTTTTTTCCCCTTCTCGTTTTAAAAATATATGAGACACGAGAGAGATTTAATTATCGGCTGCCGTTCGATATCATGAAACTTTTGACGAATTTTTGACATTTGGTCCCTGCTTCGAACCGCATGTGCAATTATAAGATAAAGCAATCGATTTAACTAGCCAAGAATAATAATTCCGATCGGGAAGTATCGTGTTACGATGATATGTCTGTGCGCAGACGAAATCTTGAAAGAAGAGATGTGTCGTACAATTTTATTGTGTATAATCAGCATTTTTAATCCGCAATTATATTCAATACTACTTACGCTACCAGCGATTACGTTATAAAGTCGTTACTCGGTAATAAAGCAAGCTGTATTCCCTTAATATGTGCAAGCTGCATAAGTCATTGCGTGCGTCATTCGGTATTATCAGATGATTTTAGAATATTATTATAGATTTCTAATGTCGCAGAGCGTGTAAATCTCGTCAAGATCGATCGTGTCGTGTCGGTGATGGCCGCTAAAACTTTTATAATGTCAAGGTAAGTCTGATAATTTCTTTATATCTATAGGCGCAATTTTGTAAAACATTTCCGCGTTTTAGTTATTAACAGTAATAAAATACGAATAATACACATGTGTCAGAACAAATACATATAAATCGTTAATAATCCTTACATATGTTATCTATATACAGAGAGAATTTTCTCTTAGAATTTATAAGAATTTCTCTGATTAATATTTACCACAATAAAAATAGTAATATCTACTGCAATAAAATATAAAATATATTCGATGAATTTTACTATGTACACAGTAAAATTTACCATGTATACATACTAAAATTTACTATGTACGTATATTAATATTTTTATTGTGATAAATTCTTATAAAATTCTTCCAATACGATATAGTCCACGATTATCATGATTTTCAGGATAAATTCTAAAAGAAAATTCTCTCCGTATAGAGTTCCAGCGCGATCAAAAACGCATATTAATTTTGTTTTCATAAATAAAATATAATAATAGTATTTAATAATAATATTAATATTAATTATATTTATTAATAATTTAATATAATATTATATTATATGTATAATATTATAACATATTATTAATAATATATATTAGAGTATATATAACGAAATAATTTCGTAAATAAATATAATTAAAAAGCTGAAAGGGAGACCCTAATAGTTTCTTGTAAAAATTAGAATTCAAGAGCAGATATAATGAAAAACAAGAACGCTATATTGCATAGAAGAAGAAATACAAAGGGACATGGTGTGCTCCGATCTACCCCCGTCTTTGAGCGGAGCCGCGGCGAAGCCACGTGACCACGTGCGCTGTCAAATGTCATTCGAAATGTCATTTTCGAGATCGACGCGACCGGCGCGGCGCGGATCGGGGTCGCGTCGACGAGGAGCACATCGAGCATCGGGGTAAACGTCGGCGGTCGAGGAGCCCCGGGATCGATCGACGTCCACCTCCTCTCTTCTCCTGTCGGCGCGCCGGCGACATCGCGTTGCGTTGCGTTGCGGCGGCGGCGGCGGCGTCGTCGGGCGGGGCGAGAGGTCGCTCCGATCGTCGGCCGATTCCTCGTCCCCGTCAGTACGCGTCCAGCCACAGCTCGCTGTCGTTCAGCAGGAGAGACGAGTGCGACTTTCGCGGTGCACACGAAGCCTGCCGGGTCCGCGTATCTCCCTCCCCACGGAGATTCGGAATAAACGAGCGTGAGAGTTCTCACACCCTCCTCGTTTACTCTCTCTCTTTCGGGTTCGGAGAGCACGGCGCCTGGATATATAGGAACCACCCCTAAGTTCTCGCTCCGTCTTCATCCCTACGCGGCATCGCTCGACGAGGACTGTAATAAAAAGCCGGTTTGTGCGGAGAGACGATCCGAAGAGACGTCGCGTCATCCCCGGTGGTCGACGTCATTCTTCGGCGCGCTCGGTCGGAATCGGCGCCCTTCGTATTTTTTTTTTTTTTTTTGAGCAACGAACGAAAGAGGCAGAGACGGGAGAGAACCGCCAGAGGGAGAGCGGCCGCTCCGCGCCGGAGAGCGAGAGACGCGATAACGGACCGTAATCTGTCGTTCGCGCGCACGCTCCCTAAGTTCTCTTCGTTCGTCTCACTCTTCGTGAGTTCCCGTGCGAGTTCCCGCTGTCATTCTCTCTCCCTGTCTCGCGCGCGCGAGCGGATCTCGAGCCTCGCCTAACTCGCTCCTCCTCCCGGATTCCCCCGGTTGAGTCAAGCGGATGGACCGTTCTCCCGGAATATCGATCAAATAGACTCAACTGAGTGAGGAACTGCACTCCCAGGAAGAGCCGGGGACGGAGGAAACCGGCGGGGAGAATATCGGTGACA